AAGACATTGCAACTTACATTAATGAACAGAAAGCTAAAAACATTTCTGTGGCCGCGGGGTTGGCGGACGAGTACGTGCTGACTCATAAGGATTATTCGGGTTCTGTGGGTTTTAAACGCTATTTTGGACGAGAAGTGAGCCGCAGTGATCGGGTTGGTGGTGTCACTAAGCAAATGGAGACGAGGCAGTTTAAAAATCCGGTTGTTCGGGATGATGATCGGGTTTGTCACTACTGTCACAGACGCGGACATATTAAAGCAGATTGTCATCAGCTTAAGGGTGAAACAAAAAAGTTTCAAACTGTTCCTAAGGGAGTTGGTTTGGCTGCGCCAGTGCGGAGTCCTTTAGAGGACACGAAGAACACTCCGTCTTCTGAAGTAGGTGTTTCATACCTACCTTTCATTCGTGAGGGGTATGTGTCACTGTCAAATGGCGAGGGAAAGGTTCGAGTTAAGATTCTGAGAGACACTGGGCGTTTGACTCTTTTATTAGAGCTGACGTGTTGCCGTTCTCGGCTGAGTCTGAGACAGATGCCTGTGTTCCAATTCTGGGAATGGGATTAAACATGATGTTTCTGTGTTTCTTGATTGCGAACTGTTTGTTGGTGACACGCAATTGGCTGTGCGCCCTGCTTTGCCAATTGATGGCGTCTCGGTGATTTTGGGTAACGGTTTAGCAGGAACTCGTTTGTGGGCGGACGCTGCACCGTTAGACGGCCTGGTTACGTCAGAGCCAGTTGAGCGAGTCATTCCTCAGACTGAGGGGAACGTGGAATTCACAGATGTGTTTAGCGCATGCGCAGTTACTCGGGCCATGGCGCGCGGTCAGAGTGTGAAAGACGAGAAATGTGTGAAAATTAATTTGCCTTTGTCTAGTTTTCCCATGTCTCTGTCTCGCAGTGAGTTCGTGAAGGAACAACAAGCTGATGTTTCACTGAAGACTCTTATCGATCAGGTTCGCCCATTAAGTGAAACAACTGATTGTGCTTGTGGATATTTCCTGCAGGATTCATTGTTGGTGAGGAAATGGTTACCACATGCTGACGTTGTGGGTGAGCCAGTATTACAAAATAGTGGTTCCCATCAAGCTACGCTCCGCAGTGTTGAAAGTTGCTCATGATGAATCTGGCCATTCTGGTGTACGTAAGACGTATGATCGAGTTTTGCGACATTTTTTCTGGCCCCGTCTTAAAGGACGTTTCGTCTTATATTAAGATGTGTCATGTTTGTCAGCTTATTGCTAAGCCCAATCAGGTTTTGAAACCGTTCCCTTTAAGCCCAATTATCGCTGCATCTGAGCCATTTGAACATTTGATCATAGATTGCGTGGGTCCGTTGCCTCGCTCAAAGGCTGGGTCTTCATATCTACTCACTGTGATGTGTCAAACTACACGTTATCCAACAGCTTATCCGTTACGTACGATAACTGCTAGGTCAGTTGTACGTGCGCTTACTCAGTTCTTTTCGGTGTTTGGCATCCCTAAAGTAATACAGTCTGACCAAGGAACAAATTTTTCATCACATTTGTTCAGTCAGGTTTTGAAACAGCTGCGGGTGCGACACAGTAAAGCGACAGCATATCATCCAGAGAGTCAGGGGGCATTAGAGCGCTTCCACCAGTCTCTGAAGTCTTTCTTGCGCGCTTACTGTACAGAACTGGCGGGCGACTGGGAGGAAGGTTTGCCTTGGCTGAAGGTTTGCCTTGGCTGGCCGCCAGGGAGGTAACACAAGAAAGCACTGGGTTTAGCCCAAATGAATTGGTTTTTGCACACAACGTGAAGGGTCCGTTGGCTGTGGTGGCGGACGGGCTGAAAGAGTCTGCTCCGCCGAAAAACTTGGTGGATTACGTAAATGGTTTTAGAAGACGTTTATATCTGGCACGAGAACTCGTTAAAGAGAAACTGACTGTGGTGCAGGAAAAAATGAAAAGTTTGTTTGATCGTCGTGCTGAGGCGCGCTCATTTTTGTCTGGTGATCAAGTCTTGGCTTTGTGTCCGGTCACGACTTCTCCTTTTCAGGCGCAATTTACTGACCCATATACAGTTCTGAAGCGGGTTTCCGATCAGAACTATTTAATATCGATGCCGGAGCGGAGAAAGAAAACCCAGTTGTGTCATGTTAACACATTAAAACCATATTATGCTCGTGATTTATTTCAGCCACAGGGTACTGATGCCACGCCTGCATGTGCCGTAAACAGCCTTGCTGGGGGGAGCGAGACTTTCAGCACCACGGACAGCGCACTATTACCTGTCGAAGATGACGGCAGTACGGACGGGTTGGACAGCGCTCTGATTCATGGGCGTCTTAAAAACTCTGAAACTTTGGGTGAGCTGGACACGTTGTTGGCTCACTTACCTGCAGGGTGTGCTAAACAGTTGGCAGAGTTGATAAGTGAATTTCCATGTCTATTTTCGGACACGCCAGGTCGCACACATTTGATTGAACACGATGTGGATGTTGGAGACGCTAAACCAATCAAGCAACGGTTTTACAGAGTGAATCTGGAGAAGCGTAAGCACTTGGATGCAGAAGTAGATTATATGCTTCGTACTGGGATTGCAGAACCGAGTAGGTCCAGTTGGGCATCTCCGTGTATTTTGGTCCCTAAGTCGAACAATACGCTGCGTTTCTGCTCAGATTTTCGTAAGCTTAACGCTGTTACTAAACCAGATTGTTTCCCGCTGCCGAGAATGGATGATTGCATCGATCAAGTGGGTTCTGCTAACTTTGTTAGTAAATTTGACCTTTTAAAGGGTTACTGGCAGGTACCACTGACTAAACGTGCACGTGAAGTGTCTGCGTTTGTTACGCCTACAGGCTTGTATTCTTATACAGTCATGCCATTTGGTCTGAGAAATGCGCCAGCCACGTTTCAAAGACTAATGAACAGAGTGGTTGGTGACATGACTGGTTGTGCGGTCTATTTGGATGACGTGGTGGTGTATTCTGACACCTGGGGAGAGCATGTGGAGCGCATTCGGGAGCTTTTCACTCGTTTGGCGGGGGCGAGGTTAACGATCAACCTGGCCAAATGTGAGTTTGGAAGGGCTACAGTTACCTATTTAGGCCGTGTGGTGGGCCAAGGTGAGGTCCGCCCTGTTGCAGCAAAGGTTCAGGCGGTAGAGCAGTTTCCTGTTCCAGCTACAAAGAAGGAGCTAATGCGTTTTCTTGGGCTGGTGGGATATTACAGAGGTTTTTGTCGAAACTTCTCATCTGTGGTGGTGCCTCTGACAGATTTGCTGCGTAAAGATGTCAAGTTTGAGTGGTCTCCCCTTTGTCAACAGGCTTTTGAGCAGGTGAAAAGACTCCTCTGTGCTGCTCCGGTATTGGCTGCACCACGTTTTCAACATCCGTTCCAACTTTATGTGGATGCTAGTCAGGTGGGTGCTGGAGCTGTCCTTACACAGACTGATGATCTGGGTATTGGTAGGCCAGTGAGTTATTTTTCCAAAAAATTCAATAAGCATCAGTTGAACTACTCCGTAATCGAGAAGGAGACGTTGGCTTTGATTTTAGCCCTGAAACATTTTGATGTTTATTTAAGTGGTGGTGCTAACATTGTGGTTTTTACAGACCATAATCCGCTGACGTTTCTTGCTTCACTGAAATGCCCAAATCAGCGTTTGATTCGCTGGTCATTGTTTCTACAGTCCTATAACCTGGATATTCGTTACATTAAAGGAAAATATATCATGGCCGATGCATTATCTCGTGCTCCACTTTTGTAGCAGGTTTGTTTTTTGTTTTTTTTCTCCCTGTTCCCTTTCTATGTTCCTTAAAGAGCTTCTGAGTGCACCAGTTGCTGGTCTGGAAAGTGAGCTGAGGAGGAAACCTGTACATTAAACAACTTGGCTAAGTATAACATGGATGAGAGAGCAACATACTAATGGTGGCTGGGTTTGTTTTACACATGTGGTGAGTTTGGAGCAGGGTTCCATATAGGAACCTGCTTTTTTATGGGCGGGGGTGTGACGACCCTGTTGTCACAGTCCTGTGCGTGTCCTGTGATTTACTAATTATCAATTATCAATGTGGGAGGCGCTTCCATCACAGACACCTGGATGGTATATAAGGAGCGCCGTTCCATTCATGGGTGTGACTGCAGAAGCCACCACGCGCAGACGACCCGGAGATCCAGGCTGAGACCAGACTGAAGGGGCCTGGACTGATGTCTCCTAGACAAATCAATTCTTTTAAAAATAAACGCCTTTCATGGGCTTAACATCACTGGTTGCCGTGTCCCCCTGATTTTTGTTGCGGCTTCCTGAGCCGGGCCGTAACAATCACCAAGGTGGTATAATTTTTTTCAAATCGGGATAATTTCCCAACCTTACCAGCCACAACCCTTCTATGCTGCCAAGCGACCATATCCACTGTCATGAACTAGTGTGGGGAAAAATGCTTTTGGTAGAATCCTCAGCATGGTCTGAAATTCAGTGCTATCTAATTTGATAAAGATTACAAACTTTGTTTTTAATTTTATATTTCATGAAGATTATTTTAAAGATGACAGTTCTGTCATGTTCTGTGTTTTTCTGTGTTTATCTGAGTTTTCTGTGTCCTGAGTGTCCTCGTTGTCCTGTCTTCCCCTTGATTGTTCCCAGGTGTGTCTTGTTCCCTTGATTACCCTCAGTGTATTTTATCCCTCCTGTGTCTTTTGTTCCTCGTCGGGTCCTTATCATATTTTGATGTTCCTCTTTGTCGCTGTCGTTGTTCCACCTGTTTGACCAGTCGCCACCGGTGTGAGCTCTGGCTTCCGCTCAGCCGTGCTGCCTGGCCGCAGACTTGTTTGTCTGACCTTGTTTCTGGACTGTCTTCATTATTAAATTCACACCTACTCACTTTACCTGGGCCTCCAGCGTCTGCCTCAACACCACCACACACACCACCTCATGACAAGTTCTCATGTATTCTATTACTTAAATGATTATGCAAAACTAAGGGTTAGCATTTCTGGGTTATCTGATATTGTTGTTTGTCTACTGTGTTTGTGTTAAGCTAGTAAACGTTTGACCAGTATGGCCAATGAGTCCACAGAGGAGCTCAAACTGGCTGTGGCCTGGAACCGAGTAGACATCGCAAAAGCTGAGCTCTTCAATGGAGACATACATTGGAAGGTATTTTATGTTTCTACTCTGTTGAAACACCAGAGTTTTAGTTTGGTTCTAGTCTCAAACACCTTGCTCAGGGGTTCTCAAATGTTATGTTCAAATATCTAAATATCTGGTGAAGACAGAAAACAACCATAAGTGTGTTGAGAGGCTAATGTTTTCATTTCAGGTTCAATGTATGAAGATGTGTTATTGCGAGAAAATTTCTAGTTAGGTGATCTGTGAGTGCTAGCTAGATAGGTGAAGTGATCCTCTGCTGAAAAAAGTTTGAAAAACACAGTTATAGACATTATTGCTTGACTTTTCGTTTCACTTTCAGTATGAGGACCTTGAGGACTCCATGACAGATGCCTTGATCAATAACAAGCCCCAGTTTGTGCGTCTCTTCTGTGAAAATGGTCTCAACATCCTGAATTATTTGACAAATAATCGCTTGGAGAGTTTATATCGCTCGCTGTCAGATAGCTCGCTGGCATACGTTCTACTCCAGAGGCGTCTGAGTGAAAGACGGAGCCTGGCTGGACCTCTGCTCTCTGAGGACGGAGCTGGAATAGGTGCCATGCAGACTCTCCATACAGAAGTGAACACAGGTGCTTCTGTCAGGGATCTTAGTTTGTTTGAGGTGAGTTCAATACTTGAGCAGCAGGCACATGTTTGATTGAACAACTGAGTGAAAGTAGTAGCAATGTAAACAAGGAACTCAATCCTATTCAATATCCAATAACTAGTTTTGTAAAGCGCTGACCTAATCATGCTGATTATGGCCAAGAAATATAATGTAACAATGTTTTTTTACTTAATGTACTAACTTAAATTTGGTTGTCCTAAAATATAACTGTTATGCTTCAATAAAAGCTTGAAGTTCTCTCTCATATCTACATAATTGAAAATTTGAAAGTACAAGATTTTCCAGATTTTCTGTCAGAAACAGCAAGCTTTTATGCTGAACAACCCATCTTGTGTGATTTAAAACACACTAACAATTAATTTCTAATATTTCCCAAAGTGACTCAATTCCAAAGCAACTCAGTGCTACTTGGAGTGTTGTTGGAGCCAGAATGCATGCAGAGTCAGAGGCAGGAGATAAAATGAAGATAATTGAATTAATAAATCAATGCAAAACTCTCTGGTAGGCACCAAGGAATACAGGACTAGACACAGGCAGGCAAGCATAAGGCAGAGAGCCATAAAGCCAGGTATACTAATGGAAAGAACACTAATGAACATGAGAGGAGGTGTTGAGGAGAAATTGAACAATGGGAGAAGCCTAAACACTAATCACAGAAATTGCAAAAATAACTAAGCATCTGAATCCAAAGGAATGAACTGCAATAGCTAGACCAAGGCTGAAAATTAATTAACAAGAAATCAATTTTTGAAAATCAAACACAGACCCCTAACCCTAACCAGGTGGTTTACTACAGCCTGGTTTACTACCAGGCAAGCCGACTGGTAGTAACATCATGTTAAGGAGAAGGAGAGAGTGAACAGTGAGCAGGTGGTACCGGTACTTTGAAGTGCATCACGGTGACAATCAGTGTACTGTTTTTTTATATCAGGATATCTGATACTGACCCACCTCGGTGGGACCGACTCAGGCTGCCTGTAGCGAACCGGGCATTTAGTCCAGCACTGGGGCAGCCTGATTATGTTGCGGTCATAAGTTTTCTCTGCGGCCAAACTATTGTTTGGGGCGAGGAGGGTTTTTTCTGCTGTTATGAGGATGATTAATGATCATCCTCTGCTCAGAGTCTTTATTATAATGTTTGGGTCAGCAATGAGTCTCCTATAAGACAAAATGAAGTATAGGAATAAGGTGGATAAGGTTTGGGTGTAGCCACTTGGTCATTAAAATAAATTCTATAAAGGTCAGGTTAGTTCTTCAGACCCCCATTTGAAGTTTGGGCGTCTGAACATAATGGCTCTAGAGAAAATTGCACTCTGTGCCCTATGCGTTTCAGTATTTAGTATCTCCTTCTGCATAAGTTACATCACATTATGTTATGTTTGAATTCACTATGGTTCTATTAGCAAATCATTCCTTTACAAATGTTAGTAGAAGCAGTCAGTGTGCCTACCTACTGGATTTTATACACCAGTTGACATGGAAGTGATTGGAAAACCTGAATTCATAAAAATCAAGCCATGACCCACACTTGTAGCAATAAAGTGAAATTTTCTATGATTGCTCTGTGACTCTTTGCAACCCTTATCGATTTAACATATTTGATTTCTTTCAGTATGCTTTGCATGTTATGCTAAGGACCACTTAAATAATCACATTATGTGTAGAAAAGCAAATAAGGGAGGCAAACAAAAATAAAAGTCAAAGCAAAGTTTGTGACTGTGCTTCAGGTATCCCGCCTGCTGCAGGATCTCTTCGGTGATGTCTGTGAGCCTTTCTACTATGGAGCTCTGGGTCTTGACCCCAGGATGGGCACTAGAAGAGCACTGAAGGTCAGTGAGTACAGAACTATTTCCATAAGAACCTGTTTACAGGTCATTGAGGTGGCAAAAGTCTTCTGTTTGACTCATTACATTTACTTGTTTTATCTGAAATAATAAAAATCTTGACATTGTCAAAATATTTGCCTGCTTCTCATCCTCAAATGGATGCATCTGACAACATGTGCCAAAATATTCAGATCAAAATCTCTGCTTAAAATGTTGTACTAGAAAACGATCAATCTGAACAGTGACATCCTCCTGCAATTATAAAAATGAAAAGTAACCAACGCTAATGTAGTCTCAAAAATGACCATGACAATATCTTTACTTTTTTGGACCTTCTTATGACTGAATTGGTCTCAGGACTGTGGACATTACCTGCCACATTGCAGACATTTTCCCCCTTCTCTCATACTGTCATCCTGATACACAGACATGTATACAGGTTGTTCAGAAGTATGTGTTTGCAGATACACTATCTTGGGCTGTAGGTCCCACTAAATATATCTTGTATTAATTGGTTTTCAGCATTTTCTGTGACATTGTGTTTCATGGTTTACCTTTTTTCATCTCAATTTTTGCAGGTTTTTCACCGTAGGGTATTTTCTTGCATTTTCTATCAGTTTGTGACGGAGGAGCCGTCACGAGCTGAGACCTAATTAAAGAGTCTGTGTTAGCACGTCCGCGCACACGTACACAAACATGTACAACCGCTAACTTACTTTTTGTTGCAACTTAAACTGACGCAGTTCATCCTGATCTGTTATTTTCAGTCTCACATTTTCCCGGTTTTATTTTCAACTGGCTTTATTGTTTCCGGATTGTGGCGCACCAGGAGAGAGTAACGTGATGTGGTGATGTCATCAGAATGTGCTGGGTATTTTCTATTAAATTGACAATTGTATTTTGATAAGTTCATGTATTTTTCCCCCCTATTATTGTTTTGTATACTTTAAGAGTTTATTTGAGTTAGTTTTTTGGGTTGATTTGCTTGATTGGACTTTCTGTGGGTGGAGTCTGTGGCTTTAAAAGCAGAGCTCTGCTCCACAGGGAAGTAGTCTGCAGCTAGACACTGAAGGTGATACACTCTGACCTGGAAGGTATTGCTGTTTTGATTTTAACCTGCCTTGGACGTCTTTTTGTAAATATTCTGCATCTGCCATCTTTGTTCACCGTATTAATCGATAATACATTTCACTGAAGTGATCTTCGGCCTGCCCTGCAACAGACTGGCGACCTGTCCAGGTGACCCCGCCTCTCGCCCGGAATGCAGCTGGAGAGGCACCAGCACCTCCCGACCCAGTTTTTCTGTCCTCTTACAACTTTTTGAACTTTCAAAAAGTTCAAAAGGGACTTTCAACAAAAAGTTGAAAGGGAGCGTTCAACTTTTTTCCCCACTGCTCTTTCTTTTTTCTCTTTTTCCTTCGTTAACATGGTGGATAAAAATATAAAATATAGTTTTTATTGTGTATATGTGCATTATAAAAATGGAGAACCACACAAAAACTAAAATAGAAAATATAAAGTTTAAAGAATAATTTTTTCAGTATAAAACAACACAACAGAAATTTCAAGTATTGTGAATAGTTCTGCTATATGTGTTGCTCACACATTACAAGTGGAGTTAGCTGATCATTAAAGAGTTTTATATAAAAATGTCTGTCATGAGAGATATCTATTGTATATTCAACAATATTATAGCTAAAACCAAAATGTAAAAGCATATTGTGTGTGGAATAGAAAAAGAGATAAGAAAGAAACTAACTGCTTGCCCTGATTTGTCTTTTCCAAACTTCAGCAAGTCAACAAAATCCTGAAGGGTGAATGTACATATCGCAACCAGCACTGCCCCTCTCCCTGGGCAGCTCTCTTCATTTGGGCTGTTTTGCAGAACCGCACTGAAATGGCTATGTACTTCTGGGAAATGGTGAGAGCACGTTACTTTACAATCTTTAGTCCAAGGCTTGTGTATATGAACTTATTTAGCTTAAACTTGACCATTTGAAGATGATGACTGTTCTTTCAGAACCAGTAGTATTCATGTGCAACACTACCTTTTTTCTAAATTGCCTTTAATTTAACTTCATTTCATTGCATCTTAATTGGCTTGCTGTGTCTCTGTATTAGGCAGGGGAGTCTGTGCTAAGTGCTCTTGGTGCCCGTAAGATTCTGAGGGAACTTTCCAAGCAGGAGAATGAGGCAGAGAGCAAGCTGGCCATGAAACAATTGGCACAGAGGTTTGAGAAGCTGGCAAATGGTGAGTCATTTACAAACGGGTTACAAACGGGGTCAGTTTGTAACAGAAAAAGTGTGACAATTGCAAGAGTGACTAAACGTAAAAATGTATTGTTTTTCAGAAAGCAAAATCAAATAACCTTTTCTGGATTCTTCACAGAACAAAAGTCAGGAAATAACACTATTTATGAAATAAATAATAACCAAATAACACTCTGGGTTCTCCACATAAAAAAAGTCCATGAAACATAAACTTTCTGTTGTGCTGGTCACAATCTTAAAAGGTCCAAGTTCAGCTTAGTTCTCAGAGCAGAATCTCTTACTTAAATGGCTCAGATGAGTAGGCTCTCAAAGTTCTTGTGTTCCTTCTTTATAATCTTTTTTAGGTTCCAATAGCTTGTAGACATCGCTGTTTGCAGCTCATCAACTTCCCTGTGAAACCCACAAAGCAAGCAGGCTGAGAAACTGAACTAAGTGATACAGCACCTCCACAGCACAATCAGTACTACTACCAGTATGGTTGTGGAGATGGATTTTATCCCAATAGATTTTATTATGATTCTATTTTTATACTCACAATGACTCATTCAAATCAGAAAAATGAGCTTACCTTTGTTCATCAGTGTGAACTGTGGGTGTGCATCTGACTGGTGAGAAGTTGAATGTCAGATTCCATTCCAGTCACTGCCAGTCTCAAACACTGATGCAGATATTTACCTGTCAATCTTGATCTTATTGAAGTTTTCAGCAGTTTCATACGTGAAAAGGTTTGCTCGCAGATATACGTGCTGCCAAAAAGTGTGGACATCTTCATTGCGTGTTTTCTGATGTTAGGGTACGTGTCGTTTGGGAGGGCAGCATAGAAGTCAATGAGACTGTTGGGCTTGAACGCGTCTTTCAGAGCATCACAGTTCTGTAACTCGGCCAACTCAAACTCATAAGAAGGCTGGGCTTCATTGATGTCGGCAACAAAGGGGTTCTGGAAAAGACAGATTTCTTTTGCTTAAATATGTAGTTCACGGAATTGCACACCAAACTCCTCCTTTAGCATTTCCAGTGCTTCCACACACTTTTCAGCTGGAAAAGGGACCGCTGGGTTCTCTGCAGAGAGATTTTGTGAAGCAGGGAGATGGATAAAACTGTGCTTTTTCACTTTCACCAAAAGTAGCTCTAGTTTCACCTCAAATGGTTTGATGTGGGAATACATTTCACAAATGAGTTTCCCCTGGCCTTGTAGCTGCAAGCTAAAGCTGTTCAGCCTTTCTGTCATGTCCGTTAAAAATGCGAGATGCCATTTCCATTCTGGGTCTTTCAGCTCTGGCACAGTTTTGTTTTGTGAATGAAGAAATGCGTTAATTTCAGGTAGCAGCTTGTAAAAACGCTTCCGAACTCTGCCCCGGCTCAACCATCGGACCTCTGTGTCGTACGGCACATCCCCGTGCGCAGATTCCAGTTCAGACAGGAATTCTTGGAACTGCCTGTGTTTAAGACTGTTAAGAATTAAAAAGATGAAGAACTTGATTTAGCTCTTTAATTAATTCTTTGTCCCGAATTCCTGTGTCTGTGTAAGTGTGCAGAGAGAAAAGAGCAATCATACGACGTCAGACTTCAGATATTCAGAGTTTTATCCAGAGAAATTCAATCCAAGAAGAACTTTACAATAAGCATCTCACCTAGAGCAAAAGTCCAAGACATTACAAAACAGAGACAAAGAACTGAGTAAAAAAAGACAAAAGAATAACAGAAGATGCATCCTCCGGGAAACTCTCACTCAGCACAAAGAGATTCCAACTTCTGCTGTGAAACAAACCATTTTTATAGACTGCATATTCTCCTCATTTAAATATATGCATTAGGAGGTGTGTTCTTTTCCTTTGTGTGTGCTGTCTCAATGTTAATTTTATTACCTCCTGCTAAAGAGCCCCAAAAGCAGATATACGGCAAACCCTTCTCGTACCAGACGCTGTCCAGTTTGATATATGATTGCAGCTGCAGCGCTATCTGTGCCTCAAAATGTTTCCACAAGAAAGTAGTTTGTATTTAACCAAGCTTGCACACAATGTAATGCTAAATAATGACTATAAGTTTGGATCTAATAAGTAACTAATTAAAAACATGCTTAAAGAAATATAGTTAATTCTAATATAGATAAAATTATTTATAAAAAGTTTTAAGATCCTAGTGAACTTTTGAACCATGCTAAGGAATTTGTTAATTGCCTGGCAGACAGACTCTGTCTAAAGAGATTCTAGGCCTGTCTTTTCTGTAGAATCCTCCCTAAGAATTTATATAAGTTCAGAGATTCAGCAGTTGTTTTAGTTTGGATCTTTATCTAAATTTATGTGAATGTAGAATGTACTTTAACTTTCTATGGTATATTTCATATGTATCAAAACTATCCTGTGCAGTATTGTGCTAATTTAAAATATTATTTCAACAAGACCCTTTGCTCTGATGACGTTTATGCATGACACCACAACCTTCATGACAGAATTCCACGTCAACACTTTGCAGCACAGTGCTTGCTGGTGAATTAGGCAGTGGACTTGTAGTGGTGCGGTGAGACCTCATTCTTCAATCTCCCGGTACATGCATGCTATTAGGCCCCGAGACATGCCCACCATATTGGGAGCCCCGTCAGTTGTGATGCTGGCCAGCTTTGACCAGTCAAGGTCCAACTCTTCCATGGTTTGGTACACTTTTCCAAAAATATCCTCCCCAATTGTAGTCCCTCTGAGTCTTTGGAGGGCTGCCAGCTCCATGTATAAAAATGAGCAGCTGCGCGGTGTCCTGCACATCCGTGCTCTCATCCAGTGCTAACGAAAAAAATGTAACTCTTTCGCCTTCTGCTGCAGCTAGGTATATACATTACCACCGATTTCTTCAATGTGTCTGGTGATTGTACTGGCTGATAGACTCATGGCATTAAGACGTCTTTCTTCTCGGGACACACTTCCTCCGCTACAGCTCTCATGCATTTCTTGACAAATTTTTCGTCAGTGAAAGGTTTCCCGCTGCTTGCTATCAGTTGAGCAACCCGAAAGCTGGCCCGAACAGTTGACTGGTTCAGCTGAACTTGGCGTACAAATGTATTCTGCTGAGCTAACAATCCACTTTTTAGCTTTGAGTTTGTCTGCTCGCATTTGGCCTTGCAAGCTGTCATACTTGTCTTTTTGATGGGATTCATAGAGTATAGATTGTATTCTTTGAAAACCGCCACCGCCTCTTGACAGATGAGACAAACAGCCTTTTCTTTGCATTGGACAAAAAAATAATCGTTTGTCCACTGCAGGTCAAATGCCCTGCATTCTGAATCAATTTTTCTCTGACCTATTCTTTTCGCCATTATTTCGTTCTCTCTTTGAGAGAGGTGGGTTTAAGATTTTTCTGGGGTCTGTTATATGTTTCGCATATATGTCATTATACGTTATATGTGATGCATATGACTGATATATGTCAATTATATGCATGTATAAAATAGTTACTAACTAACAGTTAATAATAAATAAAGTTCATTACTAGGGAACATTTCATTGCAAAAGTCCAACTTATCAAATACAAATGCACATATATGCATTTGTATGCTGCACCAAATGTGGAGGCGGGCCGCAGTTTGGGGACCACTGGGTTAGAGGCTTAACCCTAATGAGGCCATGTTTTGAAATGAATATGGAAAAGTTAATTTATTCTATTACTTTTTTCCCCAAATGTAAAAATCTCAGGCATTGCTCGAGGAGAGTTTCAATGACTCTCTGCTGATCCACTGTCTGGTAGTAGTCAGTCACCATTCTCCTTCATGAATGTGTGGGCCACAAGATATAAAAATATTTTTTAAAATGTCAATCTGATAAAACTCTACAACTCTGGGAAAATAAGCAGGGATGGATGGACGGACACATGAATAATGTGTTTTAATATTTTCTTAGAAAATATTAAAATTTTCTAAAAAAGTAAATTTAGTTTTCATCATCTGTAAGCCAGAGATTTGCTTTATGAACCAAGTAATAAAACTGAATTTTCTTTTTGAAGGTATTCTAACCTATTGACCTTGTTAAGAATGAGATATTTCTACCTGTTGTTCGTTATCTTGTCTCCCCAGGACTGTTAATGCCAGGTGTAAATGTGAAACCATAAAGACGACAATCAAACAGAATTTATTCAAACAATCAAATGTATAAAATAACACCAACATTTCAACATGGCCACAAAGATTACCTTAGAAAAATACAAATTACGAAGATATGTCTCAGGGGAGCGCTGTGTGGACAGAAAAAAAATGCAGTCTCACCCCTGCGATCTGAATAGCTGTTTTAGCTCAATTACTTTTATATCAAAGTACATCAAAGCGGTTTTTCTCTGTCTGATGTGTTCTGATGTTATTTGCTTTAGAGGTGGACTCATCATACATCCCAGCAGCACATGGTTTTGGGCTACACATTGTTAAGAATTAAAAAGAGGAATAATTTGATTTGGCTCGTTAATTCTCCTCTGATCCCGGATTCTTGAGCCTCAATATGTGCAGGGAGAAAGAGCAATCATACCACATCAGACTTCAGATATCTGGAATTTATCCAGAGAATTCAAATGCAAACAGAATGTCACAATAAGCATCTCACCCAGAAATCCAAAAGTCCAAGACATGACAAAACAGAAATAATTGCATGAGTTTTTAGAGAGAAAGCAATTACAGAAAATGCATTTTCCGGGAATCGCGGACTCGGGCAGAAAGCAATTTGAATACTCTGTTGCAAACGAAAACTTTTATAAGCCTGTGCCTTTCACTAAATTTAAATATATGCAGTAGGAGGTGTGTTTTTCTTTGTGGGGCCTTCCCTGCGTTACTTTTATCACCTCTGCCCCACAGGCAGATATATGGATTGTCAAACTGGGTCTTTGGCGTACCAGGTGTCTCCTGCAAACTCTCCCTCGGGTTTATTTATGACCTATGTCTGTTTTGGTTTTCTGCCTCAATGATTGAACTAGTTTAGCATTAGACTTTGTTTTACTGAAACAAAATCTAATGCTAAACACTAACTATAAGTTTGGATCTAAAACTAACTAATTCAAAACATGCTTAAAGAAATATATTTAATTCTAGTATGGATAAAATTATTTATAATAAGTTTTAAGATCCTCGTGAACTTTTGAACCGCACTAGGAATTTGTTAATTGCCTGGCAGACAGACTCCCTGTCTATAGATCAGTTAAGGAGTCTAGGTCTCTTTTTCTGTAGAATCCTCCATATAGAATTTATGTAAGTTTCAGAGAGTGGCCAGTTGTTTTAGTTTGGATCTTTATCTAAGTTTGTTAACGTAAAGGTTAGCCTGTGTACTATTGTGCTAATTTAAAATTCTTATTTTCAACAACATACAAAGCAGGAGACTTTTTTTCTGGCTAGGAACAATGCATATCTTATGTTACATGAAAACAATTCTACTAAAGGTCATGGCATCCAGTAAATTCGCTGAACAGGCCATCCTCCCAACACTCCTGAAAGCAGCTTCCCAAACTAAGAACAATGGCTGTGCCATTTCATGTGGAAACATTTATACTCAGAAAATGTGTCTGAATTTTATCAACCAGGTGTACTTCCATTTTCCAAACTGTCCCAAACTGGTTTTCTAAGCCACACAAAGCCCTCCTGACCTCTTCTTTGACCTGTCACGTTGCTACATCAAACAAGCACCATTATAAAGTTTCTTAAAAAACTGGAAATGTACATAAATAAGCCACTGATATCTCTGTCGCTCACGATTTTTCACAATAAATCTGCTATTAAGGACGCAGCCGTCCGTCTCCAACTCCGAACCATGGTTTGATTCATGACCAGCTTACGCGCAGCGGCTCTGTTTCCCTCCTGTACTGCCAGATCGATAACGCTCAACTTAAAAGCTGCAGCATCAAACCGAGTCTAAAGTTAACCAAATTGAGGTCTACTAAAAACAAACAATCGAATATTTCAAAATTAGCTAAAATCAACATTACAAACTAGCATAATTAAACTAATATTTCCAAGAACCTGCACATGTTCATTACTTTTATGAATGTTTAACATGACATTACCTTACCTTCCCAGTGAAAGGCTAATATGTTACCTTTGTCAACAGTCATTTTTTTTATTGAGTATTAAAGTCATTAATACAAGCCAGTAATATTAAGATTAATATACAGCATAATTTTACCAATTTCTCATGTCTTAATCCGTCCCATGAGGTCTGATCAGGACAAAGTGTAAATGAAAATGGTTTGTGATACAACAATGAAGTTTTTTGTAGTCTCTTCTTTGATGTGGCAAATGAATCATAGATTTGAACTTAGTGTTAAACCAGCCAGCTTATGTTCCAAAACTTTCATGTTCTGTTTGTCCTGTATTTCAGACGTATTTGGTGAGTGTTACCAAAGCAGTGAGAGCCTCTCCTTCACACTCCTTATAAGGAAGTCTTCTGTGTGGGGCGGAGCTACATGTCTGGAGATGGCCACAGCAGCCGATGCCCGACTGTTCTGCAGTCATGATGGTGTTCAGGTAGAAAAATACATAGTTCCAAAAATCTGGCCTGTCAGTGACTGAATCCCATGTTTTCTCCATTTGAAGATAATGATTCCCACTGTGCTTCTCTTGTGTTCCAAAGCATAAGAAAGCATTTGTTCTATACATAAATGTATCACCTTTTGGATGAGTAAATTTCTCCCTTGTTTTTACCCGTTACTCAAAACTATCTGGAATCATTCTATGTGAGAAATAATGCACGTTTGAAAATAAAGCAAACGTGCACCAAATTTAATTTGTTCTCAGTTTTCTACTTTGATTTTGCACTAAGAAAATTATGTTATTTAGTCAAATTATCCTAATGATTACAGTTCCCTGATTATCTTGTGTTTAACCTTTTTTCAATGCTATAGTCAACCTTCTTAGTACTGTATTCCACTCCTCCACAGAAACAGAGATGTTAAATGTTCACCAGATCACTCTAGCATATTTCAGGATTAGTACTTGTCTTCTGCCCAAGGGCACTCTGACAAGTACTAGGGTAAAATACTCCTAACACCTGTTACTGAAATAGTTACTACAAAATAGATGTTCATTTTGTGAGCTCAACAAGTATGATAATAAGCTCAGAAAGCTGGTTTCATTTTCAGATCTTTGTCTACTGTTAAGAATTAAAAAGAGGAATAATTTGATTTGGCTCGTTAATTCTCCTCTGATCCCGGATTCTTGAGCCTCAACATGTGCAGGGAGAAAGAGCAACCATACCACATCAGACTTCAGATATCTGGAATTTATCCAGAGAATTCAAATGCAAACAGAATGTCACAATAAGCATCTCACCCAGAAATCCAAAAGTCCAAGACGTGACAAAACAGAACTTATTGCACGACTTGAAAGAAAGTACAGACAGAAAATGCATTTTCCGGAAATTGTGAACTCGGGCAGAAAGCAATTCAAATTCTCTGTTGCAAACGAAAACTTTTATAAGCCTGTGCCTTTCTCTAAATTTAAATATATGCATTAGTAGGTGTGTTCTTTCCTCCGTGGGCCTTCCCATTGATTTTATTACCTCTGGGGCCTGTTTAAACCACCCAGATCTTCTCATACCAGGCTCTTGCCCAGGCCTTGATTTATAGCGTGCAGCTGGAGCGTTCTCTGCCTCAAATGATTCCACAAAAAAGTAGTTTGTATTTTTTAAACAAACTTGCACAAAATCTAATGCTAAATAATGACTATAAGTTTGGATCTAAGAACTAAAGTGTTTTTCTTCTTAAAGAAGAACTCTTTTTGTAAATATCAGAAATATTTTAAAGTGGTTTTCTAAATCTATTATAACATAAACTGCATGCAAATAGTATGATTACAAAATAACTACTGTAAAACATGTCTTAATACTTAAAGAACATCCCTTATATATATTTTATTCTAGTATGGATAAAATTATTTGTAAAAAGTTTTAAGCTCCTAGTGATCTTTTGAACCACGCTTAGGAATTTGTTAATTGTCTGGCAGACAGACTCCCTGTCTAAAGAGATTTAAGGAAGTCTCAGTCTGTCTTTCTTTAAGATCCTCTCTATATAATTCATGTAAAACTTTTAGAGTGGCCAATTGTTTTAGTTTGGATCTTTATCTAAGTTTGTCTTAACGTAAAGGTTAGCCTGTGTACTATTGTGCTAATTTGAAATGCTATTTCAACACTACATTTGGATGTCTTCAATGGCAAAGATAACTGTACATAATTACATATATGCATAGCTAGTTGTATATGCTTGCATTGCATTAAAGTGAAAGCATTGCATTACTCCAATATCTCAGTTGCAATGGCCATCCTCACACTCTATAATAATTATTGTCCATGTGTGTTTATGGTGGAAGTCTCTAAACAGAATCTTGAAGAGAAGAAAGAGATAATAAAAAAACTTTACTTTGACTTGAGTATTGACATTTTTGGCCTACTTCACATTTGTCTGGCTTCCCAGTGCTCTTGGACTGATTATGGCTGTAGATAAAGACTGAATATCATCAGTCTGTCTTCTGTCTTTGATAACATTGTAACCTTTTGTTGCTCTGCTACAGTCTCTGTTGTCTGAGATATGGTGGGGGGACATGGACAGGTCAACTGAGGTCTGGAAGCTGATTCTCTCTTTCTTCATTCCTCCGCTCATCTATACCGATCTGATCAGCTTCAGGTTAGTCTTCCCTTATTACTGTGCAAAACTATGAGCTTAATATCAGGGTTTGTGCTTGTATTAGTATTATTTGATTTGAAATTGATTTCTTTCTGACTTTATTTTTTTAGTGCTGTGGCTTTTTTGACATTGTACTCAAACAAATAGAAGTAATGCATCAAATATTTTTTCTCAAGCAGAGTGTAAGTTTAGTTTTTCTCCATAAGGAAATGAGATTTGGAAATGAGAATTGTTGAGTATGATGTTTGCCACTGTTGTATTTCTGTTGGCACTACTTTGTGAAGCGGAAGTGTAGCACCGGTATCACACTGCTAACCGCGCCACTGGACCAGTTCTAGGCTCTAAGGAGTGGGGAGCAAGAATAACAGAACCAGAGACCTCTGCTTAAGTGTAATAAACCAATAATTTACTAAATGTAAAACACACAAATAAGATGCAACACATAAACAAAGAAAACTCTACAGATTCTCAAATGAAACTAAAAAAAAAAAGAAAATAAATAGAGTATATCACTCTTCACCAAAATGAAATACAATTATTCAAAACACATTCAAAGATATAATATATAGAAATCAAAGTATATCCGAAAATGAATTCAGTTCAATGAAAAGTCTTAGTTGACTCGATCCAACAAAAAGAATAATTCACTAAATTATCAGTTCAGTTCAATCCAGTTCGCCCTGGCAGCGAATTACCACACGCAGGAGAATCCCTCCTTAAAGTGATGGAGAAGATGAACGGAAGGTCTGGGTCTGGCTCGCCATCCTGAATCCGCGCCGTGAATGTGCGCGCCGTGAATGTGCGCGCCGTGAATGTGCGCGCCGTGAATGTGCGCGCCGTGAATGTGCGCGCCGTGAATGTGCGCGCCGTGAATGTGCGCGCCGCACAAGGCAGATAAATCCTGGCTCCGACCGAGCTTCCAACCAAGCAAAAAACCTGACCTGTATAACAAGTCGCAAACACAATAAAACAATTTTTAAATCTTCAAATTATACAAATACATTCTTCTTTACTCAATATGTTAACCAAATAACAGTTTATAATGGAACATTTCTTCTTAACGGCTATTGTAACGGCTATTGTAACGGCTACATTTTTTACAGTACAATACGGTGAAAGTACGAAAAAAAAACAAACATAAAACTCACCAAAACCAATATTCTCAATAAAATTCCTGTCAGTTCCCGACCAGGTAGATTATCTTTCTTAATTAAATTAACTTTCGCTGTTCATTAATCACCGCTCCACTCAGATTCCTCCTCTGCGCTCTCTCTCTCCCGCCTGTGAGCTGCAGCGTCACTCTGACGCTGCACCTGTGACGCTGGTCTCTTAAAGGGGCAGCGATACAATTTTCTGTTTACAGACTTTCAATCAACTATTTATTCCTATTTATGTCAGATTTTAACATGGGTTACAGAAGGTTATGCACTTACAAAAGCAATAAAGGCAGAGCCTTCTTGTTCTCTGTGTGTTAGACAAGAGCATAGCAGTGTGGCTACTGGTTAAATTGATTATGTCTCCTATGTATGTCATAAGTGAGTTAATACTTCTGCAAAGATGTATTCACGTGATACCGATGATGACGAAGAGCCCAGAGATTCCCGTGGAAATAATAGGAGATCCAGTGCAGAAGAACCACCAAAAATGCATTGTTTGTGTCCTCAAAATTTGTGATTATATATTTAGAACCAAAGTAATTCTAATATTTTCACAACTAATGATGCTTCTTTTTAGTTCAGCTGAATTTTCTCCAAGGCTCTTTCACATATTACAGATTCTTAACAAAGATCATTATATGTTCACAGATGTCAGAGAAGAATAAATCAAGTCAAATGAAAATGAATGAAAAATTGCTCTCATTAGAGTTCAGTTCAGTCCAATTAGCATGGTGATGATGTTGAAATGGTCATTTTGGGGACTTCCAGGAAGACAGTGGGGAAGACGGACGCATAATTTTGCTGCTCTACCACAATAAATAGCTGACAAAGTAATGAAAATTGATAAATGAGTACTAAACTAAAAGGAAAGGACTCAAGAGGACTGAGTTCTAGTCAAAATACAGACATGGAAGACATGAAGGCTGGTAGAAAAGACAACGTTACAGCAGGCTCCAATCAGCTAATGTTAGCCGAAGCTACACCGTCGAAAGCTACAGGAGATGCTAGCAGGGAAACAGTGATGCTAACAGAATTACTCTACACCTGGTAGAATCATTTATGGAGGACTTAAAGAAACGATTGGAGGGGCGGGACAGAAGACTGACTGAAGCAGAGGACAGAGGAAGTGCAACGGGAGACAGAACTATATGGCAGGACAGGGCACTGGGACACTTGCGAGAAAGAGAAGCTAGCCTCACGGCTAAATGTGACGACATGGAAAACAGACTCCGCCGTAATAACATCAGGCTGTATGGCGTCCCACAGGGAGCGGAAAAAGAAGATATGGTAACTTTATCACAGACTTTCTGAGCACTTCTCTAGAGTTTCAAGAAGAAGTTGTTAAACTAGAAACTGCACACAGAGCATTAGGCCCAAAGCCTAAAGTTGAAGTGGCTCCTCCAACATCCATTATAGCCCGGTTCCTGGACTTTAATGAGAAACAAAAAGTGCTATTACAAGCTTGGAAGCAAAGAAACATAAAGTACCAAGAGCACACAATTTGTTTCGACCATGATTACTCACCTGACCTCCAGAAGAAAAGAAAATAGGTCAAGAGAGGTAATAAAGAAACTAAAAGAAAAGAACATTAATGCCCAGTCACCATATCCAGCTCAGCTGAAACTCTTCATGAACCGAGGCACAAAACTCTTCCTCTCACTTTCAGCAGCACACTCTACACTGAAAGATCTCGGCATTGAATCATCCCAGGAGGACAGAGAGATACTGGAAGTGGAGCTGATAGGGGATGGATGGACAACCCAGAGAAAGAACAGGAAGAGCCAACAGCTGAACCCTGCTGAGATCAGAGCCATTATCCATGGTGACAACAGAGATGAACCACAAAACTGGACAAATAGCCATTTGACCAGAGACCAGTGCCACAGAAGGCTAAAATTCTGCCGTTTGATTGAAGAAATGGGGCTAGTTGATATATGGTGTCAAAGCCACCCCAAGGAGTGTGATTACACATTTTTCTCAAAAATCCATGGAATTTATTCCAGAATAGATCTCTTTTTTGTTTAAAGGAGGATGCACATAAAGTTACAAATACTCCTCAAAGAAATTTGCCTCAAAAAGAGGAACTAGGCAGAGATGTCCCCTTCCGCCTCTATTATTTGCCAATAGTATCGAGCCCCTGGCAGAAAAAACATGGCCAGACATGTTATTTATGGAATAAAAGCAGGTCGAGTCACCCATAAAATTTCATTATATGCGGGTGTTATTTTGTATATTTCTAATCCCTTGGCTTATGACATTGAAAGATTTTGGAGAAATATCAGGCTACAAAGTTAATGAAACCAAGTCAGAAGCTATTATGTTGGTGGGGAAATGGCCTACTGTTTTAGATAAAGAGGTCACTTTTAATTGGTCCAAGAGGGGATTCAAATATTTAGGTGTGACGATTACACCACAAACCTTGCAACTATTCAATGGAAATTATAGTAGATTAATCACACAAATAAAATCAGACCTGGCTATTCTGTCCCTTCTGGGCACAATAGAAACAGTGAGAATGAATGTGCTCCCATGATTAATGTACCTATTTCAGGCACTTCCTATTTGGATACCTGCCTCCACTTTTAAAATTTTGGATAAAATTATTAATAACTATTTGGTAAAGGAGGAAACCAAGAATCAGACAGAAATTATTGTTAAGCCCAAGAGAAAGATGAACTGGATTAGTCTGGAGAACAATGCTTGCCCACTGGCACCACTTGAAGCCATTCCATTTTTGGAGGAAAAAATTGAAAGGATTTAAAAGTTGAAAATGAGTGGATTAATTGTACATACAGAGTCTGGCCTCTGGTGAGGAAGAAAATAGGAGCACCTTTAACAGTGTCACGCATAATGAAAATAGCCAGGATTACTGATTTTTTTTTTTTTTTTTTTTTACAAACAAACTGGATATGGGTTTTCAGAGATGGGCACAGAAAGGACTATTAAGAATTAATCAGTTATTCAGTGGAGAAACTTATGTCATTTCGGCAGTTACAAGATAAATATGGATTATTCTCAAAAGATTTCTATGAGTACTTACAAGTAGGGGATTACCTTTTATCACACAAAGAATGGCCTACCTTGAAATATTTCTGATAAAATGTGTAGAGGACCATAATAAGAGGAACATTATATCTAATTGATATAAACATTTACAGATGCATTTCTCTGACAATTCTATAGATGTGAAGCAAAATTAGGAACTAAAAATATTGTCAATATTGTTATTGAAGATGAGGAGTGGGAGGAAATTTGTGAAATAGTTTTAAGATCACCCACAGTCCAGGTTGGAAAGAATTTAGCTTTAAATGTTTGTTTAAAAGCACCCTTTTTTCCCTTTCTTTCTTTTTTCTCTTTCTCACTTTCTCACTTTCTTTTGTTGTATTATGTAAGTGGATGTATAAATATGCATATGCAGATATGTTGGATTCATAATATTCTTAAATAAAGAATAAAAGAAAAAAGAAATGGTAATTTTGAAGTTCTTATACACTAAATGACTAACAGTACATCAAATAACTGTTTTCTGTGATTACGGATCTCTAGTTAAACGTTTGTTTCCGTCTAGCAGGTGTTCCTTTGTGGCTGCTATCGATTGGAGCAACCTTTGCCACCCACTGGATGTAGGGACAAACAACAGCCTCAGCTTTCTGCTTCATGTTACACTGAACATCGGCCAGCAGTGTGCTACTGATCGCTAACAGCCTTTTGATATTAGGCAGGAGTTTGTTCGCCCAACCAACTCCCTCCATCCAACGGGTGGCACAGGTTGCTACAATCAATAGTAGCCAAACAGGCACACCCACTAGAAGGAAACAAACGCACCCAGTACAACACTTTCATTCTATTGGAAGTTGCCACGTGACGGTTCCAAAAGGCAGTTCCAAAGCTAGCAGAGGACGTTTTGAAAGCGAGCAGAGAGTTCTGCAAGAGCATGAGGAGAAAGGTTTGAGTAAACATTACAAATTTTGAGACAAAAAACATGAAGTCCTGCTTTCAAAATGAAAATGTAAGCAAAAGTATTAAGTTTTGAGAAGAAAGACATGTAATCCTGCTTTCAGACTGAAAATGTGTGCTCTCAAATTATGGAAGAAAAATTCCTCCATAAAGACCTGGCTTGGCATGAATCTCCACTAAGCCTGGTTTAACCCTTGTAAAATGGATAACACAATATGCAGATCACGTTATGTCAAACCAGCTTTATCTTTTATCCAGAGGCCCGCTTCACAAAACCAGGATAGTGGATATTTGAATATCCTGGCTGTATTAAGTTCTGTCATGTTGGATGGTGAACATTGGTGGAGCCATTTTCAGGTCTCTCCAGAGATACTCAATTGGGTTTAGGTTAGGGCTCTGTCTGTGCCTGTCAAGAATGGCCACAGTTATTCCGAAGCCACTCTTTTGTTATTCTAGCTGTGTGCTTCGGATCATCGTCTTGTTGGGAGGTGAACCTTCAACCCAGTCTAAGGTCCTGAGAACTTGAAAGAGGTTTTCTTATATCTGTACTTTGCTGCATTCATTGTGTTGCCACAAGGTTTATTCACTGTATTCACTCATGTGTTTGAAGAGGAAAAATAAAAACTTCCACTGCGCTCCAATATATGGATGCAAACAAATAATTTATTCCACAGTTTTGTGTGTTATTCTTTACAAGAGCAGTTGAATCTTAGGCAACCTTCACAACCAAACTACAGTTGAAAAACCGTGTGGCTCTGTAGATATTACTTGCAGCGCTTTTCCTTTCTCTATCTATCCTTCATTAACGCTCCAGCGCAGCACACCTCATTTGCATAAATTGCAAAATGGCCAATTAAGCTATAAACATATAACCTAAAATAAAACACTCAATTTACAATAAAACATTACAAAATTAACTACATGCAATTCTAATAATGTTATCTAAACCTCAACAAATGCACTTATTAAATGACTAAACAAATATGTTTTAACAGTAACTGTGTTAACTGTGTAACTATTGTACTGCCTTTGCATTGTACCTCACGATAAAGCATAAATAAAGTTTTGGAACAGTAACTGAATATTATTTTACATTAACTTGGCCTCCACATTCATCTTTCATTCCATTGCAACAGTCTTCCTGTCCCTGCAGCTGAAAAAGATCCCCAAAGAATGATGCTGCCACAACCGTGTTTTGGGATTGCATTGGGCAGGTGATCAGCTGTGCCAGGTTTTCTCCACACAGAGCGCTTAGAATTAACGCCAAAAAGTTGAATATTTGTCTCATCACACGATGAGTTATTTAAGGTCTTATATAAACAATTGTGTACCTTTCCTAATCAAGTCCAATCAGTTTAATTAAACATACATTGGACTTCAATTAAGGAGTAAAACCATCTCAAGGACAATCAGAAAAAATTGACAACTTTTTAGCTAAATATGCGTGTTGGTATACTTGTGATATTTCAGTTTTTCTTTTTTAATAAATTTGGAAAAAATTAAAATTTCTGTTTTTCAGTCAAGATAGGGTGCTGAGTGTACATTCGTGAGTGTACATTTGTTTCATTGCATGGCGACAATGAAACAAAGAGTGAAAACTTTAAAAGGGTCTGAATTCTGTCTGTACCCACTGTATGTATTTATTTTTTTATCAGTAAGATAAAGTCACATCAGTCCATGCTGTTCATATTATAGACTTAAATACATAGTCATGTCAATGCTTTTCCTGCTTAGTGCTGCTCTTATTCCTTTTTCTGCTCTCTTGACAGCTAGCAGTCCTTCATAGCCTTACTGGGGTTCATGGTCTTTATTTTGTCATCTGCATATGTAAGCATGGCTCTGGAAGAATGTGAAAGGGATATATAACAGCAACGTTTAGTTCTTGTCATATTTTTTCTTCAGTAAACCAGTGGCGGAGCTAGACTTTTTTTCAAGGGGTGGCCAAAGTGAGCAAGGCTTTATCAGAGGGGTCCATATACAAATGGACCGTTCCATGGAACGAAAGGAAAAAATATTTGTTTCCTTTCGTTTAAAATTAATTAATACAACTAGTGAGGTTATAATTCAAAGCTTTCATATTACATAGCCTACTTACATTTCAGTCATAAAACTTAATGGTTTTTTCTCATATTCTTACCACACACATTTCAAGCAAGAGCTGGGAGATATAAAACATTAGAGGGCAGCATGTGCACTAAAACATATGTTAAAAGAATCTGTCTAAAACACAATCTATCAGCACTAGCATGGCTAATATAATAAACGAGGCACTATGCAGCGGTGCACAACCATTTTTTTTATTTTTTTTATTTTTTTTTTTAGAAATGTAGGACAAGTGCCGCCTCTCATTAGGAAGGTAACAGCGGTTACCGGTGAGCGGTAAAATGTAAATACCTGCAGAACTCCTTGACGGTGTAACTCTAAAGCCACGGGTGTGTTTGGATCAAGCAGGACCCACATGTCAGTTTAACCAATGAACAGCGTCCGGTATCGGGCTGCTTTCAGGGACAGTCGGAAATTACAGTTTTCCTGGCAAATCTTTGCCGATCTCATAAGTATTATATTTTAAAATGACCATTTCCAGTGGGGTGGCAGTAGGGGTGGCAAGGGCTCTGTTGGGGGTGGCAAGTGCCACCCCGGCCACCCCTCTGGCTCTGCCACTGCAGTAGACCCTTAACAGCACGTGATGTTTTTTTGTTTGTTCAGGGAACTAGAAGAGGAGATCAAACCTTTTGCAGATCACCACATCAGAGACAATGACAGCGTAGAGGGGATTGATGCCGCTGACTTCTCCATTGCTGACATCATACAAAAGTAAAATCAAACAATATATAAATCAAACTATTGTGTTTGATCATTTTAGTACTATTTGTAACAATACAATCCCATGCTTGTTTTAACTGCAGTGAGGAAGACATGGAAGAATTGAAGACCCTGAAGGAAGGCCTAAAAGGCAGGTTTGGACGTGTATTCTGCTGTTTGTATAGGCGTGTGCTAATGATATAAAAAGAAAGAAATCACAATATAGAACTGCAGAGGTTAGCAAAAGCCAAAAAAAAAAAAAAGAAAAAACAATAAATAAATAAACAAGTCATGAATAAGTTAAGACTTCAATTCGAATATTGTTCTTTTTTTGTTTTGGGTTTCTTTATTTATTTATTTATTTATTTTACAAGAAACGTACTCTGGCTCAGAACATTGTTAAAATTGCCAGAAGAAACAGGTATACAGCATCTTTGGTCTCACAACATAAAGGTGTGATGACAGAGGGCATAGGAACAAGTTTATCATTGGTGGGGACACATATCGGAAACCTGACAAATCTGTAAATAACTTGAGCAGAAATATTATAAACATTAACACCTTACTTAGTAATGCGTTACTCTAATCTAACACATTAAGATTAATAGTAAATAATCTAATACTTACTTGTTTCTATTGACCATCCAATAATCAAACAAAATAAGATTCTGAAGAGACATGAGGGGGAGGATGAATGCCCCTTATTGAAGGATGAATTTGTCATTGAATAATCAAGTTATTTTTTTAAAGTAGCTGTCCCATCCCTGGTAATAAATTAACTAACTACAAACTACCCAAAAAACATAATTTTCATTTCCTCTTGAACAAAATAATTCTGTTCTTTAATAAAGCAAACTGTCATTCCAGGTCTATCCACTCACTTTATCATTTGCCTCACAACTCACAAGCAGGTAGAACACACATTTGCTAGCAGCTTTTTTTAATGTATTTTATTGGTCAAAATGCATTTACATTTGTAAATTGTTGACTGGCAACTGAAGTGGTTCTGCCTCTTTCTGAAACCTTAACTATAAAAGAGATAGTAACATGCTCCTACACTAACAAGATTTGAAATGGCTTCAGAGATTAACATCGAAGGTGCAGCTCCACAGCATAAAAATGATTTATTTTAGACCCAAACAGGAAAAATAAATTGCACTAACAGATCACTATTGAGAAGCATTTCACAATATAAATGTACAGAACACTAGTTGGGTGTTTTACTACAGCTGATAATCTAACCATCACCTTTATAATGGATAGGTACATATGTACGTATATAGCCTAATTTAACTTAACAAAGCATGGATAACTTAACAGAGGTGTAGTGGAATGTTCACTTGCTGTAATTACCAACAGCAAACTTTAACATTCTTGCAGCCATTTTCAGTATTGAACAATACTCCCCCAGATAGTATTTATTGAAGATGTCAAGTCATTTTTAAACATTTTAATGGTATCAATAGCTGTTTTCTAGCTGTTATATTTGTTTTCCCTTTCTTATCAGGTTTTCTATTGAAATTCATGATTATTCTTCTTACTAAAATATCTCAGAAAGCGTTCATTATTAATTTCAAGGGCCGTCATCATTCCTGTGTTATTACAGTATTTTTATGACTGCCTACTGGCTTAGTGTTGGCTTCCCCTTCCTGGACTCTCACACACACACACACACACACACACACACACACACACACACACACACACACACACACACACACACACACACACACACACACACACACAAACACACACCTGCCTTCCTGTCTGCATGAAACGCTCCCTCTTCATGAACATTTCCATTCCTTCCTAGTGGGCAGCAGCAGCTGATCTGAACTCTTCATCAATCTTTCCCTGGTCACATCTCTTTCTCTCATCATCATCCTCTGACATTAATGAATCCCCTCTATCACTAATTTCCCCACCTTCTCAACTACTGAATCTGCTCCAGCGGGTAAAGTTTGTGTGGTAAACATATCAGTTAGTTTGACACATTTTTCTGAATGAGCTTATGCGCTTTTAGGCTTATGTTGTCATAGTTTTTCTGGCTCACCATGTCTCGTACCCGCTCATTTATCTTGGACTCCGGTAGGCTGAAATTGCGCTAATTTTGACCTTAGTGGAGAGGAGCAGGCCAAGTGGGGCTAAGGGATTTCATTGGATAAGCCTGGATATGTCTGTCAATAAAATCAGCCAATGGGCTGTCATGATTGATAAAAATTTTATCCAATATGATATTTGTTAAATTATGGGCCGCCTGTATGGACAGTCTGTGCCTCAGTCTGTAGTCCAGACAGTCAGTCCTCCTCTGGACAGAAGTTCAAACTGAATCCAGCCTCTTTTTTTCTGTTCAAATTGTCAACTCACCACAGTGGTGAGTGTGTTGCTCTGATTTACATGCCACTTCATACATTTACCCACATTTGGCCAGTGGCAGGTGCTAATTTCCATCAGTGCTATCAACATTCAATTTTAGAAAGTCACCTGGTTTGCGTGAATGAAAAGTCTCACCAACTCACTCTACTTGAGCTTTGTTAATTCAGAAAGAGTATGTTTTTTGACAATTTTGATTTTTTTTTCAGTTTTGGAATGTACTTTAACAACACTGCATCCAAGTGCAAAGTGGCTTATTGGATCAAAATGATGGCTTTGAACATAACAGGAGGTTAGATAAATAACAGAAAACAAATCAAATATTTTGGTCGATCCTATTGTATTTATCTTGGGATTATATCTCGTAGTGTTCATAAATATAGCCAGAAGGCTTATATTTGCATAGATATATTGTTCTTGTATTTCAAAAAGAAAATCTATTGCAGTTTTATGAAATATACGAATTTCTTGTAAAGAGATAACCCTGTCAACACAGTAAATAATTTTTCTGCAAATATTCAGTTCAATTCAAAATTATTTCTTAATCGCAAAGGGAAATTAAAGAATAAATAAATACAGTGACATGTAAACAAAATGACAATGACTGACTTGAACACATAGTGAAGGAAACAGTCTCTGTCCTTAACAGATAGTTATTTACACACTTTTATTATCAGTTAAGATAGTTTGACCACTTTTCTGAAAAATGTTTGGAGAAGAATTCCTGTGCACAAACGCATGTGCATGTGTGTGTGCGGTGCATGTGTCTGCACGAGCACTTTTGTGTGTGTGTGTGTGTGTGTGTGTGTGTGTGTGTGTGTGTGTGTGTGGGGGGGGGGTGTGTGTGTGTGTGTGTCCATAAGTGTGTATAATAAGTTGTTTCTCACCAGTGTTATCACATTGGCACTGCAGTCAGCAATGGGATTGGCTGCAGTTAGGCTGGTTTTGTGAGGGCTAAAATTTACAGTGGCTTGCAAAAGTAGTCATACCCCTTGAACTTTTCCATATTTTGTCACATTACAACTGCAAACATAAAAATATTTAATTAGAATTTAATATGAAAAACCAACATAAAGTGGTATACAATTGTGAAGTAGAAAGAAAACTATACACCATTCAAATTATTTTTCAAATAAAAACCTGAAAAGTGCATAGTACAAAAGTATTCAGGCCTCCTGAACTTTTTGCTGCCATTACAGCTGCCAGTCTGTTGGTGTTTGTTTCTATCACTTTTGTACATCTGGTGACTGAAATTTTTTGCTTCATCTACTTTGCCAAACAGTTGAAGTTCAGTCAGATTAGATGGAGAATGTTTGTGAACAGTAGTTTTCAGATCTATCCACAGATTTTTGATTAGGTTTTGGTCTGGACTTTGACTGGACCATGTGTTTTGTTTTAAATCATTGTATTGTAGTTGGCCTTCATGTTTAGGGTGGTTGTCCTGCTGGACGCTGAACCTTCATCCCAGTAGCAAGTCTTTTTCAGACTCCAACAGGTTTTCACCAACATTTTGCTCCATTCATCTTCAAACCAACTCTGATCATCTTCCCTGTCCTTGCTGAAGAGAAGTACCCCCAGAGCATGATGCTGCCACCACTATATTGGGGATGTTGGGAAGGTGTGTTCAGAGTGATGTGCATTGTTAGTTCTCCATCACACATAGCTTTTTGTATTTTGGCCAAAATGTTCAATTTTGTTGTGATCTGACCACAGCTCCTTCTTTCACATGTTTACTTATGGTTTTCTTTAGCAATGACTTTCTTCTTGCCACTGTGCCATATAGAGCATGCATGCATTGTGATAACTAATAGTTGTTCTGTGGACAGATTCCCCCAGAGCCGAGGCTCATCTGGTCCAGAGTCACCATGGGCCTCTTGGCTGCATCTTTGATCAGACCTCTGCTTGTTCAGCCTGAGAATTTAGGTAGACAGCCTTGTCTTGTAGGTTAACAGTTGTCAGACTCTTTCTTGATAAATCTTTCTCTAGCCCATGTCTGCTTTAAACTTTTCTGCAGTTTTCTCCCTGAAATGACATCATGATGCTGTTTACCCCCCCCCCCCCTTTTTTTTTTTATTTCTACTGTACAATAAAACATTTTGTATTGGTCTTTCACATTAAATTTTATTGACTTGTATTTGTTTGTTCTGATGTGACAAAATATGCAAAAATTCAAGGGATATGAACACTTTTAAAAGACGCTGTAGCTTACCGCCATTAATGCATGAAGGTAATGGACCATAGTCTAAAGACAACACCACTCCCAATAATATAGAATGTTAGAAATATCATTCGGTTATTTTTTACTGCAATTATTTTTGTTGGTTGGCACTGACTTGACTCGTTGTATCTTGTGCTTCTTTTTCAACCAGACTCTATGCAAACTAATTCCAAAAGACCATTTATCATGTCAAGGTGGAGGCAGTTTTGGTATGCGCCTGTGACCTCATTCCTGGGCAATGTGCTGATGTACTTCCTGTTCCTTTGCCTGTTTGCCTATGTTCTGTTGGTGGACTTCAAAGGCCCTCCCCCTGATGGACCCTCCTCTCTGGAATTTGTGCTTTACTTTTGGGTCTTCACATTAGTATGTGAAGAGATCCGACAGGTTGGTTATTTCCACACAAATGTATCTACACTGACACACAGTATGCATTTACTTCTTAAAACCATTACAGCTAGAAAATTGTGGAAAATATTTATAATATCATAATGGTGTCTTTCTAACACCATTATATCCCTTACACCTTTTCGCCTTTTGTCCCATTATAAGCAAATAAGACCATGCATTAGTGAGCTAACAGCATTATGAAGACCAACAGATATCACAGACAAATCAAGGAGAAAATTGCAAAGAACTTTAAAACAAGGTTAGGTTCTAACCTTGTTAGAAAGGTAAATGTAATTTTATTTATATAGCACATTTTCAGCAACAAAGCAATACAAGGTGCTTTACAGGAGTTGAAAGAAAATACAAACAAAATAAGAAACCAAAGGAAAGAGCGAAAGGAGGAATCTAATGTTGATATAAAGTGCGCAAACTAGATACAAGGTTGGCTTATGAGTATAAGTAAGTATCATCTGGTCAAAATCCTTTTCTAGAATTAGACCAGAGGACTTGGAGAGAAAAAAAAAACAATCCCCACTTTTTTGAGATGCCAAGAAACTTTTTGAAAAATTCTGCATTCCTTTTTTGGGTTAAAGGGCTTTATACACTTTATACAAATGTATTGTTGGAGTCTAATTAGAGAAGAGACAAGAAGGATGGTTTAAAACATTTCCTGTGGTCTAGAGATCCTAGATAAGGGTATTATGTTAAGAGACATAAAGCTGAAGCTGGTTTCTGATTGCAGCTTTCTATTTGTGAAATGGCTAAAGGGCAATTCCACCTATTTTTAGGGCAATTTCCACCAATGTCTTTAACTTTGTTAAAGCCCAACGTGTCTTTAACAAAGTTAAAGACGTTTCTTTAGTTTATTTATAAGGAAACCCAGCAAATTGCATTGAGTCACTGACTTGCAAACTTCAATCCTCTTGGACCAGCATGTAGTGTCAGTAGAAAATGGAAAGGCATACACTCAGGGGCAATAAAACAGAGTAAAGTCAGAAAAAAATATTTGCAAAGGTAGCTTAGTATGTGCACCAATATGAGAAGTCTGCGGTCCATTTTGGAAATAACACAGGCATCCATAAATGCACTGGAAAACACAAAAGCAATAACCAGGACAGAGGCAGTGGAAGAAAGAGCATGGCCAAATAGAGGAGTGGTAAGAGAATTAAAGCAACTGAAGCAATGTGAGCATCCAAAAATAATCATGTATAGAGAAAAATAATCAATGAATAATGAATCATAAACAAATGTCTTGTTTTTTTGTTGTTGTTGTTTTTTTGGTGTGGCAAAGAGATTCTCATGCAACTATGAAAAGAAATAGATTGATGTTCCAATCTCTAAAATTAAAGAAAAGCTGTGGAATTAAAAATGTTTACAAGTTTGAACATTTTTATGGTTTTAACTGGGACTTCTTATACTAACACAAACTGGCCTATTTCGACTTTTCATTCTGCTCAAATTATTTAGTCAGTACAAAGAATAATATTGTCCATATTTGAAATGTCCACCTGTTGTAGTTTTGGAGCTGAGACAAGAAAAGAAAGTTTTTCTCGTGAGGATTAAACACATTTTCATGCATTTTCCAAATGCATGAAAAGTGATGAAATAACCCTTTATTACAGTTTCATAAATCAAATAAAAGTTTCACAAATCACAAACTTGCCTTGAATATTGTGCTATAAGAGCAGAAAAATTTAATCCATGTTTACATAATCTAGGTGTTGTAGTTTCTTTAACTAGACTCGGTAAAAGATACTAAAGGTAGTGAAAAAATAGGTGGAATCACCCTTTGGCCATTTCCTAAATAGGAACCTGCAATTGGCAACCAACTTCAGCTTTATGTTTCTTAGGATAATATCATCTGGGTCATCTCTAGGCAGTAGAAACGTTGTTAATTGTGCCCCAGGTCTCTCATTTAGGGGCTGCACAGTGGTGCAGGCTGACAACCTGTCCAGGGTCTACCTGTCTGGCAAGTCCCGACCCCATCAGGGATAAGGGTGAGCAGAAGATGGATGGATGGATGGATGGGTCTCTCATTTAGACTCCACCACCACTACCAGCTTTTCAGAAACTGCATAAACAGCTTTTTCACAAAAAATTTGCACAATTTTTCAAAAGGTTTTTAGGGCTCCGTACTAAATAGTGCTCTAAATTGATTAAAACAGACTAATTAGATTAATTATACTCTGACACTGTGATTAATCACGATTAATTGTTGTGCCTAACTGGATCTTCTCAATGTAGACCAGTATTTCTCTTTCATCCTTTTTTGGGCCAGGATATCTCACTATTTGTATTACACCACAGCATTCTTAGATTAGCACAAGTAAAGGAACAAATAAACTTAAAGTGAATAACATTTATTATTTGGTGGCATAACCTATGCTTGTCATGACTGTTTAACACCTGCAATATACTGACCTCATCAAACTGTTGCATTCTTTATTTGTGATGCTACTCCAGGCTTTTACCACAGCTTCTTTCAAAGAGGAGGTGAAATGCATTTTCCTTTGGGTTAAGGTCAGGTGACTGACTTGGCCAGTCTAAAACCTTCCACTTATTTTCTTCTGATTAAGTCCTTTATTTTGTTGGTAGTGTACTTTGAGTCATTTTCCTGCTGCATGATAAAATTCCTTCTGATTATTTGGGATGCATTTCTCTGTAAATCAGCAAAATGCATCAGTTACATCAGCAATAAAAAAATAATGAGCTGTTCCAGGAGCAGCCATGCAGGCCCAAGCCATGACATTATCTCCACCATGCTTCACAGATGAGCTTTCAATCCAAAGCAGTTCTTCTCTTTCTCCACACTTTGACCTTTCCATCACTTTCTTGGAAATTGATATTTGTCTCATGAGTCCATAAAATTGTGTTCAGAAACTTTTCTGGCTCATCTCTGTACTTCTTTGCAAATTGAAATCTAGCCTTCAAATTCTTACTACTGAGAAGTGATTTGCATCTTTAGGTGTAGTCTGCACTCCTGCACTGTGAAGGTGCATTGGTGATGTCTCCTTTCCACTCGATTGATAGCAGCGATACCGCGAAATCTCCACTCTAGGTTTCCGTGGTTACCTGCAAAAATGTATTCAAAATAAAAGATTTTAAAATATAAATTATTCCCAACATACTGCACATGGAAAAGAAGAACCGCATTTGGCATTCCTGCTCTAGATAATGTCCCCGAATGCTGTCAAGTCCACTGGCAAAAATCCACTAATCTGTTGACAGGACCATTACTAAACCAGACATTTGATAGCTTTCCATATTAATGTGTTTAAATTTAAATGAACCAATCACATTATGGATTTAATTTCTGCTCTGTCCCTTGTTCACAGATCTTTTTGGGGGGCGATTTATTTTTGCTCCAAAGGATGAAGAAGTACATTCAGGATCACTGGAACAAGTGTGACCTCACAGCTATTCTTCTTTTTCTTTTGGCTCTACTCTGCAGGTGATTGTTCTAACAAGACAAGCAAGGCATCTGCTGCCTTATTTGCCTTGACAGAATATTCTTGTCCAGATATATTCCTTTTGTGCCCACATCTCTCTGTAATAATGAGCACAACTCTCCACAAATGACAATGCACAGTACCAGTAAACAGGAATGCACCAATGGACCTGTTGTGACAAACAATAAATTATTTAGTTGCACATAAAGTCACATGAGCTCGATAATAATCTCTTGTTTGTTTTCGTTTTGTCTCTCTCTCTTTCTACCTAAGAGACTGCATGACAAAGAGCTTCACTCTTCCAGTTACTCCTCCCCTCTCATTTCCAGGACCACTCAGACACAATAATGGCTCAACAAACGGGGAGCTAAGATTGTCAGTTTTCCTCCACTTGGGGTGAACCCGAACACCAGACACGATAGCGATGACAGTGGCAGAAGTTGAACAATTTTCAACTTTCTTGCATGAAATTTCACATGCAAAAATTATGCTGTTCGCTCAACTACATGAAAGTTACTTATTTTACTGCATTGTGATTTCTTTATTTGTTGATACTTACTTTATTGGTAAGACACTATTATGTCACTTCTCAAACTCCATAGGAAATGAATGGAAAGGGAGCAGCACTGTCTCCCATCACCATGTCAGTGACAGAACACAGTTACAATCACAGGTGTTAATCGACAAAATACAAAGGGCCAGTGCAAAATAGTAGAAGCTTTCTTATAGAGTTTGATGATACCCTTTTAATATAATTGAAAAACCAGCCTTTTGAAAATTTCTGCAAACATTTACAGTACACAGTAGTGAGTTTACAGTTGTTTTCCCACAAAAGTCCTAACTGGTAGTATTGCCTATTTGAGCCCAATAATGAATATATTTTGAAGGGTCAGTTTGTTTCCAAAAACCTCATAATAAAATTTTTGTTTCATGTATGAATTTTGGAAATTTAGAATGTGTTCATTAGAAATTAGTATATTGATCTTTGAAAGGTGCATTGTTATGCAATTTTATGTTATTAGTAAATAATGGTCTTAAAACAACAACACTACTTATTGCAATATTTTCTGGGGCAATTGATCACTCAGCAAAATCTGTTCTTGTGACAAGCCTATTCATCAAACAGAATTGGGTGGCTAATTAGTGATTTTTGTAATGCTCTGACCTGCAGATACAAATTTGTTTCTTTAAGAACTGCCTTAAAAAGTCAAAAGTCAAATTAAACACATCAGGAGCAAAGGCAACATCGTCTTGTGTGAGTGAGTATGCATTACTGTAAAAAGCCTTTTACTATTATTGTTAAAGACAAAATCAAGTTGGAGGGAACATCTTAAACTGGTCTAAACATTCTATATTAGCAACGATTGTGGTTTGCAAAGTTAGAATTTCAAACACAAAGAGTTGTTTGCATGTGTATTCCTATACCAAAGATTTTCTTCTGGGCTTCAGAGATAAAGTAGTAGCAGTGCGTGTGGCAACGCGCAGAGGGCCCAGCTGTGTTATTGGTCCGAGCGCAGCCGGCTTTAAATGCATAAAGTATAAACCTATAAATCTTTTAGAAATAAATGTCCTCTCCTAGTGAAACTCTCAGAACAACGGAGACGCTTGCAAACTGGCTTTAAGATTAAAATAAATAAATAAAGTGATCTCCCTGCCCCCAATTATTAATTTTTCTAGAAATAAAATCAAGCAACGTCTAGCAGACAATGGTGTAACAGAATCTCATCTTTGAAGTTGTTTGGTATGGCTTTGCGTTTGCTATCAGAGCACAGTCCTCCTCCAGCATGTAAACAACTATGAAGGCATGCTGCACCGATATTTTACACATATCTTTATCCAGTGCCTTCAATAGACAACAACTGTACCTGAACAATACACACGTTGTACAGGACAATGCAAAAACTATGCCCCGCACCAAGCAACAGGCATCCAATAATATGCAAATAAATAAAAATACTCCAATTAAAGCAACAATGCATCCCAACAATACATATATCAAGTAATATATCAATGTATATTTTAACAAAATACACAGGTAACAGCACACAATTATTTAAGAGCCAGCTCTATCTTCCTGGTTTTATTCTGCTGGTGTGAATACACCAGCAGCAGTGTTCTGGCTCAGCTGAAGCTGGACGATTGATTTGTTAGGCAGACCTATGCAGTAATGCTGCAGTTATCAATGCAATTGAAGATAAATGCAAGGATGAGTTCCTTCGTTCTTGCTGGGACATTACTCCTCTAATCCTGTAAATGTTCTTCAGTTGACAGCAGGCCAATTTTGTAACTGTCTTTATGTGGCTCTGAATGTTATGGTCAGATTTTAGCCTTATTGCTAGTTTCTAATTGTAATAGATGAAGCTGTGTTGTCTCTACATCATTCTTCTTTGGGTCCAAAGACAATAATTTCAGTTTTGTTTCTGTTCAGCTGGAGAAAGTTTCAGTGTATATAAATATCTGGTTACTACTGTAGTTAAAAACTGACTAGCTGAATTTAGCTTTTGAGTATGTGAAAAGATAGCCTTTTTTGTCTAGTGGTCTTGTACTAGATGTTTTCCGAACACGCTTTGTTTTTCGATTGTGTTGGGCTGTAATATAGCTTCATTGTCTTGAGGAAAATAAAAACAATAACTTTTTTTTGTAGAATGTTTCCTTGGTCATTCAATGTTGGACGAGCTGTTATGGCCATAGACTACATGGTCTTTACACTTCGTCTGATCCATATCTTTGCCATCCACAAACAACTTGGACCCAAAACCATCATTCTTGGAAAAATGGTAATGGAACTGCTCACAAAACACCTCATTTAAATCATGGTTGTAATTAGAAAAATCAATTAGTGTTTAGAAAAAGGTCAAAAGCATTGTGACTTTATAGAGTTCTCGATAAGCATGCTGTACATTTATATACATAAAAACAGAAAAAATACGGCTAATTTGAAAGGTCGTGTCACACATGGGAAAAAAAACTAAACCTACTAAATGTCTTTTGAACAGATGAGACCAAAAGGTGAATGTTTGCCTATGACACCTGCACAGCTCCACACAAGGCATAGCAGCAAATCTCATACTGTCCTGCATGGAGTTTATTTCATTGTACCTGGGTCCAGAAAACTTACAATTTAATGAACTTTGCTATAAATCCAAGTATATCAACTCCAATCTATTTGGTTGCTAAAGTTTGATAAGGTCTAAATTCTAACAATTATAACGTATTACATGGAAAAAATGTCTTCAACAAAAGATTTTCACTTTTAACTAGTAGTATTTAATCAGTATTAAGGATTTATTGACTCAAAACAAGTTGGTATATTGTGCTAAGAAGTTACTTGCAAGTTAGTTTGTCTTACTTCATTCAATAGGACCAAGATATTTACACCAGAATAATCTGGGCCTTATTTCCATCCATGTATTACCTCCTGATGAAATCCCTCACTGTAACTCCAGCAATCTTCCTTCAATCATCTGTCTTTGTTTTTCTCAGGTGAAAGATGTTTTCTTTTTCCTCTTCTTCCTGGGTGTTTGGCTGATGGCCTACGGCGTGGCCCACCAAGCACTCCTCTTTTCATATGATCCCCGGTCTAAATGGATTTTCCGCAGAGTGTTCTACAGGCCATATTTGCACATATTTGGACAAATCAATATTCATGAAATGGATGGTAAGTATTTTTTATACAATTACAATATTTTTTGATGTGATCATACAGTATTTTTGGTCATTCTATCTTACAGTGAAATACCTTTTTCTAAATTGCTACTGTCAACTAAAAATGAAAGACATGTCAAGTATATGAATATTAGCTCCTATCCAGGAAAATGGTGCTGTTACATTGTTGACATTTTAAACTAGCTATTACTGATTAGAAAGGTAACATTTGTAAAACAGTAGCATTGTATCCCTACAAATAATTTAACCTTAGCTTAAGAATGAGAATTTCAAACAATCACCTGACAATGTTCTTAAATGTTTCATACCTTGACCCGATATGTTAGCTTCTCTTTGACATGTTTATCATTATATTTTTGAGATTCCTATGTCACACAAAGTAGAAAAAGCAACTTGAGCAACTAGATTTTAGTGCCACTAAATGACAGTGCTTTTCTAACCTTCCTCTGATGTTCTTCATTCAAGCCGACAAACTGGAAGAACGGAACTGCTCTTATAACCATTCAGAAATTGAGGCAGGAGCAGAACCCTGCCTGAGTACCTATGCAAACTGGCTGGTTGTAATCCTCCTTGTTGTCTATCTGCTGTTTACCAACATAGTGCTGGTCAACCTGCTCATTGCCATGTTCAGGTACCAAAACATTATACATCTGTTCATTGTTCTACAAGTGTAGAATTTTCCTCAATGTTTTGATGTTCTATTTGCAGCTACACCTTTTCCAAAGTTCAGGAGCACAGTGACATCTACTGGAAATTTCAGCGTTACAATCTCATTGTGGAGTACCACTATAGACCATGTCTGGCACCACCATTCATCATCTTCTCTCATCTTCACATTCTTATCAAGAGATACATCCGCCAGATTCCTTCTGCCAAGAGTCAGCACTTTGGTGAGAAATGGAAAAGAAGAAAACAGGGGACATGTCTGAAAATATCTAGCTGCATGAAGATAGGTTGGTAAAAGTTAGACTTGTGTTGAATATCAGGCTCCTGCTTTGGCAAGTATTGCAGGTGAGACGTCTTCATTTCCTTGTATTTACCAGGTAAAAGACAGGGAATCATACCTTAACTTTGGCATGTGAGCAAAAGTTAAATTCTGGTGTCAGTTAACCAGACATGACCATTACTCCCTATAAGGTTTCTTTAAAAATGCCTTTCTTCTGGTCAGGTTTGTGCTGACCAGAATATTCCAAAAGCTTGGAATATTGTTTTAAAAGAATCCAGGATGAGTTGAACATGTTGCAATTTTCCTACTACCTAAAAATGGCTGTTTGTGATATGGCAAAATTCATAATTACTTTCAAAAAATGAACATCTTTTGATATATTTTTCACTCATGGACGTCGCCATTTTTTCCACTGATGGGTTGATGATGCGTTTTGGTCCATTTTGTACAAGAGTCTATATAGCAAACACAGGAGGGCTAACTTTACCCGAGTACTTGTTTATCAAATTGCGTTTGACTGATGTAACCTTAGATAAAACCACACTGAGTCACTATTGGCTGTGATTTAAAAACTAAAAATGTAGGCGAATCTGGATAGTTTCCCACATGAAAGAAAGGAGAGGGCAGTACCAGAGCCACCTGTCAGATTTTCCAACCGCAGTGCAGATCGATAGCTAAGTATATCTGACAGTGCTACGTGTCCAAAGCTGCTACTGTTATATTCACAAATAGAAACTACAGCAGATTGTTTTAATGTTAAATATATTGGGTAACATGATTTGATTGATGGGACCGAAGTGGAACCTTAGTAGTTATGCTTAGCTTAGCATTGGAATAATTTATATACATGATGAAACCACAAGAAGTTCACTTCCTTTATCTGATTATTATACCCGTTTAAAATGAAAATTTATAGATGTATGCACTAATCCTTTTACTAGCGTATCCTACCCATTAAAAAATATTTTAAATACAGAGGTGTTTGTAAGAATAAAACAGTATCAGACAGGGGGAACATATTTTTATTGGAATTAAATTAAAAATAGACAACAGATCACCGCAACTATTTTTTTATGCATTAATATGATGTATGACAGATTTTATCAAATGCAGCGAAGCCACAATGTGGCACCAAACTGTGCAGGAACACAACGGTGTTCCTGAAATGATAGCGTAACATTTCTGGGCTAAACAACTAACTGCAGCTACAAAAGCAGAGTCAGAAGAGTAGATTTTGTTTAAGGAGTCTGAAGTGTGAATGAAAAACCTAGAAACAGCACATTTTGGTTTTGGTGCGTATATATTAAGTGATTTGTATAAAAAAAAATAGACAATTACAACAATACAATGAAACATGACATATTTGACTCAGAATAAATTAATATCCAAAATCATAAAGTCCATAGTCCTTTTTGTTTCTAGCTCACCATCTTTAGATCCAGATGAGGATCTGATCCATCCGGAAAAAAATAAAACCCGACTTAAAAGGTCAGAAAACCCATTAAGTGTTTTTATCAAATCAATCATATACAACCATAACACAAAAGAAATAATTAATGCAAATGCATAATTAATTTCCAATAATTATACACAAACATTTCAATAATCAGGTTAAGTTAACCATAATTCAAATAAAATAAAACAAAAAGTATCAAGAAAATAAAAAATGAATGAATCAAGCAGAGTGAGAGGAAGGAAAACAAAATAAATAAATATATTGAGCAATATCAACTTAAGTGTAGCTACATTCTGATCAATTTCATTTTAACTTCACTGCCTTAAAATCCATGTAAACGTGTCAAAACAAGCACAAAATTCAGCAACGAGTTACCTTCTCAGAGAGAGTGGGCCGTACTGAGCCACGATCAGCTGGGACAGAACCAGGTGACGGTCCAGGTAAGCCGAGCCAATAACTCGAATAAAACAATGCTCCAATGAGCAATCCAGCCAAAGTTTCACATATAAAAGCAACAGTGCTATCAAATAAACTCACCAAGCAAACAGCAAGCCACGATCACAGTGGAACAGCTGACAATGTTTCAACTGCGCTGGAGGCGCCTTTAAATAGGCTGGCGGAGTTTAGGACAACACAGGAAGTGGGCCCGCCAAAATAAAAGTCTTTGACTAATTGCGGGTTACAATAGGATATGACTAATATGCACTGATATTAAACAGCTATTACACTTTCAATCCCACATAGTATCGCTAACATCTATTTTGTAAAGTTTAATAGTACAAAAAGAGTGTATTTAAACTAAAATATTTTAAAATATAGGGACAAAATAGCCCAAAACAAAGTATTTTATATGATTAACCACCAAACAAAGACTTGTTTACAGTAATAACTTTGCAGACGGAAAACTAAAACCATTTATAAATACATTTACAAGATGCCTGTCATGTAAACTGAAAACATGAAGTAAGACAGCAACTTAATCAAAGCCAGGTATAAATAAATTAAATAAATCTTACCTTCAATAAAATACATGAAACAAAACTTCCACAGGTCGGATGTAGTTATAAGAAATCTGCTGAGTAAGCAGTATGTGACCTAGCATCAATGTGCGCATGCACATTACCACAATGTAGGACAGATTTACAGATAGCACAGATAAACAGAACACGTGTTCACACAGTCCGACCAGAGGTCAGTGCCATTCAACTTTACTCATCACCGTTTTGACTGGAGGAGCCAGGCAGTTGCACCATTACACATATTTATCCAGAATGCATTGCAGCATGAACAACATGGCAACATTCTTGTGAAAATATTTTGTTAAAATGTATAAATCTAAATAACATCTCAGATAAATATTTAACAAATAAGGTCTCTTTTTACAACTAATCATGGATCCCTTTCAGTTTTCCTATAACTTTGCCCCTGACCTGTCTGAGGTCAGAAACAGAACATCTGCAGCCATACAGCTGGATGGTATTCAAAAGTATGAACATTTTTTTTTAAGGCCCTGTTAGGAAAAAAAAGCATTATTTCACATCATTATAATTCAACATGTCTGCCTCTCCTCTTAACACTTTAGCTGCACTTACTGATTTCTTTTATTCTTAGCTGTGGAGCTGCAAGGCAGGAAGGCAAGCCGTCTGAATACATGGGAGGCTGTGCAAAAAGAGGAGCTCTTGTCTGCTCAGAATAAGCAGCTGAGAGAGAGCGACACATCACGACTTCAACGAACTTCTATTAAGTAAGTTGTCACTTCGATTAAAATATAAACATGTAAGAGCTGATAACCAGTTTCATCACTTTTCAGTTTAACAAGATAACGTGAAAAATTCTAGATATATGTGCTTCAAATTATCACAAAAACACAATTATCTATATTTCAGGAACATGATTTGAAAAGAAAGAGTGGTTATTTAATTTCTGTTGCAAAACATAAATTATGAATTTAAATATGACATTTTCATCACAGCAGGGATTCAAGAGAAAATTTGCAAAAGATTTAATGTTCTTATAACATTAAAATAAGGAAAGCAAAAAGACCCTGAACATTTGTTTTCCTGTTCTGACACCAGATTAGTTGAATTGTTCTGTGCATTGCTCTTTGAGGCTCCATGACCTGTGATTGATTTGATATTCATTGATAGTAAAATATTTGTATGCTTATGTATGGAAAAGATTTACAATAGGAAATTTGAGATTTTATGCTCATGATCTTAGAAGAGCCTCAGCCAGCGTTTCCTTTGGAGGAAATGTGAAAAATATTTAATCAAAGCTGTGCTGGACTGGCAACCTGTCCAGGGTGACCCTGCCTCTCACCCTTTGACAGCTGGACATAGACACCAATATAAGGGTGTAGAAAAACGAATGTATGGATGGACTTCACCAAGAAAAGAGTATTGTTTTTGTTGATTGTTCTGTAGCGGGTATCCCACCACTCCCCCTGGAATCACTTGGCTCCTCTGCACCGCTCGAAAACATCCTTGTAGGTGCATCAACTCACCCATGCAACACACAAGACACAGGAGACACCATCAACATCAACCGGCAACCACACTGCCCTGCTCTGCCCGAACACTCAGGAGGGAGAAGGGAGGAGGCTCCGCCTTTATTACTTAGCGTAACCTTCCGCTTAACAAAATAGTGCCAACATAAACACAGTAGTGGCAAACATCATATTCAACAGTTTTATTTCAACAGCACAATATTCTAGTATTTCTCCAGACAAACTGACATTTCTCCTTCCTAAGAACAGTGAGGATCAATGACAGAACATTCCTGTTCACTGCACTTTACAGAAACCTACAAAAAAGAATAAAACAATAACAACTAAACAGAGAAAGCACTTGTTTGTGAAAGAGTACAGAAAAACAGCTAAAAGAAAAAAGTATGACTTACAATTTTAGGACATTATGGACTCCGTATGTATGTGGCACTATCAGAATTTGTGTGATGATGATTGGGACCCAAATCATCATCACAGGAGTGAAAAAACATTTCTGGATGATTTCTTTGCCTGTATACATTAGAAGTAGAAAAACTGTCAGCAACATCATAAAATCAGTATTTGAAACGAATTTAACAATAGCACTTGACTTAATGCAATGTTGTGGTGTGTGTGTCGATGTGGGCGTGACGTCATCAAGTATGAATTGAAGGTTACTGGCCTGCTGGCTTTGTGTGTGTGAGGAAGCGGTGAGCGGGGAGGTCAGTCCTTGCAAAGTTTGGAGCCTGATAATCAAAATGGATTAAATCGATAATTGTGACAGAACAAAGAAATGGTTTGGAGTTGATTGATACACGGACATATTACATTCCCCGATTTAATCTAGTGCGTCTCTTTACCGTCATTAGTTTGCCATGTTTTATAATAATAAAACCTGTTTATTATTATTATTAAGTCTTTGGTGCAATAACTGATTGAAAATCAATTTATTCACTGCATATTTATGTCTGTTAAGGTTTAAAGCATTCAGACCACGAACACAGCAGAGACACACACAATCAACCTTTCTATCCTAAAGAAAACATATAAAACTTCAGATATTTCACAAAGAGATGTTAACATTCATGGAAAAACCTCACATAACCTTATATTAGCCTTTCTTATGGTGGCCACCATAAGAAAGGCTTACAGTATTCAATTATGCTGCGTAACTGAGCAGTACAGTATTGCGAAGGGACGTAAAGGTTTTGCGAGGGAAAGCAAAAGAAAAAAATTCCCCATGTCCTCCAGGGTGCTCCATAACTTTGTACTTGTGAAAATTAAATTGTATTTAAATTTCACACTTTATACTTTATTCAAAGTATAATTTTAGTAATATATTTAATTAGAGTATATTTTAGAAAAAAATATATTTTTAGCTAGTGTACAAAACTACATTTTCAAACAGTATTAGAAGAAGCATGTTTTTAAAAATGTATTTACTTAGCATTTTTAATATAATCTCCACTTGATAATATACTAAAAATGTATTTCAGAAAAATACAGAATATTTTTTTTTAATATGCTGTACATATACACACACACATATATATATGCATATATATATATAATTCCCTTCTCACCCACCGCGGGTGGTTCTTATCCTCTGAGCTCGGGTCCTCTACCAGAGGCCTGGGAGCTTGAGGGTCCTGCAGTATCTTGGCTGTGCCAAGGACTGCTGCACATTTCTGGACTGAGATGTCTGATGTTGTTCCTGGGATCTGTTGTAGCCACTGCTCCAGTTTTGGGGTTACTGCCCCGAGGGCCCCGATGACCACAGGTACCACTGTGGTCTTCACCTTCCAGGCCCTCTCCAGTTCTTCCCTGAGGCCCTGGTATTTCTCCAGTTTCTCCTTTTTCCTGATGTTGCAATCGCTTGGTATTGCTACATCTACCACAACGGCTTTCCTCTGTTGTTTGTCCACTACGACAATGTCTGGTTGGTTCGCCCTCACTATTTTGTCTGTCTGGATCTGGAAGTCCCACAGGATCTTAGCTCTGGCGTTCTCCACCACCTTTGATCTCGGGGTTTCCAGTCCATATTCTGCACAGATGTTTCTGTACACTATGCCTGCCACTTGGTTATGTCGTTCCATGTACTCCTACTGCCTACTGTTAAGAATTAAAAAGAGGAATAACTTGATTTAGCTCGTTAATTTATTCCTCTGTCCTAGGTTCTTGTGTCTGTGTACGTGTGGAGGGAGAAAGAGCAATCATACGACGTCAGGCTTCAGATATCCAAAGTTTTATCCAGAGAAATTCAATGCAAGAAGAATGTTACAATAAGCATCTCACCTAGATTATCAAAAGTCCAAGACATGACAAAACAGAAACAATGAACTGAGTAAAAGACAAAAGATGCATCTTCTGGGAAACTCTCACTCAGCACAAAGAGATTCGAACTTCTGCTGTGAAACAAACCATTTTATAAGAATGTGTATTCTCCTCATTTAAATATATGCATTAGGAGGTGTGTTTTTTCCTTTGTGTGGGCTGTCTTAAATGTTAATTTTATTACCTCTGAGACCCCCTGAAACACCCAGCTCTTCTCGTACCAGGCTCCTTCTTCGGCGATGTGATTTGTAGCCTGTGTCTGGAACGTTATCTCTGCCTCAAAATGCTTCAACAAGTAACCAGTTGGTGTTTTTTAACCAAGCTTGCACAAAATGTAATGCTTAATACTAACTATAAGTTTGGATCTAAGAAGTAACTGATTCAAAACATGCTTAAAGAAATATAGTCAATTCTAATATAGATAAAATTATTTATAAAAAGTTTTAAGATCCTAGTGAACTTTTGAACCATGCTAAGGAATTTGTTAATTGTGGCAGACAGACTCTGTCTAAAGAGATTCTAGGCCTGTCTTTTCTGTCGAATCCTCCCTAAGAATTTATATACATTCAGAGAGTCAGCAGTTGTTTTAGTTTGGATCTTTATCTAAATTTATATGAACATAGAGTACTTTAACTTTCTATGGTATATTTCATATGTATCAAAACTATCCTGTGCAGTATTGTGCTAATTTAAAATATTATTTCAACACTACCTCATACCATGAGAGATACTAAGATGTGTAACATGCTGGCTGAGACGTTGGGGAACCAGAGCACCTTGATGACAAATGGGCTACTGGAACAAGACGAAAATGAGCGAGAGTTGAAAACGTGGATCTGACTTAACTACAAGTCCCCACCCAGTGAGGGGATACACGGCCCCAATGAGCGAAACAGAGCTGAACGAGACAGCTGCTGACCTGAGAGAGAGAATCATGACCCGAATAACAACCAGACCTCCTCGGGACCAATTACAACGGCTGAGTGAAGTACCATCAGAAAGTCTCATTGAGAATGTGAATGCAGCATTGAGAACGATCCCTACCAACACCATAACAGAAACCAATGAGCTGATCTACAACTCAGCATCAGTGATCCTTGAGATACTTGGCTATAAGAGCAACCATGAGACCCAATACCCACCATGGAAAAGACAGTTAGAGGCTAAAATCAAGGTAACAAGGAGGGAAGTGAGCCAACTGTCAGAGCTCCACAAGGGTACAATGAAAAGACCAGTACCCAGAAAGTACAGCAGATGCCCATACCTGAAGCACTCGAAACTGCCAAACAGAGGCTCCAAGCCTTGGCCAGCCGCCTAAAGAGATACACAAGGGAGAATGAATCCAGAAGGATTAACCGGCTCTTCTCCACTCAACCAGTTAAGGTGTACTCTCAATGGCAGGGTAATAACAACAGAGCAGACCCACCAAGGCTGGAGACTGAACAATACTGGAAAGGCATATGGGAAAGGGAGGCGTCCCACAACAGCAATGCACAGTGGCTGATCTCTCTACGAGAGGACCACAGCAACCTCCCTGAGCAAGCCCCGGTAACCATCACTGTGACAGATGTCCAAGAAAGAGTCTCAGGTATGAAAAACTGGACAGCACCAGGGCCTGACATGATCCATGCCTACTGGCTAAAGAAACTCACTGCTCTCCATGAGCGAATGGCAGCCCAAATGAACCAGCTGCTACAAAGTGGGACTCACCCTGAATGGTTAACTGAAGGGCGGACAATCCTAATCCAGAAGGATACATCAAAGGGTCCAGTCCCACCCAACTACCGACCAATAACCTGCCTCTCCACAACCTGGAAGCTCATGTCAGGCATCATAGCGGCCAAGATAAGCAAACACATGGATAAACACATGAGCACGGCACAGAAGGGTATCGGTGTCAATAGCAGAGGAGCCAAACACCAACTCCTCGTAGACCGCACAGTTGCCCGAGACTGCAAAACCCGACACACCAACCTGTGCATGGCTTGGATTGATTACAAGAAAGCCTATGACTCAATGCCGCATACTTGGATCATTGAATGCCTAGAGATGTATAACATCAACAGGACTCTGAGAGCCTTCATTGCAAACTCGATGAGGCTGTGGAAAACCACCCTTGAAGCCAACTGCAAACCACTTGCACAAGTGTCCATCAAATGTGGCATATACCAAGGAGATGCTCTGTCCCCTCTACTGTTCTGCATAGGCCTGAACCCCCTCAGCCAAATTATCAACAAGACTGGATACGGATACAGACTCAAAAATGGGGCCAATATCAGTCACCTCCTCTACATGGGTGACATCAAACTGTACGCCAAGTGTGAGCGAGACATCGACTCACTGATCCACACCACCAGGATCTACAGCACGGACATTGGGATGTCATTCAGACTAGAGAAATGTGGTCGGCTGATCACAAAGAGGGGGAAGGTGATCCACACAGAAGGAATCTCACTCCCAGAAGGAACAATAGCAGATATAGAGGACAGTTACAAGTACCTAGGTATACCACAAGCAAATGGCAACCTCGATGAGGCCATAAGGAAAGGAGCCACAGCTAAATACCTCCAACGAATAAGGCAAGTCCTGAGAAGCCAGCTCAATGGCAAGAACAAAATCAGTGCGATAAACAGCTATGCCCTGCCAGTAATCAGATACCCTGCTGGAATAATTAGCTGGTCAAAGAAGGAGATAAAAGCCACAGATATTAAGACCAGAAAGCTACTAACAATGCATGGAGGGTTCCATCCCAAATCCAGCACCCTGAGACTGTACACGAGCCGCAAGGAAGGAGGCAGAGGACTAGTGAGTGTGAGAACCACTGTCCAGGACGAAACAACTAAGATCCATAAATACATCAGGGACAAAGCCTCAACAGACAATGTGCTCAGTGAATGTCTCAGACAACAGGGAACGGAGGTTGAGGTGCCAGAGATACCATCATGGGAGGACAAGCCCCTACATGGGATGTACCACCAGCAAATAACCCAAGTGGCTGATATCAGTAAATCCTACCAATGGCTGGAAAAAGCTGGACTCAAGGACAGCACAGAGGCCCTCATCCTGGCCGCCCAGGAACAGGCCCTAAACACCAGAGCAATAGAGGCCCAGATCTACCACACCAGACAAGACCCAAGGTGTAGGTTGTGCAAGGAGGCCCCTGAGACAGTCCAGCACATCACAGCAGGGTGCAAGATACTGGCAGGGAAAGCGTACATGGAACGACATAACCAAGTGGCAGGCATAGTGTACAGAAACAACCCCCAAACTGGATCAATGGCTACAACAGATCCCAGGAACAACATCAGACATCTCAGTCCAGAAATGTGCAGTCCTTGGCACAGCCAAGATACTGCAGGACCCTCAAGCTCCCAGGCCTCTGGTAGAGGACCCGAGTTCAGAGGATAAGAACCACCCGCGGTGGGTGAGAAGGGAATTTTTTGATGTTTTAAAAAAAATGTAATGTAATGTTTTTAAAAAAAAATTTGTTTAAATATATTTTTTAAATGATTATGTTTTCCTTTGAAAATATTATCATTGGTTTCTGTGTGAATAGTCATCAGACACAAACATCTAAAATTTAATCATCCTAAAATAGCCAGCGAATATCAACTCAGGCAGGAACTGCAAAATCTATCTAATGGCAGATAAACTACTTGCAAATATTAAAATGTGTTTTCAGAAGCCCGCAGAGCTTTTTCAGTAAAAACGCAAAACAAAACACAACTGAAATTTCCAGCGTTTTTTTGACTACCCTTGAAATAAAGGTATGGACTACTGAATAATAAGTCTGACTGTAAGATTTTAAATCGCTATATTTTTTATCCTGAAGGTTTTCCTCCCTAACAGACGTCATGTTTCGTAGAAATGTAAAATAAAATACTTTCATGACTGTTTCCACCATCAAAACTGATATAACAAATTAATATTTTTACATGTTTGTGCAGGGTGGACAGTGTTCTGAAGCAGATGGCTGAAATTCGAGACCACGACCGAAGGCTGCGTCTACTTGAGAAGCAGGTCAGCAATATTTTAAAGAAGACATGCTTTTTATGTCCTCCACAGCACAGTTTCTTAATCACACGATGTAATTGAAATACCACACAGACAAGGTGCTATTACCTGATTTTAGCTTTTATTTTTATTTTCATTTTGGTAAGGGTGAAACATCCTATATCTGCATGTGTTTGCATATGTTGTATGTTTTCTGTGTAGTTGTCAATTCTGCCTTTTCAGTATTAATCGGTCTTCCTCTCAGTTGAATTACTGCTGCAGCGCCCTCTCCTGGTTGACTGAAGCTATGTGTCAAAGTAATGTGATCACAACTAAACGGCCTCCTCCACTCCACAAAGGTAATTCCAAATTTGTCCAATGAATTTTTTTAAGCTATAAATCCATTTTTTCTGACAATTACCGTATAAAATAATCAATATATGGAAAAAATCTGTACATTTTATAATAAACAGGGCATTCAAGCTTTGTCAATCAACATATATTATGCTGCAGAGATTTTTTTTTTCTTTTGTTTTTTTTTTACTTTTAGAAGGTATCTAGAAAAACATCTTATTAAAATTCCTTTAACTTTACTTTCTGGATGCTTTTAGTTTTTTTTTTTCTTTTTCCCAGCAGATATATAGATATATATTTCGAACGTTTTACCTACTCACTATTTTTATTCTCTTTCACTTTGTTATAGATGTTACGCAACTGTCTTCAACCTGAACTTCAGGGTCACATGCTTATACAGAATTACTTTTGTATTATGGGCATTTTAATTCCGTGGACCACTTCTGAACACAACAATCTCTTGAATAACCCTAGACCCCGTTCTGGCTAAACATAATTATCTACTTAAACACTAATTGTGGGGCTTTTTTGTATCCCAGAATCATGGATCAGTGAATGTTCACTTTGTCAAAGACAGTGCACTCAGGACATTTATGTTGCAAAATGTATAGTTTCCTATCCTGGCATGTTTTGTTTCATGATGTATCTATATTTTCTATATACAGACTATGTTTTATACTGCTTTATGGAAAGGTCAGCATGCAGTCTATCTCTTTTGCTTTTCTTTCATTTGTTTTCAGAGCTAAATTATGCATTATTCTAGTCATTGGAGAGCAGTATAACTAGTTCTGTTACCAAAGATTGCCATGTAAGAATAAATGGAAATATTCATGGTTAAATTAAATAAAATGGGATCATCTCTGAGTTGTCTGAATTCATTATTGCATCACTAAAGAATTTTCTCTACATGCTGGAAACTGCATTGATGTAAAACGTTTTTCTGGACACATTTTTCTTGTGTAATCACCAAATAAAACATTTTTTCTACCAGCTACAGTGACTGGTAGAAATTCACTGTTTTTTTTTCTTCTTTCGATTACAAACCCCACCAGTACAAGAAACATTGTATAAAATATATGATTTATTCTTAACTACATGAAAACCAATTTACTGATAAGTTTACCATACATATGTACATATACAGACTAATTTAACATGAAGCATGGATATCTTAACAGAGGTGTAGTGCAATAAGTTCATTTGAAATGAAGTCTAGGAGTGAATTCAAACTGGAAGACTCGTCGACCTATCAATGCTGGATCAAGCCACATCACAGCCAATCACTGATCAAGCCCCAGCTGATGAGGACCTCCGTCCATGGCATCTTCCATCTTCCAGCCACGCTCAACCCACCTCCACCCTTTCTCCACCTCCAGTCTCCCGGCTCTCCAGGCACACATCATCCACCGACCTCCACCACCAGTGTCGGGCTCTGGCGGATGACATTCCTAACCAGTATCGGGAATTCTCATCCAAGCTTATTGCAATTCACAGCTCGATGTCCTCAGCCGGGGCCTGAGGCCCAAAGACTTTAGTTCATGTATGTTCATAAATCTTTTTAATTGCTGTCTTTCTCTGTCTGAGTCTCTCCAGATTGAAGTAATTACCAACAGCAAACTTTAACTACACAACTAACATTCTTGCCAACATTTCCAGTACTGAACATTTCCACATTTTGGTTACAACTCTCTGAGATCATATTTATTGAAGTTGTGTCAAGTCATTTCAAAACATTTTTAAATTGTATCAATGGCTGTTTTCTGATTGTTCTGTTTTCTCTTTCTTATTACGCATTGAAATTCACGATTATTCTTATTACTAAAATACTGTATCTCAGAAAGCGTTCATTATTAATTCCATGGGCCGTCATCATTCCTGCGCTATCACAGTATTTTTGTGACTGCCTGCTAGTTTAGTGTTGGCTTCCCCTTATATCAGTTAGTTTGACACGTGGTTCTGAATGAGCTTATGCACTTTTTAGCTTTTGGTGTCATAGTTTTTCTGGTTCACCCTGTCTCGTATCCGCTCACATTTTTCAGACTCCAGTAGGCTGAAATGGTGACATTTATAACCTTACTGGAGAGGAGCAGGCCAAGTGGGACCCAATGAAGGATTTTAATGAATTAGCCTGTACTCAATGAGTACTTCCTAAAATTTAATTATATTTAATATCTTACATCACACTGATGTAATTTGTGACTATACAAATAAAACCTATTTTAATTTGACTGATAAAACAGTATTTAATCACACAATGGTTGTCTTTAACTACTATTTATGTAACCCTTTTGAGTTTTGAGGACTTTATAAATAGCTCTTGTTGGCCAAATTTGGCCCATAATCCTTGAAATTGACAGTTGTGGTCTAAGACAACAGAATCCCCAGGGTTTCCAGCCTTTGCACTACTAAACATTTCCACTACTTAATGGAAGTAATTCTATCAATCTCCCTAACTGATAGAAACAGAACCCATAGAAACAGAACCCCAATAAAGAGCAAATTAATTTCTTGCCCAGCAGCTACAATCCCATGTCAATCAGCTCCTCCAGAAGCAGGTAATGAAAGAAAGTAGTAGAACAACAATCTTTCCCATTGTTCTGGTTAAGAAGGGCCTGCGTATGTGTAGATTACCATCAGCTTAACAGCAAAATGAGAAAAGATTCTTTCCCATTGTCTCGCATTGAGAAAAGCCTGTACCATCTCTCTGGGGCGCAGGATAAGTCAAAAACTGCCTTTTGTGCACAAGTTGGACTTCAAAGGTATCATGCAATAACATTTTTTGTTCAGGTTTTTAATAAAATGTGCATTTTGTGGGCTATGCTTTGCATATGTAAAGAATGCAGCACATAAACAAATTTGTGTCATCTATAACAGCATCGCTTATTAATAATAAACATTAAACCTAAAAACACACTACTGCAGCAACAGACTGAATGTTCTGTTCTTTGTGTGTGGAATATTAGTGTTTTTTGGTGTTGAATCCTTAAACATAAAGTGGCGTTGTCAGTTGGCACAAAATTTACCTATGTAATCAATAAGACCCAGAGGGTTTGTATTGGTAAATCTAATTTTGATTAAGTCAGTGCCTCACCAGCTATGAACTTCACCACGTCACTGCTTTTATATGTAACTTTTTAAAGAATCTTCCCCCCAACTGGTCATATCAGTAATATTAGGTTTTACCTAATATTAAGTTATATTTTTCTATTACATTATATACATATTTTATCCAATAGAATACAAATCATTCAATGAGATTTCCTGGATTTTTGTTTTAGATTTCTCAGTTCAGTTGTGGTGTTCCCAGTATGGGGCACAGTGACAGAGGTAAGGCTGCCATGCACCGGCACCACAAGCCCCTCAGGCCACTACCAGCAGGCAAAGTGTCTTGCTAAAGGACACAACAGAAGTGGAAGGAGCATGGATTGAGCTAGCAAGTCAGTGATTGTGGGACTAACTCCTATCACCATTGCCCCAACAATACATGCTTTCCCAGTGTATCTTGATAGCACAGTTCACTAACACTGAATTAAAGAAACCATTTAGGTTTCTTTAATTAGTATGAGATCAATCTTTGGAGCAGCGTTATCATAAAGCATTTAGATTATTGCTTACCCCTGCATCATCCCTACCACATGTCCAGACACACACACACACACACCCCCCCCACACACACACACACACACACGCGCGCACACGCACACACACGCACGCGCACACGCACACACACACGCACACACACACACGCAGACAAACACCACACCCCTCGGGTAACTGTATCTTGGAAAGTGATTTCCCTCTTTAGACAGTCCTTACATGGGAAGAGTTTGGGATGAATATGGCACTGGATTCAATTTGGAGAGGAAAACAAATCCTGCATCGGCATATTCATTTCATAAATCATTTGATTTATGAATATGCCGATGCAGGGCAATCGCTGTCATGTCTTCAACACAGCCCAGACTTTCCAACACCTTCTTTTGTTCAAACCAGATATCAATGTTTTGTGTTGTTAAACCTCTGAATTTTTCACTTTTTAACATCTTATTTAAGATGAATCAAGCACCCTGATATATATCAATTAATGTTCTAATGTGATGATAAATGAAAGCTTTTCATTAGCAAATGTTAGAATACACAGCTCACTAAACAGGCCTTGTGGGTCAGAGTGAACATGCTTCTGGTTCAAGCTAAGAAAGAAGAAATGCCTTTGGCATCTATCAGCTCTTCTCCACTTTCTGCCACTTTGCAGTCTTCATCTTGACCTGATCTCCTCTCTCATTCTGCCCTGGGCTAGGTTGAACTCAGCTGTTCCCCACTGCCTCTAACATTTCACCATTACAAATTCCAAATATAACAAGAATTTAAATTAAAAAGTAATTCCTTCTGCTTAAATCATCAAAATAAATGATCAAATACTATTTAAACCTGAAATTTTAACTGACACTAGAGAATGTCAAATATCATTTGAACAGAAAATTACTCCACTGTCTGACACAAACTGGTCAGCACAGCTAAACTGGATTGACAGCTGATCTTGATATTTTCACTTTGATCTGCTGTCTTAGAACTTTAAGGTTTGTTTTATCAAAGTACCAGCTTGACCTCTTCATGATGGATGATAAACTCACCAAACTTAATCCTTTTTGACAAAACATTGCAAACACATTTATTTAAAAAAAAAAATCATAATCGCCTGGTAGAATTTTGGCTTTGTTTCACTCAAAATGCTAAAAATAATGATTTGTTTTCTTCATGATGCAAGCAGAGGAAAGTGGTACTTCTTCATGTTTTTGTTAAGAAAGATAAGGAGCTGTCTCAGATGTTCCTGTCACCAGCCTCTTTTTCCTGCATGCAGAAGTGAGAATTGAAAGACGGTGGGTAAAAATGTGTTGGTCTGTCAGACAGAGCCAGGCTGGCTCACATTACACTGACTCTGAACGTGTAGAGTTTTAAATAGAGCAGTTTTCAACTCCTCCCATTACAAATCACTCTATTTTGGGGATAGCATGCAGGGGGTGGAGGGAAAAAAGAAGATGAGTTGAGGATCAGTGTCTTTGATTGGCAAAGAAGCTTCGTAATGGCTTTTTAAGCAGAATCTGAAATACTGGATTTGTGAGACATAATTCATTCAAACAGGTTTAGTTAATGTAACCATGCCTCATTCTGTCAATTTTTATTTTTATTTCTTATAGTCTAAGAAATCAACTATATTTCTTAAACTATAAGAAATAGTCTAAGATTTGTGGCCAAATGTGGCAGTGCCAATATTTTGACTGAAATGTTCATTACCACCCATGATGAAATCACACATCAAATTATGATTTAGCCAGAGTAACTGAAGGCATAAGATTAATTGAAAACACATGGATTTATCCCCTTGGAGCATGGATGTGCAAATGCCTGTCTTCCCATTAGATCATAAATATCTCCGGTCCATGCCTCTAGGAATTAAGCTGTATTGGTAAATGTAGAATACTCATGAAGGGTAACTTTTATTAAATAAGAAAATTACTACATGGCCAGTGAACATAAAAAGAGATTTTATTATATGTCCTTTCATAATGAAATCAATTATATGTGTTTGATTCCACTGTTATAGGCATCCAGTCTCTTAAAACCTTGTACATCTTTAGAGGAACACTCTTGAAATCCAAGAATTAATAAACTGAAAAGACTAATGCAGGCAAACAGCTACAGCTGCTCAAGGTTCCTCAATCATCAGTGTTCATTTTCTAAGAACATGAATCTCAACAAACTGCTGCAAAACTTTAACAAGAACATACAGAGATACCTAACACAACAAGGATGCAAGACAATGAGACTAAAACTAGAAACTACATACAGCTCAGTGTCTAATTGGTAATGCTTCCTCTTAAAGCAAGTCATTGTCACCTAAACCTTCTTTTACAGTGCAGCTCTCTTCAGTAAACCTTAACATTTGATCAGAATGAAAAATCAAGGGTGGTTCACTTATTCCTCATAACAACTATCAACCACTCCTTCTTCTCCTGGTATCTTTACTTGTGGATAGCATAGCCCAGCCCACAAGCATTTGCCCCTGTCAGTCAGTATGACTGCCCCCCTTCTTCTCAGCTTACTTCTTTTTCTGTCGCTCTCAGATTAGTCTTGTCTGTGCCACCATCATAGACCAGTTACTGACGGCTCTCTGCTCAGAGTATTACGGCAGTCTTAATTCAGCTTACAAACTACACTGGACTAAAAGACAGTGGGTCTTTAAGTGACCCCAGATTCAAGACTAATCTCCTGCCTTCTCTGGGATATTCTTTTCAGGACATTGGAGCAAGTATCTAAATCTAAACTGGATCTATAGCCTCGGGACAGGACCTTAAATTTCTGGATGCTCAGTACTTGGGTCCATTAACGATTGTCCTGGTGAATGACTGTGTAACTCTGACTGGGGTTGTATCCTTCAGGGCGTGTGTGTTTTGGGTAGACAGGTACAGAAGCTGCAGTACTGGACTCCTGCAGTGATTCCAGGTTATCTTCACAATAGCTGACTAAATTTTGACTGCAAACATGGCCTCATTAAGAAGTTTGATCCTTGCAATGCTGCTTGCACTACTCTGCTCCTTCCACACCCCACTGGCCCCCACTGCAAAGGCCCAAGATCTGCCATTCCACTCTGAGGAGGGTCTAAAGGCTGATGATGACGACGATGACGACGACGATGATGATGACGACGATGACGACGACGATGATGATGACGACGATGACGACGACGATGATGACGACGATGATGACGACGATGATGATGACAATGATGACGACGATGATGACGACGATGATGACGACGATGATGATGATGATGATGAGGAGGATGATGACGACGACGATGACGATGATGACGATGATGACGATGATGACGACGATGACGATGATGACGACGATGACGATGATGACGACGAAGATGATGATGACGACAATGACGATGACGACGATGACGACGAAGATGATGACGATGATGATGACGACGATGATGACGATGACGATGAAGATGATGATGACGACGATGACGATGATGACGACGATGACGACGAAGATGATGATGACGATGATGATGACGATGATGACGACGATGATGATGATAGTCATGAAGGTCAGTCTGTGTAGATGTTGCTGTTTGTGTTGACACATGCCTTTGTGTTTCTGCTTATATGTGTTTTTACTTCGACCTGCAGCACATTACAGGCCGGGTGTAACTGGAACATCAAACACTGCTGACTTCTAAATTGTAGTCTATAATTGGTCCTGTCAGGAATTGACTGGTTTTTCAAATTGCAAATCCTGATACAAAGACATTTTACTCACTTTCATCAACATTGTGAAAGTTTGTCAGCAGTGGCTGATATTACAGTCAGTAATAAGATTACATACAACTGTTCACTTAAACAGTATGTTAAAATCAAAGGGGAGTGGCTAAGAGCAGAATTAGTCCCTCCCTTTTCCATAACATTCTTACAACCTCATCATCTCTGTCAATTTGTATTATTTCATATCTCAGAGCTCATTGGTAATCAATCCCTCCTCCACCCCTTTCAGCTGTCCATTTTTCTTGCTGTCTCTGACACTCTGTTCTCTTTCCCTGCTTAACTAGAGTTATGAACAGTCTGGGGAAATTGAACTGGCCCATCTGAAGTCCGACTGTCCGAGGTCCTTCGTACAGTACGCTAGATATGAACTTGGGGACTGCAGAAGCAATGATTTGAGAGAGAAAGAGAGAGAGAGAACCAAAAACCAATTCCACAAGCCAAGTCCGTCTTGGAATTCAGTCATTGGGGGTCACTAGTCTGAGATCTTTTGATTTGTGTTTCATTTGAAAACATGGTTCATCCTTTCTCTTTTGTTTTGGATCAGACTGACATGTATCTGTGTCTTTATGTGAATCTGCAGAGAAAGAAAGAGAGACAGTGATATAGGGAGTGAGACGGGGGTGACAGACAGACAGACAGACAGACAGAAGGAGAATAAAGCGCGAGGGGAGGTGCAGGAGGGCCAATACCTAAATTTATTTATTTACAAGCTTAATTACTGTCAGATCTTAAAGTTTCTCTCTTTCCCCATATCTTGTAGTCTCTTTCTTTCTCTGTGGAGCATTTATGCTGCTGACCATTAAGAGGCATATTCAGTGAAAATCCCTGAATTTCATTTTCAACTCTACTGTGTGTACATGTCAAACTGCTAATTACAGGAAACAAGAACTTTGCTCAATATGTTGTGTTCACTGTTATGACGTACCTCATTTAATTTTCTAAAAAGCTGTTTTTCAGAATCAAGCCTTTCAAGGTATTCATTTCAGTCTTTTTTCAGTGTAATGTTTTTAACCCTTTGCTTTTAGGAGCATATTTTACACAGAATTATCTTCATTTAAACATTAAGAACAAGTGAGTTCAGAATCTGAATTTATTTGTTGTTAAAAGTTACCGCAGTATTTTTGCTGATGATTTTTCAGGAAATGAGTTTTTGGGAAAAGAGAGAAACAACAGTTCTGTTTTTTTTTTTTTTTTTTTTTTTTAATGAAATTGTAAAGAGATGTCAGGGTTGTCTGCTTTTTCTCTTCTTTGGTAAAGAAAAGATGTGATATGTTAAATATCATGTAGAAAAGAAGTCTGTCCATATTTCTTTAACCCTTGTTTCATTCATTCAATAAATCAAATGATCACAAACTGCTTCAGCGCAAATCCGTTACCAAAGGTGCTTTAAATTTGGGCTGCAAAGCTGCATGGAGAGCATGATTCATCCCAGATCAGCACAAAAATCTAGCTTGTCCATGTGAGGACCAGGCTCATGGACACAGGACATCTGAATCAGTGAGTATTGTTTTGAATCAATCAATCAATCAATCAATCAAATGGCATTTGTATAGCACATTTTAGCAGCAAGGCATTTCAAAGTGCTTCACATCATAAACACAAAAACACAAAGTCACTATGCAAATTTTTTGTGCGTAGAAGCTGGATGCTGGTTCTGGTTCTGGAGATGCAGAGCAGAACCAGAACCAGAAGACCTGAAACCAGGGGTGTCAAACTCCAGTCCTCAAGGGCCGCTGTCCTGCAGTTTTTATATGTGCCACAGGTACAAAACACTGGGATGAAATGGCTTCATTACCTCCTCCTTGTTCTCCAGAGCTTTGCTAATGACCTAATTATTCTATTCAAGAGTGGTGCAGCAGAGGCACATCTAAAAGTTGCAGGACCAGTGTCCTGCAACTTCAGGACTGGAGTTTGACACCCCTGCCTGAGAGTCTGGAAGGTTGTAAAAGTTGAATGTAGTTGTTAGTTTAAACATAAACTAACAACAGTATTTTAAAATTTATTCTTTGAGCTACAGGGAGCCAGTGGAGGGACTTTAAAACTGCTGTTATGTCTCTATCTTCCTGGTTTTAGTGAGAACAGGAGCAGCAGCTTCTGGATCAGCTGCAGCTGGAGGATTGATTTGTTGGACAGGCCTGTGAAGACGCTGTTACAATAATCAATGCGACTAAAGATAAACGCCTGGATGAGTTTCTCTAGATCTGGCTGAGACATTAGTCCTCTAATCCTGGAGATGTTCTTCAGGTGATAGAAGGCCGACTTTGTAACTGTCTTTATGTGGCTCTGAAGGTTCAGGTCCGAGTCCATCACTACTCCCAGGTTTTGGGCCTGATTGTTAGTTTTTAGTTGTAATAACTGAAGCTGTGCATTGACTCTAGATCGTTCCGTTTTAGGTCCAAAAATAATGACTTTAGTTTTGTTTCTGTTCATCTGGAGAAAGTTTTGGCACATCCACACATTTATTGAAACAAAAAAATCCCTGTTGTTTATGTAAGATTCAAACCAGTTGAAAACTGAACCGGAGTCCAACCCAACTCTCCAGTCGATTCAGTAATATGTCAAAAGCTGCACTGAGGTCCAACAGAACCAGCACTGTGGTTCTCCCACACTCCGTATTTATATGGATATTATTGAATACTTTTACAATAATCTGTAACACATAGCAGTAAATGCATAGTTTTGCAGGTTACAGCAGTTCTAAACATGGTGGATAGACAGATGATGGACGATTGATATCCAGTTTTGTTTCATACTGATATTAAGAAATAACTGCAGAAATGACCATTTTTGTTTTGAGAATTATATTACAGTTCAAGGTTGTGTCCAAGTTGTAACCATCTTACTCAATCTGTCAACCTCAAATGAAAGGAAATTAATTAAAATGTTCAAAACTAACTAATCATCACCATCAGGGAGCAAGTTTGTCACAAACTAAAAATTTCTGAAACCCCTATGTCAATGTCAAAAATTAAGAGAAATGTCATATTAACATGGACTTAGATCCAATCAAGTCTGTGGAAAAAAGAAAAACACGCATCTTTAAGTAATCTGTGGCTCCTCATGTAGGCAATCCAAATGTCCTTTGAAGATATGGCATACAGTCAGATGAGACAGAATTTATGCTTTTCACCACAGTGACAATGACGAGGTCCATGACAGGAAGTTTGATAATGTGCTGTTTTAATAGAAAAGGTGCATTTCATAAAGTGTATGAAATAAGCAACAAGAGGGAGTCTGAATTCCAAATCAACAGCTAAATGGTTGAAATTTGAGCATGGTTTGGTATTGCAACAAACCAAAAACACATATGCAAGTTTGTTTGGGAATGGATAAATAAAAATAACGGAAGCTTTTGGGATGTTTCAGGCCTCAACCTTTTTAACCCTACCCTAACACTTTTTTAAAATTTGTGGGCTATTTAAATCTCAATTCGTGCCACTATTTTTCAAAAGGTAAGAAGACTAGCTCAAATAAATCATAATGTGCACACTTAACTCTATTTTTTGCTTAACACGCATGAGCTTTGATGAATGCCTACATCCTGAATCAAAAGGACATAATTCTCAAATTTTTCAGGTCATATGTTTTCTTCTATTTTTTCAGATGATGATGAGCATGCTTATCACAAAGGGTCTCTGTGCTCATATTGTGAATTCTGCCAGGTATGTCTAAATGACAAAAATCATGTCAGTGTGGGACAAAATGTAATAAATAAATATCCCACTGTACAGGTTTTTGCATACTCTGCAGCTGCTTCCTAACTGCTGATTTTTCTTCCAGCACTGTGACAGCTGTGATAAATGTCCCTGTGAAGAAGAAGACAAGTCTGAACACTGTGATGACTGCAAGGTGAGCAGACAGGCATATAATATTTGACCTTTGGCTATGACCTTTGGTTTTTCAAAAGCAAGACAGTCTATTGACGCCAATATCATATTTACACTTAAATCACAAAACTTCTTAAGAGTTAAATTCCATATTCATATTCACTGCTTGATACAAGCTTAATCAAGCAGACACACAATAAAAGTATGAATTAATCATTTCCGTAGCACTTTTGTACTGATTCCTCCTTCTTAGTTCACTTTTATAGTGGCTTATGCAAGTTTACAATATCCATTGAACATTTCAACATTTTGTTATTTTACAATCATAAAGCACAAAGCAGTTAAAAATGATAATTGTTCAACAGAAAATAATGCACAACTAGGGAAAAGAAAGTGGATTCTCAGTGGTTTGAAACAAAAAATATCTTAAAAACACAAAATCATACCAAATAATATTGGTCGACATTGTAGGGAAAATATTTTAGTGCACTTGAAAAAAGTCTAAGCTACTTTGATGAGTGTCCACTTTTAAAGTTCGTCTTAAAACCCATCTATTTTACTTGGCTTTCAACTCCAGCAACATCTAGTTTTACATTGTATGTTTGTTTTAAACTGTAAGAGTTTTTTATTTTCTTATTTATTTTATGTACAGCACTTTGTATCAGCTGTGGTTGTTTTAAAGTGCTTTATAAATAAAGTTGGTATGGTACGGTAGGGTACTTATAATCCATCCATCCATCTTCTGGTCACCCTTCTCCCTAACGGGGTCGGGGCCCCCAGCTGCGTTCCGGGCGAGAGGCGGGGTCACCCTGTACAGGTCGCCAGTCTGTTGCAGGGCAGGTACTTATAATACGTACAAGTATTGTAAGTGGAAAAATCTACCAAAGGAACAAATATTTTTGTCTATATTAATTCATTATTTATTTGAATAAGTTTTATATCTTGCTGAAAGGCTTCTTATGAGTTGGTTTTGTTTCATTTCAAGTTTAATAATACCGTATTTTTCAGACAATAAGCCGCTACTTTTTTTCCCACGCTTTGAACCATGCGGCTTATAGCCCATTGCTGCTTTTCTGTGGATTTTTCTTCAACCACCAGGGGGCTCTTTAGCAGAAAGTGAACCATTGGAAGTCAAAATTACAACTCAAACAAGAAAGTGCTCATTATATCAAAGTTTGGACATACAGGTTTAAACAGTACTCTTAAAGTAAGGAATAAACACAGTACAGGTTTTTGTAGTTATTGTGGAAAATTAGAAACAATCCATCATATTTTTTTAGAATGTAGTAAGTATGATCAGGAAAGGGAGGTTTTAATTAGAGATATAAGAAGGAATAAAAATAAATTAGATATAAGAAATTTGCTTCAAAGATAGTCTGGGGATGTAGTTTTTAATAGTTTTTTTAGTTTTTTAAGGAGAATTGGTCTTATGGGAAGATTATAGTGGATTAACATTTGATCCATACTCCAGTCTGGAAGGTGGCGGTAATGCACCTATAAGATGTTTGCAAACTGCCATAAAAAAAAAAAAGATTTTATTTGTATTTTAATCAAAACATTCATTATTCAATAAATTAACAATAAGAAACACATACTCAGGCCAAAGATAATAAAAAGCACAATAAATATTTACATTAACAACTTGTTATATTTTAAGTCTCCCTGATCATAAATTGTGCATTATTAAAACCCCACAGGTGTAAAAAAGCATTCAAATTCCTGGTGGCTCTGTGGAAACAAAACTCCAACTTCAACCTGGATTTGATGTTAACCTTCCACAGAGCCACGGCATCAAGCATATATCAAGTATATCACCCGAGAGGGCAGGGTTCGAATCCAGTCTGGGTCCTTAGGCAAGACCCTTCAAGCTACTGCCTACCTCATACCATGAGAGATACTAAGTTGCATAACATGCCGGCTCAGACGTCGCCCGGCCAAACAAGGTCTGCGTCAGGTGTTGGGGAACCAGAGCACCTTGATGACAAATGGGCTACTGGAACAAGACGGAAATGGGCGAGAGATGAAAATGTGGATCTGTTGGAATGCTACTACTCAAGTAACCCTAGTGAGAGAGGTTACATGCAAAGACTGGGAAGGAATGGTTACTTCGACATCCCCAGTCAACACTAAGTGCTAAACAACTAGTAGCTCAGTGTTCCAACATCCGCAAACGGCAACTGCTATCACAACTTGAGATTGACGAGATACAACACAAATGCTACGGCAAAAAGGAGGATCCCGGATGTCAGAACTGTGTTAACTACAATTCCCCACCCAGTGAGGGGATACATGTGAATGCAGCATTGAGAACGATCCCTACCAACACCATAACAGAAACCAATGAGCTGATCTACAACTCAGCATCAGTGATTCTTGAGACGCTTGGCTATAAGAGCAACCATGAGACCCAATACCCACCATGGAAAAGACGGTTAGAGGCTAAAATCAAGGTAACAAGGAGGGAAGTGAGCCAACTGTCAGTGTTCCCTGCAGCTGCAGCAGCGTGTTCCCTCTACCTCATCAGCATCAGCGGCACCGAAACTTGCACAGCCGATCCTGCTCTTTCTGGGCAGATTTTTATAATATGCATATGTTAGCAGCAGGCACATATAAGTTCTTCAAATTCATATGCTATACCTTTTAAGTTGACAATTATCGATCTGCCAGTACAGGAGGGGAAACGAGCCACTACACGTATAAAGCTCTAAAAGCTATAAATGAACAAAATGATGGTTCGGCATTGGAGACGGGCCGCTGCGTCCTTGATAAATGCAGCAGATCCATTGCAGATCTCTTCTGCGTCCTCATGAAAGGAATTCTGCCAGACATGTCGGCAGAGACACCAGCAGCTTGTAGCCCGGTGTGGCTTCTACAAGTTCAGTTCTTTGTTTGTTTTTTGTTTTGTTTCTTTGTTTGTTTGTTTTTCAAACAAAATTTGTAGGTTTGGCTTATAGTATGGTGTGCTCTGTTGTCTGGAAAATACTGTATTTTTTCACTATAAACTAGACCAAAAATGTTTGATAAGAATTTTTGCCTTTGCAGTGCAGAGGCTTCTTGTGGTCATTGGTTGCTCTTTTATCGGACTAAAAGGAGTTGAAAACATATGTACACCATGTTGTTTGTTGTTTTTTTTGTTTTGTTTTGTTTTTTTGTATAATATTTTTTTCCACTTTGCAAACATGCGTGTGTTGCTCTGTGACACCTATTTGACAAAATGGGATATGTTCATTCACTGCTTATGTTTTTGAAACATACTTTTACACCACAGTGTGCTGATATTTATATTTCGTATTAGTACTGGATGTTCCACAGATTAACATCTACACATATAATTTCATGAGAGGGACTGACAGAGAGAGAGTCAGATTGAATGAGTGCAGGCTTTTTTTTTAAGCTATTGATTGTCTTGCTTCTCATGCATATCTTTGGGATCTGGGAGGAACATTTCAAACAAACACAGAAAGAAAACAGATGGTACCCATTGCAAATTCATTGTCTGTTCTTTTTTCCACAGATGTGCACTTACTGCAACATATGTCCTCTTTGTGAAACTGTTTGCAAACCTGGTGAGTATTACATTGAAGGATAATTAGTTTCTGCTTAATTTATCCCCTAAATTATATGACATTAGAAAATGTTTAAGTAAAGCCTATCAAAAAAATTTTTATGTGAACAATTATGCATCAAGTCAAATGCAATGCTCATCTCATTTATAAAAGAGATGAATGTAATATTAACTTTGAGATATATATGTATTTCAGCTCTTTCTTAGATTGGCATGATGAAACAGGATTCAACTTCTTAATTTGAATGTAGTTCATTTAAGTTAATTTTTATAGAATCAATTTATAACATGTGCCTTGTTCCAAGGCACCTGATAAAAAAAGTTAATTCAATATAATCATACATTCAAATTAATTCTAGTGATGAAATACTGTTATCAAGATCAGTTTTGGGATCTGGGAAGTTTTTAACCAACTGGTTAAAAATGTGTCTAAGCATCCTCACACTAAAGATGCATTGGTCACAACAAAAGCTTGCCAATAGTTTTGGAGACAGGGTTAAACACTGAAACACAAGGCCAAGCGCAGTATTTATTGAATGAAAATGTTAAGCTGTAACACAGGAAGCAGTCAGAGTTAAATAGTGTGTCACACCAGATTGAGCTTCTATCAGGAGAAAAAAACATTAGTAACTACATGAAAACTGAAATAACAGCAAGTAATGTAAAATTGGAGAAAAAGCAAAGAATGTAGCAGAACAAGGAGAAGTGGTCACTTTATCTTCCAGCAGTCTAAACTACAGCATAAATACAATATGATGACAGCATCATATTGCGGGGAACTATTGTGAGAAGTTTTTGGAATGAAATCCAAAAAGTTTGATCCAAATCATAAGGTTTAAAGAATATCTGTAAACTTCCAAGTTCGAAAAAAGTTCCAAGAGGAGGCCAAATCTATAATCGTTTGCACAATATTGGGATTCCTGCATATCTGTCTACAGCAGCGGTACTGAACACACCAGTTTCATATGCGCATTCACTGACCCCTTCTTTAGTGATGAATAAAATATGATGGGTTTTTTTTTTTCAAAATTGAGCCGTACATGAATATCACTTTGCTCAAAGAACAAAAACAACACAGCGCATGAACTCACAACAAATTACGCTATTACTTTATTCTGGTCCCAAAAAAATATTTTGGCCCCTTAAAAGAATTTCAACCCCCAAAAATATATTTTTTTGCTATTTTGCTAATTAAAAATAAATTTGGATGTTTTTAAGGAATTAAACAAATTTTTAATAACGTAATTTTTTTAAATTTGAAATTGAATTACTTTTTGTTGATCTGAATCCACAAAATACTTTTTTCCTTTTCCCCATCTCCATGCAGCTTCAAGAAGTGTTCCCTTAGTTTTGCCGGTGTATGAGGGTATATGCTCAACGTGGCGTTTCATATCATGCAGATTTGGACACTGACTCTCATCCCATTCCTTGATACATGTGAATCCAAGTTGTACATCACAGGAGCTCAAACTTTTTGAGGCCAAGATCTACTTTTTCTCTCACCAGCCGGCTGAGATCTACCTCATGACATTCATGACATGAAGACAAAAATTGTATATTAAATCCCACTGACTTATTTTCTATGCAAATTTACATCAGTTATATCAGAAATGATAAAGTGATAGAAAACCTAATGCAGTTTCTTCCTGAGTGAGATTCTGACACTGGGAGCAGGTTACTGGTTTCTCAGTCAGAAGCTGGTTGCAAACCAGAGGACAGCACGTGTCAGTCAGTTATGGTAGATCTGAACTTTGACCTCAGTATGAGAAACTGCAGACTGATCGGAGGAACCAAAGAGTAATGGAAATTTAAAGGCAAATCTTCAGAATGTTGATAGTATAATAATCATTCCACTGGGAAAAAAAATCATGAAATGTCTTCAATTAATATGACATGCAGATTATGTAAATAGTAAATATAGTACGTTTTTAAGTTCTAAGTACCTTATGTATGAAATAATATGAGGCAAACATAAACGTATCTTGCTTAAAATGATAGAAGGTCAACATTGCAAAGACAATGCTGTTCTCTATAACCAGAATTTTTTGCCTTTGCTGTTACTTGTCTTTGTCCCTTTTTCCCCAGGAGGACTCGTTGATGAAGTAACTGGATCAATCTACAAGTAGGTCTTATTGACAGTCATACTAGAAAGAAAATACTCCCTTTCACCAATTCTGGGTTCTGATGTGAAACATGATCCGATGTTTAATAAGTTGAAGTATTACTCAAATAAAACCTCATGTGTTCAAAACATATATTTTAACATGTTTCTTTATTTCCGTTCATTATTTTAAATTGGAAATCTGTGGAAAATTAGGTGCAGTCCAAAAGCTAAAGTGGCACAAAGACCTAAGAATTTAAAGGGGGTGTATTTTCTTTTCACCCTCACTGTAAACTGACTAGTTCTGTTGAAATATTTCTAATCTGTGGCTTCTAAATTCTTCTCTCTGTACCCACAGGACTGTAGCGGACGTCTTTGATGATGATAACTGAGGCCAACCATATGTTGCCACCATGTGGCCCAACTAAAACATTTCACCTTCATTTTCTTTTTTTGAGTACCCCATACATTTGATTAATAATGACTGAACAAAACTGAAAAATAAGCAATATATGTGTTTACTGTTGTTACTTGACAATCCGTACTTTTAAAATGTTACTTTTAATTTGCTCTGAATTATATCTAATAAAAAACTAAAAGATATGCTTAGTGATCAATGTATTGGATATAAAATGCTGAAAAGTGAGAATACGGTTTTTTGCATATCTAACCCAGCTGCCCAGTAAACGGATGAAGTGGGGGAAGTTGTTGAGAAAGCTCTTACCCACCTAGCCTATGAATTCATATTTTGTCAAATTACATTAACAAATTTGAATCTATTTAATTGGAATTTTACATGATGGACCAACACTAAGAGTCAAACAATATTGAAATGGAAGGAAAGGTATGGTTTTCAAAACTTTGTACAAATTATAATAATACATTTTCACTAAAGTTTGAGACAGTATGTGATACACTGTTCTGTCAAAATAAATGATATTATCCAGCATATTGTACTTTTAGCTAACGATTTTAATCTTTACCGTGACATTTCTGGTCTAAACCTTTCACGTCCCAAAATCTGGAGTATAACTGAAACCTTGTTCAGATCCCCAAAACACTAATGCATCTAAGAAAAACAAAAAAACCTTGTACACATGTGTATATATCCTTTTTTGTAAAGGGAGCTGCTTCAATAATTTCTGCAACTTAAGCTTGACCCTCAAATTCACCATTACCCGATTGCAGTTTGTACTTCACCTTATTAGATTATTAGATAAACCAGAAATTGCGCAGGCAAAGGAATAAACATGTTTAGACTGTACTACATGTTTAAGCTGCGTGTTTAAACATGAAGTTTACATTAACTTATTATACAGGTTTTGTATTTGCCATGTCAATTTGTGAAACAATATACATTTTGGTTTGTGAACATTGCCTGAAGGACCCAGAGTAACCCAAGGATAGAGAATCATTCTAAATAAATTCACTTTTTATTACTACACCTGAGGACCAGGTCCTGTTTTTATTCCTATTTTCTATTATTATAATTTTAGTATGTCTAAATGTTGGAGTTATGAATCTTTTGTGTATGAGAGCTTGAAAAATTCTAAATATTCAGTGGATGGAGGCTTTTGGATGCCCAAATCCTGACAGAGTTGCTGAAAGTTTTATATGTCTGTGCCAATGCCCCTTTATCCTTGATGCCCCAAATGCCCTCTTAAATTTTTGAATATAATATAATATAATTTATATATATATATATATATATATATATATATATATATATATATATATATATATATATATATATATATATATATATATATATATATATATATATATATATATATATATATATTATTATAATATATATATATAATTTATATATATATATATATCTATATATATATATATATATATATATATATAGATGGATATATATATATATATATATATATATATATCTATATATATATATATATATATATATATATATATATATAGATATATATATATATATATATATATATATATATATATATATATAATATATATATATTATTATAATATATATATAATTTATATATATATATATCTATATATATATATATATATATATATATATAGATGGATATATATATATATATATATATATATATATCTATATATATATATATATATATATATATATATATATATAGATATATATATATATATATATATATATATATATATATATATATATATATATATATATATAAAATTCCCTTCTCACCCACCGCGGGTGGTTCTTATCCTCTGAGCTCGGGTCCTCTACCAGAGGCCTGGGAGCTTGAGGGTCCTGCAGTATCTTGGCTGTGCCAAGGACTGCTGCACATTTCTGGACTGAGATGTCTGATGTTGTTCCTGGGATCTGTTGTAGCCATTGATCCAGTTTGGGGGTTACTGCCCCGAGGGCCCCGATGACCACAGGCACCACTGTGGTCTTCACCTTCCAGGTCCTCTCCAGTTCCTCCCTGAGGCCCTGGTATTTCTCCAGTTTCTCGTGCTCCTTTTTCCTGATGTTGCAATCACTTGGTATTGCTACATCTACCACAACGGCTTTCCTCTGATGTTTATCCACTACGACAATGTCTGGTTGGTTCGCCCTCACTATTTTGTCTGTCTGGATCTGGAAGTCCCACAGGATCTTAGCTCTGGCGTTCTCCACCACCTTTGATCTCGGGGTTTCCAGTCCATATTCTGCACAGATGTTTCTGTACACTATGCCTGCCACTTGGTTATGTCGCTCCATGTACGCTTTCCCTGCCAGTATCTTGCACCCTGCTGTGATGTGCTGGACTGTCTCAGGGGCCTCCTTGCACAACCTACACCTTGGGTCTTGTCTGGTGTGGTAGATCTGGGCCTCTATTGCTCTGGTGTTTAGGGCCTGTTCCTGGGCGGCCAGGATGAGGGCCTCTGTGCTGTCCTTGAGTCCAGCTTTTTCCAGCCATTGGTAGGATTTACTGATATCAGCCACTTGGGTTATTTGCTGGTGGTACATCCCATGTAGGGGCTTGTCCTCCCATGATGGTATCTCTGGCACCTCAACCTCCGTTTCCTGTTGTCTGAGACATTCACTGAGCACATTGTCTGTTGAGGCTTTGTCCCTGATGTATTTATGGATCTCAGTTGTTTCGTCCTGGACAGTGGTTCTCACACTCACTAGTCCTCTGCCTCCGTCCTTGCGGCTCGTGTACAGTCTCAGGGTGCTGGATTTGGGGTGGAACCCTCCATGCATATATATATATATATATGCATGGATAATACTATATATATATATATATATATATATATATATATATATATATATATAGTATTATTTTATCTGTGTGTGCACTGGTGGTGCTTGGTCTAATAATATCTCTGAATGGATGCCTTTACCTCTTCGTTAAAACACTGGAGGTTGTGGTGGAACTGCACCCTCTAGCCATCAGATTACATATATATTATATATATATTTTTTTTTAACATACACTTGTTTGTGAATAAAAAAATAGTTTGCCTGCTGAGAGAACTTCAGACTTTGATTTTTATCATGCTGCCCCTGTGCTGGACTAAATGCCTGGTTTGCTAAAAACTACAGTCTCAGATCAACACAGGCCTCTTGCACTGCCAGCAGCAGAAACAGCAACAGGGAAAGCATACACTAAATATGCTTTGCATTATCCCCACATGATGACAGTGATACAGTATGATCCCACTAAATATGAGACTCTTGGGGTGCCATGGTGATGCACAGGCAAATCATAACCCTTACCCTAACCCCTAACCCTAATTCCCGGCCTGTCTTATTACCCTCTTTCCTGTCAAACTACTTTCAAATAAAGGCTACTACACAACAAAACCTTTAAAAAAAAGACTCTTGATTAATATGGATTGTTGCTATGTTATTGTACAGTGTTTTAAGATTTGATTCAATATGCCCTTTATTAACTTTGAGCCCTTACCCTTCCAAAGGTCTCTCCACAACCCTATTGAAAGTCTATAAATTACACCCATTAATTTGAACATATTTTGAACATGACATTTAACATTTGAATATTATATCAGACCAATAAAAATCTATTTGTAAAAACAGATGTGTGCTTAATGAAAAGTATGTTAATTTTGATTTATTCTTCATATTCTAATTTATTGAATATGTAAATTCATAATGATCTAGTTATCAGACTTAATTTGATAACTCATAGATGAGAATGTCTCACCTGGAACACAGCTGGAGATAGGCACCAGCACTTCCCGACCCCGTTAGGGAGAAGGATGATCAGAAAATGGATGGATGGATGAGAATGTAGCAACAATGCATTGTGTCTGGCAGCAGTCAGTGAGAGCTTGGGGAACTCAGTGTGAGCAGCCATCTGCTTTGACCAACTTGAGATTTGAAAGGACAGAAGATGTACAGAAAAAATAGGAGCACTGATCTAAGAGTACTTTCTCAAATAAGTGACTAAATCAGTGCAACCAGAAAAATACTAAAACTGGGAGGTGGGTTCACAGGAGAGGAACCTGATGACTAATAGAGCTGCCATTCTCCTGTATGAATTGTTCTGTGAGGAATACAGAACAATCTGATGTATGATATAACTTGATTAATGATGGTTTTATTTGTGTGAAGGATCATTTTAAATTTTTTCTAGATTTAACATTAACATCATCAATAAAAAGAAACTAAAACAGGAGAAATATGATCAGCAAAAGGCTAATACTGGCATTTTGTTGATTTCCTGATGGCAAATAATTTCAGCAGTATGTTCTTGAAGAAACAAATGCATAAACTGGTTTTCTAGTGTTACTCCTTTACAGGATAATCTTTCCATATTCCACAGGAAGGTGAAAAAACCTGATTTATGTAGTGTTAAGAATTAAAAAGAGGAATAACTTGATTTAGCTCATTAATTAATTCTTAGTCCCGAATTCCTGTGTCTGTGTAAGTGTGCAGAGAGAAAAGAGCAATCATACGACGTCAGACTTCAGATATTCAGAGTTTTATCCAGAGAAATTCAATCCAAGAAGAACTTTACAATAAGCATCTCACCTAGAGAAAAAGTCCAAGACATTACAAAACAGAGACAAAGAACTGAGTAAAAAAGACAAAAGAATAACAGAAGATGCATCCTCCGGGAAACTCTCACTCAGCACAAAGAGATTCCAACTTCTGCTGTGAAACAAACCATTTTTATAGACTGCGTATTCTCCTCATTTAAATATATGCATTAGGAGGTGTGTTCTTTTCCTTTGTGTGTGCTGTCTCAATGTTAATTTTATTACCTCCTGCTAAAGAGCCCCAAAAGCAGATATACGGCAAACCCTTCTCGTACCAGCCGCTGTCCAGTTTGATATATGATTGCAGCTGCAGCGCTATCTGTGCCTCAAAATGTTTCCACAAGAAAGTAGTTTTTATTTTTAACCAAGCTTGCACACAATGTAATGCTAAATAATGACTATAAGTTTGGATCTAATAAGTAACTAATTAAAAACATGCTTAAAGAAATATAGTTAATTCTAATATAGATAAAATTATTTATGAAAAGTTTTAAGACCCTAGTGAACTTTTGAACCATGCTCAGGAATTTGTTAATTGCCTGGCAGACAGGCTCCCTATCTAAAGAGATCCAAGGAGTCTAAGACTGTTTTCTGATTAGGAATTTCTGTAAGTTCTGAGAGTCACCAGCTGTCCCAGTTTGGATCTGTATCTAAGTTTATCTTAACCTAAAAGTTAACTTATGTACTTTTGTGCTACTTTAAAATTCTTATTTCAACAGTAGCTAACCACAGCTCGTGATAGTTTTCTGTTGCGTGTACAATATTTTTCTGAGTAAGTTGGTCAAATTTATGTTTTTAGCACCCATCACAGAAATTGAAATTACAAATGCTTTAAGAAGTCACAAAAATAAAATAAATATTATAAAAACTGACATAAAACATAACAGTCATTAAAATGTTGTTACATATCAATTTAAAAGAACATAACACCCCTTTAGATATTGCACTGGTCTGCAGCATTTTCTTCTGTCTGAGCTTGAGATATTGTTTCATATTTTTCTAAATCTGCATAAAAAAACATTCTAAATGGCAAAGTCGTTCAAATTTAAGACACAGTTAAAACATAATGAGTTATGTTAATCAGCTATCGTTCGTATAGATTTTCTAAATGAATCTGACAGAAAATGCTTTTATTTTTATATTTGCAGTCGAAAATATTCTGTTGGAGCTGGCGAAAGAGTGGGGCAATGTCAAAGGAGTGTCGGATACAAAATCTAAATTTCTAACTTGTGATTTTAGACCCCATCTATCTAATCGTTCTCTGCAGTGATGTAGCAGAGAAAGTTATCTCCACTCCCTGTGGCATAACATAATGACACATTTTAATAGATCTATTTCTAACTGTAGATATTAAAGAACGGGACAAAGTAACCCATCAAATACACCGTTTGCTTGAAGGATTCCGTTTGTGTTTTTATTGTTTATGGAACAGATTTGCACCAACAACTGTGCCTCAGTTTTGTCGTATTTGTGCACACTCTTCGACAATGCGAAGTGACTATTTTTTTTTACCTTGATAGCATATTTTTGCCGTTTTCCCTTTCAAGTAGAATAAAATTATCAAAACGAAAGAAGACAATGAATTGAAAAAGTTAAAGACGTATTGTCTTGGTGCACTCCAGTTGGATAGTCGGTCTAAAGCCGAGATATTCTCGGTAATACATATTCTTTTTGACAGTAGGTGGCAGCACCTTGCTTTTCTCACTACTCAAAAAGAAGAAATGAGAAAACAACCTTCTGCTGTACCTTTAGATTAGGTTTACTTTCTGGTTACAAAACAGCTGCTGTATATAAAAAAACGAAGAAAAATTGTGGGGAGCTGAACGTGGTGGCGAATGGGACTGGAAAGGTTCTGCGGAGCGGACAGTTCGGATCCGTTTTGGGTACGTTTCTTTTCGTTCCCTCTTTATTTTCTGTCAAAATCGTCTGCCGGCCGGTCGGCTGTTGTTAGCCGCCGGGTTGCTCATGCTAACCGACTGTTACCATGGCCCCGGGAGTTTGATTTGGGTTGTCCTGACAGAGTCAGTGCTGGTCTTTTTTTTACAGAACGTAGCTTCTCTAAGCCATATACTATAGTCTCCACGTCTATGTACTACTTTACTTAACAGAAGTTAATGTAGTGTTCTGGTGTCAGTGTAGCAGAGATTGAAGTCTATGACGTAACTAACCCACTGGATCGGGACAACTGACTGAACCAGGCACATGACACGCACGCACGCACGCTATAGGCCCCAACATACTCAGGCGCACTTCCGTCGAGAAGGACCTCGCTGCAGAAAACAGAAAGGGACGGGGACGGACCACTGTCCGACTCGTACCTTATTTGAAAATGGGACCTTCGGAAGTGAAGGGGGCGCTATTTCCTATGTTAACCGCGGCCTCCCGTTTTTATTTTCTTTTGAAATCTGTGATATATTTTTACTTTTAGGGAGGAGTTTCGCTCTCAGCACGTATTTGAACTTTTTTCTTTTATTCACTTCAGCGCAGCTCACAGTTTTTAACAAATTTTGTAGCTTTCAGTGTACTTCTAAATCTGCTCTTTATTCGGAGCTTTTCGGGCTTGCCACTGCCTCTAAGTGGCGTGGGGATGGTAACACAACTAATATAATTACATTACTAAATTAGATTACCACAAAGTCTTTATTATTTACTTTTAATTTCTGCGTAAGGGGCACCGTAAAAGATAAATTATCTTATAAAACACCATATTTTTTAATTTTCTTAAGGATCTAGAGCAATTTAATGACATAAACAATATTTTTATACATTATAAATAATATCTGCATATCTCCAATTATAAGAGGAACAAAAGAAATAAGGAGACATGAAAAACAACATGATCAACTCGAATAAAAATACAATCAGCAATATATATGTAAGAAGTTTAATTGAGCAAACCTCAATAACAAACAAATGAACTAGGTACATTGAAGAATAACAACCCAGGTTATTACAACCAGGCTTGTTAAAGAGACACAAGCAATAATTCACATTTTACAGTACCATATATATTATTCTGAGAGACTTTTTGTTGGTAGAGTCTTATATATAGTAAAAAATTGTTTCACTTGATGACGTCCTCTGAAACTATTTAGCCTATCAAGGTGGAAATTTTCCTTCGACTATAAAAGGATAAATGATAAATACATTCATATTCATAGAATCACATTATCAACAATTTGTGAATAGAGCACAAATACTCAGCATGTTATAGGTAAATGTCATCATTTAGTTTGGTTAAGAATAATTATTGCACTGTCAATAAATGACTTCTAATAGATGTTCTTAGTTGCCAGTGGAACACTGTAATGTCTTCAACTGATAAATAAAAAGGATGGATGCTCTCTGCTGAAATATTTTTTGCCATCTTCCATGTTCTTTCAGCAAACAGCTGAGACAGAATTGGTTTAGGTTTCACTACTATTTACCTGCTGTTATACCTGCCATTGAAAGTATTCTTAAAAGATTGTTATTCTGCAGCTCGTGACCAAACCAGCTGAGGAGATTAAAAGTTAAAACTTGAGTCAAAATGTTGTTTTAACTTGAGTTGAGTTTAAAACTCAAGTTAGAATATTAAGTTTGAACATTTTAACTAGGTACACTGAAGAATAACAACCCATGTTATTACAACCAGGCTTGTTAAAGAGGCTTCTTAAACAACCTCTATCTAACGAGAGGTTGTGCACAGCCTCAAGTTGGGTAACAATTTGGGTAACCCCAAGATCATTGGTCTTCTTAAAAGATGGAGTCTCTGAGAACAGTTCTTTAAGATATTGGAAGTGTTTTCAGCAAAGTAGAGCTGACTGTCCAGGAATGACATAAGGAATTTAAAATTTGCCACAGTTTCAACAAGTTGGTCATCAAGTGAAACAATAATCACTTCCAGGTCTTGTTTATCCAATTTAATTTGCTCTATGTCCTAAAGAAAATGAAAAATTATGGTGTTTTATAAGGTAATTTATCTTTTACGATGTCAGTAATGCCAGAATTAGTAATAACTAATAAAGACTTTGTGGTATTCTGATTTAGTGATGTAAATACACTAAAGTTGTGTTATTACCTCCACGCCACTAGAGGCAGGGCTAAAAAGTTGTGACTAAGGAGCAGATTTAGAGGACGCTGAAAGCTACAGAAATTGTTAAAAACTGTGAGCTGCACTGAAGTAAATAAAAGAAAAAAAGTTCAAATACATACTGGGAGCGAAACTCCTCCCTAAAGGTGAAAATATGTCACAGATTTCAAAAGAAAAGAAAAATGGGAGACTGTGAATAATATAGGAAATAGCGCCCCCTTCACTTCTGGAGTACAGTGGTCCTGTTTCCAAATAAGGTCTGAGACGGACAGTTTCACAATCCCTTTATGTTTGCTGCAGCAAGGTGTACTTGCTGACGTCACAGCCGTGTTGGGATTTGGTGGCTGTCCACCGTCAATCCTCTACTGCATCCATCTGAACCATCCAGGGTTGCACAGCAGTCATCAGTGAACAAGTCTGTTTAAAAATGAATCTTCATGTACGGCTGGGCCCACTGCGACCGTTTCTGTTTGTGAGCTCTGGTTAGGGGGCACCGAATAGTAGGTAAATGCACTGGAGGATCCTCCACCTTGAGGTTCCGGAGGCACCAGCAGCTTCAAATAACTGTTTGCTGCTTTGTAAGAGCATTTTAACAGCAGGATCGGGGGTGATCGGTGATAAATAATGACAACACGCTGTTCTGCTAGAATAAATGTGTCCTTTTATTCCGGCACAGATTACAGCAACTTCATTCACACAACAAACAATACGCAATGCTTAGATTCTTTCAATCCACTCTTACCGCGACACAGTGAACCGGAGAGCCGACAGTTCAGGGAAGAGCTGCAGCAACACGTAATTGGGCGTCCGTACGTAACCCACAGCAGAGAGTCTACTCAACAACGACACTACTCTGACTCTAACTCAACAATGGAATTTTTCTGCTTTATACTCATTACCAAAACAACCTCGAATGAAAGAAGGGAATGGCCATTTCCCCTCTTCCAGACGGGTTAGCCAATCAGAATGCTACTTCCCTGCCCACCGACCATGAGCTCATTCCATGATTCAATCAACATACAGAATAAGTTCCACTTGGCCTCCTGTGGTCCATGTCTGGACCCCTCATTGTCCATGGGCTCCAGAGGTGACGATCATGAGCTCAGAGAGTTATCAATTAGCATACAGTAACCAGTTCCTTTAAAATGTGTTGAAAATGTATAAAATGAGCATGAAACATACAATTTATCAAAGAACATAGAAAATTAATACATCAGAAACATTCCTCATTATGCCTGTCTTTGTTCTGAATCAGCCACAAATCTCTTCACAGTACGACAACGCTTCAGTTTTTGTTAAATATCTTAATGTTTTCATATCTTATCATACGACACTACACAACCTGATGATTTTTGTCAGCAGAAAGATCCTTTCTCTTTCCCATATTGCTTGAAACCTGTGGCCTATTTAAAAATGTGGAACATCCTTTTAAGTAGATTCCCTTTAATTCTAATCAACCAGCTCTCTGAAATTAATCATAGTGATTGAAAGAGCCCTGACACACAATACATCTATACAATACATCTATAAATTTAATAGCACAGCAAAAAAATTAAATCTTTATGACACTTAAATTCAATTTGCATAATAATTTGGAATACGGTGTAGAATGGCATGTCCTCCCTGACCTGTCCTCTCCTGAGTGAAATTAAAGCTGCAGGATGTAACTTTTATTAAAAAAAATATTTTGCACATATTTGTTAAAATTGTCATTGTGTTGTGACAGTATGGCATGAGAAATAATTTGTGGAAAAATTATTTACTGTACCTTCTCCAGTGCCATCTAGAAACAACCAATCAGAGGAAGGAGGATTATTCATAGCCAAACTTTTTACTGCTTTTAGGTTTTACCATGCCCTTTTCCAATCTTTCTTAATCCATTTGTCTCCCACAGGATTGGAACAGTACGTGGAACACGTCTACTCCAGACCTAACCCAGTGTTTCCAAAATACCATCCTGGTGTGGGTGCCATGCTTTTACCTGTGGATGTGTGCCCCCTTCTACCTCCTCTACCTCCGCAGTCATGACAGTGGCTACATATGTATGAGTCACCTTAACAAAGCAAAAACTGTGAGTGATCATTAAAGGCTTTGGTCTTATTTTCTGCTCTGCTTTTAACTAAGTTAAAAGTTTTTTTAAAATTTTAATTAGAAATACTTTTTTAAACTAAAGTTACATGTACAGTTTTGTGTTTGCATTACTGCTAATATGGAAATACCAGTGGGCACCCTGTTTTTTTTAAAGTATTTTTTAAGTACTTGAATTAAAAAAAAACATCCAAGATCTACATGTTGATTTGGAATACTTTTGCACACAAAAGTATGCAAAAGCATAAGTACATAAGTATGCATACTTTTGCATACTTTATATCTGTAATTTCACACATAAAAAAAAAACGTTTCAGTTTTTTATGTGTAAAAATATTTTGAATAATTTTATTTCTACTGCACAATTGTATGCCACTTTTTGTTTCATCAATATATTCTCAATGAAACATATTTATGATTGTGGTTGTAGTGTGGCAAAGTATGGAAAAGTATGAAGCGGTATGAAGAACTTGTCAGTTTAATGTATGGGTGTACCAACACCACCCTTACATTGGTTCAATCAATATAGATTATAGATTTATAGATTATGCAAATCTATATAAATGTTTAGATCCATACTGTTGAATTTATAAATCTACAAGTAAATAGATAGTAATAAATAGTAAATAAATACAGAATCCTTCTCTTCGTCGCTCCTGCCATAGAGTCCAGCTCCACTCCAAAAATGTAGCTGGGCTGCAGATGAGTCTGTTCAGTCTGTTGGTGTCCTCTACCCTCAGCCCACTGCCTCAGTATACATGATAGCACTGGCAACTACAGACTCATAAAACATCCTGAGCAAAGTACGGCAGATGTTGAAGGACCTCAGCTGCCTCTGAAAGTAGAGGGGACCTTTCCTCGATACAACATCTGTGTTCTTAACTTGGCTTGTTTTATAATCAATATGCATTCCAGATTAATTACTGTTTTCAGCTAATGAATAAAATAAAACTCATTATTCCCATCTCAACAACAAGATTTTGACGAAGAAGCAACTGCTGGTCAACATTTGTGGTATTAGTATTGAGACAACTTTGTTGTAGTTTCCTAATGATTTTACCGAATCTTTACCATCTTGTCTTATGTCCATGGGCAAGACTCTTCACCCACCTTCCCCATCAGTGGGGAGGCTCAGTGTTGCCAAGAGCATAGCTGCAACAGTGTGCTCCAGGTCAGCTGTGGCTACATTCAAATAGACAAATTTGCATGTTTGACTGTTCAAGAAGGATCTTTCTTAAGGTGTCCCCAGCTGTGGGAAAACACCCTCTCTTTAAAGATCGACAATCAGTCAGAAAATTGCAGTCAGTTCGCCCATGAAAATTGGTACTCCCTAAATTCAATCAAGCATAGTGGGTGATTGATAACCACAAGTTAAACTAAACATGGCAAAAGTGGTTGCATCTGACATGGGGGGACGGATCTTCTCAGAGTATCGCATAAGATGTTACAAAAACAAATTTCAAAGTCAGTTGAGCACCCAAAATACCAAAAAATGTATGCATTGTATTTTTAAAATTTTTTGCAAAAATGAATAATGAAATAACAAGTAGATATCGATTCTCAATTGAAAAACAATTGAACAAAAGGTTCAATTGTTCTTAAATACTTTTGTGCTTTGCTTTGGTCTACTTCTGGGAAGTTTGGCATGAATCTTAAATGTTTTCCAACCGTCTCTCTGTTAAATAGTAGAAGAAATTGGTACTATATTGATGGTGTCCTAATTCAGACCGTATGCTCTTAGACAGCATGTTTTGATTGATGCAGTCGATCAGTTAATCATGTTTTAATTAGTACCACTACAATCATTACTATTTTATGATTACATTCAATAGAAGCAGTAATAGGAGGGAGTTGCATTTTGGGTTTATATATAGAGGGAAAACAATGCCATTGTGAAATTAGTTTTTTTTTTATAATACATGAGGTCAGAATTTTCTAGAGGTTAAATTATTTTTATCATGTCCTAATATGTAAAACCTTAAGGGGTTGTCTTCTCTCAACTTTTGGCCCTAGAATGATAAAATGAATTTTGTTGCTTTCAATAGTGACTATTTAATAATTCAGGGAAACTGTTAACATTAACGTGGAAGCTGTTTGATTTAATTTCCCCAATTTTAGATTTTGATTTTTCTGAAGTCCAAAATTGTTCCTTTTTGCAGGTGGTAGGTTTTCTATTGTGGGTCGTCTGTTGGTCAGATGTTTTCTATTCTTTCTGGGAAAGGAATCACAGTAGCAGCTCCACTGCACCCGTCCACCTCGTCAGTCCTACCTTACTTGGCCTCACAATGGTGAGAGATTATTTGACCTTTATCCGTCATCTCCCTGTGAAGCAGAGAAAGTATTTTGTGGCTTTCTAATTAAAATATTCTTGTTTTTGTTCTGTATTTTTTATTTAGAATGGATTGCTATATGTTTGTTTGAAATTTCATAGAAACATTTGGTGACACTTTGTTTGATGGGGTGTGCATAAGACTAACATGAAAGCTTCATAAACATGACATAACACTTGCTGTGAACATGAAGGAGTCTTTATGGATGTCTGACTGTTGTGATGAAGTGTAATGACATTTTTAATTCAAAGGTGCTTTAAAAGTTGTATTATAAGGCCATTAAAATGGCCAACTTTGAGTTGTGTTTTTATATGACATTTAAGGCAAAGTTGGCACTTTCAATGGACTTTCGATGCAACTTTTAGAGCAACAAAGTTGCATTAAAAATGTCATTATTTACCCAATTACACTTCATAACTACAATGATGGACATTCATGAAGACTCCTTCCTGTTCATGACAGAGCATGTCATCTTTATGACAGTGACATGTCAGCCTTATGCACATCCTGTTAAATTCATGTAAATGTGCTTTAATTTGTGTATGATTCAGCTGCTGGCCACCTTCATAATTCAATATGAACGACTAAAAGGGGTGCAATCCTGTGGAGTTCTTCTGATCTTCTGGCTGTTCGCTCTGCTGTGTGCCACGGTCTCCTTTAGGTCAAAGATCCTCCAGGCGCTGAATGAGGTCAGTTTAAAAGATTGTACACTTTTCCTACCAGAAGATGAATTATGCAAGGACATGTTTGTTGATTTTATTTATACAGTTAAGAAATTACAGTTACTGTATCACAAAAGACCATTGTTATTATTAATTATACTTTCTTTTTCTCTTTTAGCCAGAGACTGTGTGCATATGGAAGTACATCACCTTCTACATTTACTATGCTTTTCTTCTGGTCGCTCTGGTTCTCTCCTGCCTGACTGACCAACCACCGCTTTTCTCCCAAGCTACCAAGGAATTGGTGAGACAATCGCACACAGATTAAGGAATGCTGTAAATACTAACCTACACTGCTATTTCACAGCTAAATTATGCAACACTTATCACTTTATATTTGCTTAACAAAGGCAACCAAAGCTTTCTCTGGCTGTGACCCACATGTGATGTTGTGGCTTCATTAATTTTACTTTTTACTAATTTCTATAGTTTATTGAAAAAAAACTTTAAGAACTTCTCAGAAGTTTAAATGTTTTATTACCAAATAAATCATATTTTTCTAAAGATCGATGTTTTCATTGTTGATTATTGTCTTCCCAACTTAAGTAGATCTCTCTCACAAGGTAGATACTAACTTCTGAACAAAATCCTAACCGACTATGACCAAGTGTTATCTTAAAGCTTGAACGTTATCAAAGCTTGGTTGCTGCTGTTTCTTCTCCTTCTTTCCAAGAACTGGCAACAGCTTCTAAGTGGGGGTAAAATCCTAGAATTTTCCTGAATGTTCTGATCCCTGAAACACTTTGTTATAACTTTATCTTCTGACATGATACACCATGCTAGAAAATCTACAGATTTTAAAAAATGTAAGAAAGTTTGCAAAACATTATTATGGCATTGAAAAACATTTTGACACGTATTGCAAACTTAAAGCTAATCAAAAATATTATCAAAGTCTGGTCTACTGAATCCAAGTACAAACAATCATCACATACTTTCTAGTTGTAAAGTGTAAGGTTTCCTCCCACAGAATCCTTGTCCTGAGCCTGGAGCTTCTTTCCTCTCTAGGATAACCTTCTGGTGGATCACAGGGTAAGCACACAGAAAGCATACCAGTACTGTGAATGTAATGCTAACTTGTTGGTTTTCTTGCCGTTGCAACCACCACCAGCAGTCCCAACAGGGTGCCCTGTGGCACCTTGTTGTCTGAAGGCACATTGTCAGTTGCCTGAATAGCAAGTTCTAAAAATAGCAATAGCACTGCCAAAATAAATATGTAATTAAATATTTTTAAATTGAAGTAATAACATTTGTACACATGTAGAATTTAAATAAAAATAAATTATAAAATGTTTAAAATAAATTACATAATGTATAAAACATAGTCTTCTTTTCTAGGGTTAAAGTTCAGAATTATGCGCAGATGCAAGGGTGCCTGCTTACTATCAGAGGGCAGCAGGGCCTACAGCTGTATGGCTGTATGACTGTACATAACTTGAGTTTGTCCTACAAGCAAAAAAAAGAAAGAAAGAAATAGAATTTGGATTTTTTATATCAATGTCCCTATAGGTGAGCCTATATGAGTGATTGGCACCAAGGTGAACTTCACAGATCAAGTCAAGGCATCGCATGTGAAGCAGTCAACACGCAGTGGCGCCAGCAGTCTGATTGGTGCACGCACTCTGTTCAATCAACTATGAAAAACTATAAAAGCTTTTTCTTTCAGGAATAATTCTGTCCTGCCAGTAAAATGCCCCCTGCAGAAGAGATGCTTGCAGTCTGGCTTATTTAATAATTGACAACATTTGGCGGGGGACACGCATAAAGCATGGCGCCTGCCAGGCCTATAATATAGACTGGGGCAAACCCTGGACTAAAATAAATGGTCAGAGGAGTGAAATGTGTGCAAGTGATTACTGAAGTACACTAAAACGAGATAAATTATTCAGTAAATCTGAACTGAGAAAGAAATTATATTCACTACTTTTCTAGAGACTGGTATAATGCAGGATAAAGAGGGATGAATAATTTATACCTTTAGATCATTTGTGTTCATTTTTGGAGTCATTTTCTCTCCCAGGATGATGATGGTTGGATACAGACGGCCTCTGGAAGAGAAAGATCTTTGGTCTTTAAACCCTGATGACTGCTCTCACAGAGTGGTACCACAGCTGGTGCATCGCTGGAACTCAGAGTGCCAAAAAGTCAAGAGGTCAGCAAGATAAACACTGAGGTTCAACTTTGTAAGCAGGACTACTTTAGTAATCTCTGCTGCTTCTCTCCAGCCATTTTTTATTAATTCAACACATTCTACATGGTTTATTCAGTGTCTTTCAGTAAACGTAAGACATAATTTTCCTTAATTAATTAGTTCACATTCCCGCAGGACAATGACTCTAAACATACAATGGAATTGTTTAAATCGAAGAAAATTAATGTGTTGTAATGGTTCACCCAGGTTCAAAAAGATTTGGGGCAAAGTCATTCTGTAGATGTTTAAATCTAGTACAGACATACCTCAAAAGACCTGCAGCTGAAAGATGATCTTACAAATTACCGACTTTGTAGTTGAACACAACACTCTTCCAATTTTTATCTTTGATAATGTTTTGAAAACCATGCATCATTTTTTTTTCCACAGTTAACAATTATTCACTTCTTGGAATTGTTCTGTCTTTTAAAATTCTAGTAATTGACTTTGACATTTTTGGTTGCGATACGAATATAACTAAAATTTAAGCAGTGTGAATATTTTTGCAAGGCAGTGCGTGATCCATTCTGTTTTCAGCAGAACTGACCAGCAAATGGTGTACTCCCCTAAACGGGCTCCACATGGTGAGAGCAGAGAGGGCCAACCTGTGGAAGAGTCTGAAATCCTGCTCCTAAAATCTCCCAGGAAAACAAAAGAGCCTTCGTTGCTTTGGGCTTTGTGCTTGACCTTTGGACCCTACTTCCTCATCTCCTGCCTCTATAAAATAATCCAGGACATTCTCATGTTTGTTGGTCCTGAGATCCTTAGGTGAGTAGATTAAATATCAAGTTTTTGACTTGATATTTAGAGTTTTATACAATGAAATTTTATTTGTAGCATTGCTTGGTTAATGATTAATGACTTGGATGATAGTTTTTCTAATCACACGTATTAGTTGCGTGGGCTAATGTTTCTATATCAAGCTTGTAGATGGAGTTATACAATTTTGTCTTTTGAGCTGGTTGGACAAGGCGATTCTAAAATCTTCCGTTACTTTGTAAAGTATTTCAGAACAAGGAGCAAACCGAAATAATGTCAGAACACTTACATTCTGGGTTTCCACTGACATAATTGACCAAATTAGAATTACAAAAAAATAATACAGAAGTTTATATATACATACACTTTTTTGTTGCACCACACAAGCCATGCCAGTTAGTATGTTCCAGCAAAGTGCTCGTTTGGAGGCCCTGGCCTTTGTGGACAATGCACAGCTGGCTCCACTAGAGGTTTTAAGGCATTGCAAAGTTCATCGGAAGTTGAATTTGTCATTTGAAAGTGTTGAATCTATATAGCTTCTGTAAAATCACCAACTACAATTTCCAAAATGTGCCACATATGTAGCCATTGCTAAGTAGAAGCAGTTTGTTGAGAGTTTGTTTATGTTTGTTGTTAAGTCAGCAGACATGACACCAGTTAACAATAGTGGTTCCCAACTCAGCAACTTTCTTGCTATATTTAGTGACTTTTCAGGCAAAGAAATTGATATTGGTGAAAGTCTGAATCAACAGGTCAGGCTTTTTAAAGATCGGTAATAGGCTAGAAAACTGCAATAAGTAAGATGAAGAAAGTTCGCAACTGAATCCATGGTTGTTCATGGTAGAAGTCCTTTAGAACAAGACTGGAAAGTTTATTATTTATTATTCTTTATTCATTGTGGCCATTATGTTGTGTCTTTTTTCTTGATTCCAACAGACTGCTTATACACTTTGTGAATGACTCCAGAGCCCCCTCCTGGCAGGGCTATTTTTACACAGCTTTACTCTTCATATGCACCTGTGTGCAGTCGCTGATTCTTCAGAGGTACTTTCATGTCTGCTTTGTCTCAGGCATGCGTCTGCGTACCGCCATCATCGGAGCTGTCTACAGGAAGGTACTGGCAACAGCAGCACGTGCTTCATAAACATTGTAGAATCTTTCCTGTATAATAAATTAATGGAAATTAATGATATTGAGCTCACTTTAAGTGTGGATGAATACTTGTGGTACCTCTTGAATTTCAACTGTTTTCACATTTTCTCTTGCCATAAACCTCAATGCATTTCATAGAATGTTATGTGGCAAACCAGCATATGTACTGGTAAATGAGCTGAAAACAGTCCCGTCTTCAACAACGGTAGACAGCTGATTGTGAAATGCTCACATTTCATTATGAGATTTTTTATGACTTTAGCCCTTGTATCCCCTCGGGAAAATTTTTGTTTTTTCAAAACTTCACCGATGAATTTCAGTCCCGATGGCTTGTATTAGACTGGCGTGTTGCTACCATCTGCGGGAGTCCTCCAGTGCTTTGAATACTCCGTCAAAGCAATGGTTATGTTTATGGTGACTGATCAAATTTGGCGTGTTTAAGGTCAAGCTTTTTTTTGTTTCTCGTGGAACGTTCTTTCAACATTCATTTGTTAAACAAAGCTAGCATTTTAACCTCTTCTGAAACTTTAAAGAAGTTCCAAACTGCAGCTTTTATGGTTTCTGTTTACTGACAAACTGGGCCGCATTCACGTGGCGTTGAAAGTTCCCAGTTTGTGGGTCATTTGTGACTTTTTTTGTTTGTTTCTCTTGTTTGCGTGTAGCGTACTGCTGAAGTTGGTATATTAGTATATTATTTTTAGCTATTATTTAAATTATGACTGAGTGGTTTTCTGACGTGAGAAAATTTTAACATGATTTACTTACGGTCATTTCCTTAGTGTAATGCCCAGCATGCACTACATTATTTTAGAGCTGCTAGTCGATTGTCGGCCCATTTTCAAAACCTGAGAGACACATTAGCCGACAGAAATCCTGGATATAATGGTTTGATTGAACCGTGTGGTGTCCAACAATGGGCACAAAATAATAAGTCTAGTTAACTAATTTTGAAACCAGTCATTAATCAACACTTTACTATAATCTGCCTGCAATGCATGTGGCTGGTGTCAGTCCTGACAGAAGGAAAATTTAGGTCACTTTAACAAAGAACAGCTGAAAAGTTACCGGGTTTATCAACTGCGGTAAAAATTTCGCTCCAACTCCTCCCCTTGTTATTTATATTTTCTATGCACAAAATGTTCAATGAACATTCCTGTTGTTTCCACATATCATCTCTGATGTCCACTAGACTTCGGGTTGTGTCGTGTCAGCTGTTTGGGATTCCCCTCCGTGGTTTCCCCTCAGAAAGCACGGAGGAGAATCCACGCTTTCTGATTGGCTAGCTGTCACATTCAACAGGCTGCATTAATGCTCCCAGTCAGTAAAAACCCTTGATTTAGATTGGAGTGGTCACGACAATCTACCGTAACACACCACACAAGCGACAATCTTAGAACGTTTTAAGATTGTTGTTTGGGGCAAAAAATTGCATCAGGCAGTCGAATATGCCCGTCTTCTCTATTTAAATCTAATGATTACTGAAGGGCAATATGTACTATGCAGACTTCATAATCTGCACTCTTTTGGTTGAATGCAGTATTTATTTCCCCTTTGGCTTTATGTTGTTTAGTTTTTATTCAAGTGCATTCTTTTTGTCAATGGAGACTGAGAATCCACTTTATTTTTGTTTTTGGTTGTTTTCTTTATTTTGTTCATCAGTTCCAATGTTAAGTGTTCTTTTGAACATGACGTGCGTCTACCTTTGGCAGGAAATCGCATGTATTATTATGTAATTTCCATTAAATTAGTGTAAAAAGGTCTTCAAACAATATTATTGTTTATCACAATAATTTTTGAGACAATTAATCGCTCAGCAGAATCTGTTATCTTGACAGGCCTGCACAATAACAGAGTACCATCACCTGTAGTCTTCCCACTCTGGCCAAGATGCTGAGAATGCTGTCTCACTTGATGCTGAGAGTGCATTTGACTGGGTAGAGTGGGAATATCTATTTGCTGATTTAAAACACTTTTCTCCCTTGAAATAAATGTAACCAGACATTGAAAAATGCATAAGTTATCAATTATTTAGCATGATCACCAGATAGTTCCTTTCTCTTTACCTAGACTGAAGAAGTATCTTACTTGGGAATTAAAATTACTAGGGGTGCATGATAAATATTGCCCTAATAATAAATTATGATGTTATTGTTATGGGTCTGATATGACTTATCACTAACGGGACAGTTAACACTTTTGGTGCCATCTGTGTTTTTTAATCAATCACTCCCACTCTCTGACATGCTATCACTTAGTGAATTTGCTCTTTCAGGCCTTGGTCATAAGCAACGCAGCACGCCGCACATCAACTGTGGGAGAAATTGTCAATCTGATGTCTGTGGATGCTCAGCGCTTCATGGATCTGGTCACATACATCAATATGGTTTGGTCTGCCCCTCTGCAGGTGGTGCTAGCCCTCTATTTTCTGTGGCAGGTAAAATTCCTGAGAATGTAAAGCTGCTGTTTAAATTATTGATCACTGATGCTTTTCTGTGTGTTTTCTTGAGGGCAAATTCTCATTTTATGTGTTTATTTGTTCAGAACTTGGGTCCATCTGTCCTAGCAGGAGTAGCTGTGATGGTTCTGATGGTTCCGATTAATGCTGTGATTGCCATGAAGACTAAAACCTACCAGGTAAACTATCTCACAACGCCTGACATGTAACTCCAATACATGTGACCCCTGGTCACATGTATTTATTGTGACTTCATAATAAATACATGACATCAATAAATACGTGGCATGGTTAAGTTCATCTTTTACTGTAATCATGTGTTGAACAGGTGGCTCAGATGAAAAGCAAAGACAGTCGCATTAAGCTGATGAATGAGATGCTGAATGGCATAAAGGTGCTAAAACTCTACGCATGGGAGCTGGCCTTCAAAGAAAAGGTGTCAGAAATCCGTGAGAGTGAGCTGCGTGTGCTGAAGAAGACAGCTTACCTGGGAGCCATTTCCACCTTCACCTGGGTCTGTGCTCCCTTTCTGGTGAGTCCTGCTCTGAGAAAATGATGTTCATTATTCCACTTCTTCTCTGCTGATATAAACATTTCAGTGATTAAAAACACATAAAAACATTAAATTGATTCCGAGTGTTTTCTGCTGCTCTACAGGTTGCCCTGTCTACTTTTGCAGTGTATGTGCTGATTGACGAAAGGAATGTGCTCGATGCTCAGAAGGCCTTTGTGTCGCTTGCACTTTTCAATATTCTGCGCTTTCCTCTCAACATGCTGCCAATGGTCATAAGTAGCATTGTACAGGTTGGTGGACTTCTATTCCTCCTGTTTAGTTCTCATTGCTGTATCAGAGTCTGTTGTTTGCAATTCACAATCCTCACCACAAAGATGATTAATTCCATGCCAACTAACTGTATTACAACCCTCCCCTGGCCCCCCTCTGATCTGATTTATTCTTTCTCTGCTGTGTCTGAGGGACCCTCAACATGTTTTGCTTGATACTAACCTGTTAAAAAATGTATAGTCAAATCTTTGATTCAGGAAGAACAGTGTGGTTTTTGTCCTGGTTGTGGAACACTGGAGCAGCTCTACACCCTCAGCAGGATCCTGGAGGGTGTGTAGGAATTCGCCCAGCCAGTCTACATGTGTTTTGAGCCTATATGACTCCAATGGAGTCATGTTAGGCCCCTGTGTGGCCACTGTCAGTCTGGTTTGCATTGCTAGTACTAAGCCAGGCTTGTTTCCAGTGAGAGCTGAACTATGACAAGGTTACCCTTTATCATTTTTAGTATATTAAATCCAAATTAATTCATCAGTTAGTGTATTTAAAATGACGCTATAATGACTTAGACTTAGACTTAGACTCGTACTTTATTGATCCCTTGGGAAGACTCCCTCAGGAAATTGAAGTTACCAGCAGCTTACAGGCAGAAAAGTGGCACACAGTGCGCAAAATACAAAAGAATACAACAGATATAAATTAAATACAAAGGTACACACTAAATGTCAGTAGCCAAAACCCCAAATTAAGCAAAAATAAGCAAGGAATAAGAATATGAATAAAATATAAATACAACACAAAAGAAAGTATAGGAATATGGCGGATAGATTGACCAGTGATATGGTATTGCACTATATGGTTTGGCCTGAGAAGTGTGAATATTTGCAGAAAAGTACAAGGGGTCACTACTCCTTCTTCCCTCTGTCCTGTGTCACCTCCCACCCCCCAGTGAGGAGTTGTACAGTCTGAAGGCGTGAGGGACAAAGGAGTTCTTGAATCTTGGGAAGCAGCAGTCTGTCACTGAATAGGCTCCTCTGGCTGCTGATGACGGCATGTAGAGGGTGGCTGCTATCGTCCATGATGTCCAGCAGTTTGTTCAGTGTCCTCGCCTCTGCCACCGTCACCAGAGAGTCCAGCTTCATGCCGACCACAGAGCCGGTACGCCTGATCAGTTTGTCCATTCTGGACGTGTCCTTCTTGGATGTGCTGCCTCCCCAGCACACCACGGTGTAGAAGAGGACACTGGCAATCACTGACTGGTAGAACATCCACAGCAGTTTGCTGCAGATGTTAAAGGACCGCAGTCTCCTCAGGAAGTACATCCTGCTCTGCACCTTCCTGTACAGGTGGCTGGTGTGTTTTGACCAATCCAGTTTACTGTCCAGCCACAGCCCAAGGTACTTGTAGGAGTCCACGACCTCAACCTCTGTTCCCTCTAGTACGACTGGTCTCAGCTTTGGTCTGGACCTCCCAAAGTCTATAACCAGCTCCTTTGTCTTAGAGGTGTTGAGTTCCAGATGGTTTGTGTGGCACCAGAGAGCAAAGTCCCTCACCAGACAGCGATATTCCTCCTCTCTGTCGTCCCTGATACATCCGACTATGGCTGTGTCATCAGCATACTTCTGTATGTGGCACAGTTCCGAGTTGTAGTGGAAGTCAGAGGAGTACAGGGTGAAGAGAAGAGGGGCCAGCACTGTGCCCTGAGGGGCTCCTGTGCTGCTGACCACAGTGTCAGACACGGTGTCCTTCAGCCTGACATACTGCGGCCTGTTGGTGAGGTAACTATGGATCCAGGTGACCAGGTGCTGGTCCACTCCCATGCTGTTTAGTTTGTCCTGGAGCAGAAGGGGCTGGATTGTATTGAAGGCACTGGAGAAGTCCAAGAAAAGGATCCTCACTGTGCCACTGCCCTTATCCAGGTGGGAGTGGGCCCGGTGCTGCAGGTAGAGGATGGCATCCTCCACACCAACATCTGACTGGTAGGCGAATTGCAGGAGATCCTGGGCATGTTCCACCTGAGGTCTGAGGAGGCCGAGGAAGAGCCGCTCCAACGTCTTCATCAGGTGTGAAGTGAGTGCCACGGGCCGAAAGTCATTCGGCTCGCTGGGCCTGTTCTTCTTGGGCACTGGGACGATGCAGGATGTCTTTGAGTGGGTGGGCTCTTCCCTTAGCTGCAGGCTGAGGTTGAAGATCCGCTGTAGTGGCTCTCCCATTTAGAACTGCCCCATGGTATAAATGAACTAAGCAGCTGCATAAGCTGTGGTTCCTAAATGAAGGAGAATATCCAAACAATGCAATCTGGGGGTCTGGAGCCAACGTGCACTATATACTATGTCTATGAAATGAGTCTATGAAACACCTTGAACTGAATTAACTGGTGCTTTACATTGATATAACATGATCGAATCCTCCCAAGACCCTCCTCCCAGACCTCACTCCCAATCTGCAAACCCAGCTCCTCCTCCCACTCAGCTCTCAAGGAATTTGTGGCTAAATTAATTCGCTCTGCAGAGATGTCAACAAAATTTGAGATCTTTTGTTTTTATTCTGGAGAGCCCAACAGCATTTGCCCTGTAATGAGCTTCCTGTTTTTGGAGCGGTCTCAAAGTCCAGTTGCAATCTCAGAGTTAACTTCACCCAGACTGAGTCCGAGGTTTTTAGGCGGATCAGAGTTCACTTTTTCAGTCAGTTTTTTCATTCAAATTTGCATTCACAGTCCCCAAACAAATCAGACTTTCTGGACAAACAAATTACACTCTGATGAAAGTGGACTAAACAGGGCTGGCATTAATTCCCTTTGGGATTAATAAAGTGTTTTTGAATTTGAGTTTGAGAAAGGAGACATATAACATACAATCTAAAAAAAGAGTACAGTATTTATTATGCTTAGATTCTCATTTTCCCCTTGATTTATTATTTACCACTTTTATTTTTAGTTTTTATTTCAGTTCAATAAAACATTTAAACACAAGAGATTTAGTCATATACCATTTAGTTGTCTGATAGGATAGAAATGCATTCGCACTGTTTTCATTCTTCAGTCTTTAGTCAAAATAAGTCTGTTGCATCAAATTAAATATTATATTGCTTTGCATTAAGCCTACATGATTGTCTCAGAGATGAGATAGTGAATGTCCTTATTCCTCCAGTAAGTAACTCACTCACATACTGTATTGTGGCTTTATGTCACAGCTTGAAGAACTCACAATCTGAGCTGTGTATTATTGTTCTACTGCTCTGTGTTATGGAGTTAGAATGGATCAGTTGTAATCCGCAGCTCACTGTGCTGTGGCACGGTGTCACAACATGAATGGATTGTATCCTGATTTGCAGTACAGCTGCTGCGCTGAAGTGGCACTGTGTCTCTTACTTCAGCTTTTATTCTGTCACAGAACTCAGAAGTTCCATCTAATTGTTACTTTATCTGAACTCAGAAATAAATGAGGTCTGAAGTGATTTGCTTCAGTTTGTTTTCTCAAATGATTTCTTCATTTGAACAGATTGATCATGAATGTCACAGCACAATTGTCCAGCTGCAAGCATAGGGTGCACTAAATTTAACTGGAATTAAAAGGTGATAAAGTTTAGTTTATGATGTTCCAACATGCACAGTTGTGGTCAGCATAATAATTTGACTCATAAGTAAATGCTGCTATCCAAGATAAGCATGTACCTGATACTCTATCTGGTTTGAAAGAAAAAAAGGTCAGTATTGACTTTGTGCAACTTTCAATAACACTGTTCTTGAAAGAAGATCACCACTCAGCTGCTACAGAAGAAATCTGGGGTGATGTTTTGTTATTTGTCATTTTTATTCTGCATTATAGACCTCTTTCCAAGCTGTCTTTTTTTCTTTTTTGCCATCACTATAGCTAATAAAATCTCTAAGTTGCTGTGAAACCTATGACGTGATAGCCACTAGTCAACTCAACTTTCATTATATTGTCCTCAACTTTAAAAAGCTGAGGACAGGGGTGGTATGGGGTAAAGCACAACCTACATATGGAGGCCTTAGTCATTGTGGATGTCACAAGGTTGATTCCCAGCACGTCTTCCCTCTCTTTTATTACCCAGTTTCCTGTCTAACCACTCTCAAACTAAGGCCACTACAGCCAAAAACAACTTAAAAGAAAAAATATATATATCAAATGGTGAAACCCTTACTATGAGAACATTGTTGCACAGTGATGTAACTGTTATAGCATGAAAGACTGGTTCAATTCTTATCTCAAGGCTTGCATGAATGTTGTAAAACTTGATCAATCTTGACTCTAGTCTTCTTTCATTTGGTCTGTTTTCAGGTCAGTGTGTCTCTGAAGAGGCTAAGAGTATTTTTGTCACATGAGGAGCTGCAAGAAGACAGTGTGGAGCACAAAACAATGGCTGCCTGTAAGGCTCTCCAAATGTGTTGTCTAATACCAGTCATGGAAGAAAATTCAAACCTTTAAGATTTTACAGATCTATACTATTAGGATTACACACCAAGCTTACAGTTATTAGTCAATAATTTTGGACCTGAGGGGTGGATTGCAGTTAATTCAATATGTTAAACTTCTAAATGAAAACTCAAGATATGCTTTCAATTTGAGTCTTGTAAAAAGATTAACTGAAAATTATACAAATAAAGTCTTAAGAAATAGTTTGACATATTACTAAAGAGCTGTATTATATAGTACAAAGCCTCAGGGGGGACATGGAAGATTTATTTTTCTTTTGCGATATCTCAAATTGGTTTTGCATTCTCTTGCAGTAATGTACTGATCAGATGATGTAGCATACTTGAATACTGAAAGTCTTTCTTACAGTGGCCACCATATTTCTGCTATAAGTTTTCGTAAGATTTTCCATGTATGTTAATATCTTGTTTGTGAGATATCTACAGTTTTCTATGTATACAAAATTGACCAGGGTGTATTTGCTTATGCGAGAGAAAGCAAAACTTATTTCGAAGGAATGTGATACTTTTGCTATCCAAAATAAATATTTCCCATGTCCCCTAGTAGGCTCCATAATATAGCTCACTCCAAAAGTTTATGTTGTACAAGAAAATTTGATTAAAAAAAAAAAAAAATCAACATGTCTCCGACCCAATCTTGAAGGAAAGGGCTCTTATTTATAAAGTTACTTCATTTATGTAGATATTCTTTTCCAGCCCCACACAGCATCTCTATAGTAGATGGAATCTTCAGGTGGTCCAGAGCTGAATCACCAACACTCAAGAGGTAGGTCCCATTTACCCTGAATATGTGGAAACCTGCAAGCTTTTATTATTTAATTACTATACAAATGAGCCTGAGAATTTCCTGATTACAAGTGATCTGAGAAGACGGATCTGTGGTTGTGTATATGTGTTTGTGTTCAGGTTGAATGTGTGCATCCCAGAAGGCTCATTGGTAGCAGTGGTGGGACACGTTGGCTCAGGAAAGTCCTCTCTGCTCTCTGCCCTCCTGGGGGAGATGGACAAAGTTGAAGGATCTGTGGTTGTGAAGGTGGCTGCTCTTATTCTTTCACATTGTCACAAATCAAAGACACATATACACTAGACTAGCGTTTCTCAACGGGGGCTTTCAGAGGACAGCAGGGGACGTTGGCAGAAATTTTTACAAAGGGAGGTGCTGCGATTCCTTTGGGGGGCGTTTGCTGGAAGGTAATCTTTACTTCTTAAATTCACAACAATACCATTTTAGACTTTGAGCAACTTGCTAAAATTGTATTGTGTAACATTAAAACATGCTTGGCTACGACTGTATAATCCTTCCATGGGTGATGCCACAATAGATAATGTTCATTTCATACAGTTAACATCGGTGTCATAATCCAGTATGAAATGGTACCACCACAACATTTTTGAATTGCAATCATCAGAATACCAGGAATTTTCACTGTTGTTTTAAAAAGCTTATGTCAGTTTGCTTTTTTCCATTGATAGGCTTCCCGACAGCTCCACGCCAAGCTTAAACAACAGTGATCTGTTTCATAAGATTCCATTTCTTTTTATGTGCTTTGGGCACATCATAATTATTTGTGTCTATGTTTTTTCTCAATTGTTTTGTATAGAATTTAGTTGAATTACTTTTTAATATATTTTGTAGTTTGGATAATTCCTTTTTCGTAATTTTGATTTTGTTAACCACAGTGGCAACCGACATCTCCAGTCTGCCATGTGGCATTTTTGTTAGCCTTTGTTTGTTTGCTGTTTTTCTTGTGATTTTGGCCTGATGGAATTGGTTGTCCCATTTTTGATTCTTTCTTTGCAGTAGATTCTTTTTCTTTTTTCATTTAGTCCAGGGCTTCAACAGCCCTGTATAGAGTTGGTCCCCTGCTGCACTAGCTTCAACTTTCTGTTAATACTTTTGAGGTTTTGTTTTTTCCTCTTTTTTGGGACATGAGGAACTGAGGGTATTTAATTCTCTCTCTTTTTTCATCCACAGAAACTCAAAACAGCTGAACCAAAAGAAAAGTTTAAGAGACTTTTAAAATAAAATCTTTTATTTTTTGAACCCTCATTTTTGCCTACATGTCCTCAAATATGTTGTGCCCTTGTTGGATGTAACAATTGGGCCCAGAAAAATCTTTTTCTTTAAGAGGTTGGAGAGTGTAGGGCAGAAGGCACTGGCTCGTAAATTTCACCCAGAGAGCAGAACATATGTCAGAAAGCTCGAGAGTTTTCTCCTGCCTTGCTTGGATGAACCCTTCACAGGCCACTTGTCAGGATCTTTTCATAAAATCTGTTAAAAAAAAAAAAAAGTAAAAGGTAGAATAAAGTAGGTTGGTTGTTGTAATGTGAGTGTAAAGCACTGTATATGATGTCCTGGGTTGTAGACTGAAATAATAATGTGAGATTTAATCTGAAAATGAGATGATTCCATATGAATCTGCATACATACATGTATGTTGCTTTCAGGGTTCCGTGGCCTACGTTCCACAGCAGGCCTGGATCCAGAACTCCACACTGAAAGAAAACATCATTTTTGGTCAGAAGAGGAGAGAAGACTGGTACAACCATGTGGTGGAAGTGTGTGCTCTCCAGCCAGACCTGGAGATTCTCCCTGCAGGGGATGAGACAGAGATTGGAGAGAAGGTATTGACTGAGGATCACTCTGCCCATTAATCACTATAACATAGCATAGTATATATTATTTAGACATTCATCTCTCCATATATAGTTATTTTGAGGGAAAAATAAATTTACATAGTTACATAAGCTACAACTTTTCATTATGTCAAAGTCATTTTTGTCAGTGTTGTCCCATAAAAACATATACTTAAATATCTGCAGGAATGTCAGGGATGTACTCATTCGGATGTTTTGACGATCTGAAATATTTGGCATTTGTTCAGTCTGTTTTTTAAATGTATCTCATTCTGGAGCTGATCCCATACATAAGCAGTAATATAATGCTTTTTATATTCTCAAATTCAATTGCAGCTCATCATCAATAGGAAGAGCATTTAATTAAGTCACACATAAGGTTGTCTGTTGAAAAACAAATTTAAGCAGGTCCAGGCTTATGTCCTTCTTTTTTTTCTATGTGATGCCAAAGCCAAAAATAATTAATTCTGTGTAGCTGCTGAGATGTTTTCATTTTAGTTCCTTACCCATTCTGTGTTTAGGGAGTGAATCTGTCTGGTGGCCAGAAGCAACGAGTGAGCCTGGCCAGGGCAGTGTATTGTGACCGTGCTGTATACTTGCTGGATGACCCACTGTCTGCTGTTGATGCTCATGTTGGAAAGCACATCTTTGATTATGTCATTGGCCCACAGGGCATACTGAGGGACAAGGTGGGTGAACAAACCTGAATCTGAGCCCACTCCATTTTGGTTTACATTTCCTGAAGAAGAAAGTGCTCATGTTTTCTTTATAGGTTTCCTATAAAGGTTTAATTTCTTTCATTCATTGTTCGTTCAATGCCATGTAATTTGGCACATTGCAATGTGAAAGCAAACCACACCACCTGAAAAATGAAGCAAATATTCCCTAATGGAATCGTTTCTAGGTGTGAATACTCCCTAAATTTTACCTTTGAGTGTATTGAGACTTTTTTCCAGCATTCACAGTGCATACTAGAACATTTTCCAGTGTTGTGGTTTTACATCAGTCTGCACTTCCCCATCAATATGTTCCCAGCCCATAACCAGTGTTCTAACTATCTGTGTTATCCTTCAATCTGTCCTGCCTTGGAGTAAGGCACATCCGCACATCGAAGCTCCGTCACATACTGCTTACTCAGCAGATTTCTTATTTATATATCCTACCTATGGAAGGTTTGTTTTTTCTGTTCTATTCCACCAAAGACTAAGGTAAGCTTTATTTAACTTAGGGTAGGTCGTGATCTTAGCATAATTTTTTTTCCCACCCCCTCACAGCTATTCAGTGCCAACTATAAACCTATCTTAGCCTGTCTTTTATTATCACTGTTACTGATGTATAAAAAACATATATAAAATTAATTAATTAACAAAGGATGCATAATCCACCAAGCTTATAATACACTGTAATTTAAATGAGTTTTACAAATTCTGATAAGCTGACGGGTCAAATATCCATTCAGAATTTTTTGATGAGCGTAAAACCTTCTGACATTGGATTTTTAACTAAATATTACAGGATGTAAATATACATGTCATTCTTTATAGTATGCTTTTTAAGCTGTTAGGACTTGTGAAAATCTGCAAGAAATGTAAACTTTTGCAACCAGGTCTTGGTTTTAAAATGTATAGCTATTGTTTGCTGTATATTCACTAAACGCTGAAGAATAAGTGGTAATAACTGCCGAAAAGGGCCATAATTTAAATGCTATTCATGTCCTTAATCTTCTGATTAGAAGTGTCCTTTCTTATGTCCTTTAGTTTTAGCAAAAACACCTGCACTAATAGGCAGCAGAATTAATTGGTAACAATGTGTATGTGTACAGACTCGTGTCCTGGTGACTCATGGATTGAGCTTCCTACCACAAACCGATCTGATCCTGGTCATGGTAGACGGGGAGATCACAGAAGTAGGCTCCTACCAACAGCTTTTAGTCCAGGAGGGAGCCTTTGCCGAGTTCCTGCGAACGTATGCCACTGTTGATCAAAATGAAGATGGTGGTAAGCAACATTTCATCATTTCAACATGTTCCAGTTGCCAGTTTTAGGAGTTGTTTTTTTTTTTTTTTACTCTCCAGAGAAAGTTGCTTATTTTGCCAAGTGGAGGCTTCAATAGTATTTCTCTCATTAATCTTAATGCTTCCTGTAGTGTCTGTAGAAGAGCCTAATTTAGATGTAGACCCTCCATTACGAAGTTTTCATTTTTACTTCCTGTCTTAGATTTAAAAACTGCGCCAAAGAATGGATCCAGAGCAGTAGAAAATGGTGATCTCCCTGCTCTTATTGGGTGAGTCAAACTGGATAACATGACGAGCTTTATATGCAGCACTGATCTGGGGTTTAAATGCATGCATTATAGACATTTATGTCTTTTTATGTTGACCTTTTAGTGAGCCTTAATGGTCAGTGAGATCTGGGGGATTGGGGTGTGAGGTTACTGAGGGCTTTGTAAGTGAGGAGTAGTTTGTATTGTGTCTGGTTTTCAACAGGGTGACATGGTCAGTGGAGCACAGTTCATGTTGGATGCTGTTGCAGGAGTGGAGTCTATGAAACCGTGGAAATGAGCAGTGAAATGAGTAGCATTGCATTGGTGAAAGAAAGACATCTCTTAAAAAAAAACAGGCATGAACCCTGACAACATGGACAGTTTTAGACTGTGTGCAGAAAGTTGCCCACATAAAATCCAGGGTGATTGAGAGGCTGTTCAATGGAATGATTACACACAGAAGGCCCGCCTACAAAGTCATACATATATTCACCTCTTTGGCAACTACCAGGATGCAGAGGAGTAACTGCACCATTGATGAGCCTCACAGCATGTCATTTGAGCACTCAACTACAGACTCCTTCCTCCTACTCTGGCTGTCAGACCTCATTTAGTTTCCTTCGCAACAGCAAAACAGTTGTTTAATCCTCGTTTTAATGTCAGTCAGTAAGAATTAACAGTTAAGACATCAGTAAAAAAAGAATGTGTCAAAGCTTTTGACAAAGTTCTGGCTGGATATATAACCACTCTTCTAACCAGAAATCCTAGGGTACATATGAACTGGATTGTATCTTGGAATAGATGTAGCTTTTACACCTGGTCTGTAATTTTTCAACAAAGTCACTAAAACCAGTTCTGATGTGTGTTTGGACTCATTCTCTAGTTTGAACATCCAGCTGAGTCTAGGTTTCAACCAAAATGAATATGACATCTCTTCAATAATAAATGAATATAAACATCAGAGCTACGCAAACTACCTTTAATCTGCTTTATTCTTTAAGACACATTATTTTTACCAAACATTTGTCATAATATATAGAATTTTTTGACAATTACAAGCCTGTGTGCTCCTTTTTCTGGGTAGTGAGCCGGCTGTTAAGAATGAAACCCAAAAGCCCCATAAGACTGATGCCAGAGAACTGAACAAGACCAAGAACCCTGAGGTGGGGAAGCTGACTGAAGCTGACAAGGCCAGTACTGGGCGGGTAAGTACAGTAAAAAAACAACAATATGCAATATTGTTAGATCCTTTATTGAAAATAATATGATAGAAAACAGTAGAAGAGTCTTCTGGAAGTTACTAGGCCATAAAAACTGAGCAGGTACAGCCTCAGATTGACAACAGCATGTTTTATGTAACTGCATTGTTTCCTAACAGCGACTGTAGTATAGTTGTCTTGCGATCAGAAGGTGTTGGCTTCAATTCCAGCTTTCTCCTGTCATGTGGTGATTTTCCCTGGGCAAGGTACTTAACCCAAAGAGTAGCTAACTAGCTGGTACTTAACACAGTAACTTTTGATAAATTTATTTTTATTTAAAACAGGATGGCTTTTCTTCATGTTAAGCCTATAGTCCCTCTGTTTTAACAAATCATAAATAGAGCATGACATACAGATTAGTCTTTGAGTGCTTTAGCAAATTACTGTCATGTTCGGGTCTAATTTTCTTACCCACATGCAGAACAACCACAGGAGAGACAGAACTCAGTAAAAAGATATTTATTGCAAACAACGAGATGTGATAAGAGTTCTGGAAGGGGTTCAGAGATTCTTAAAGAACGGTTACGAGGCCAGACGTGGATACTGCCGTGGAGGGCGGACAAGTAAATTTGGGCGTGGGGAGAAAGACGAAGGAGAGGTCCGACTGCCAGCTGGAGATGTCAAGAAACTGGGATCAGACGGAGAGGACGACAATGGAACTTGGGCAACGAGTGGGTATTGATCAACGGTGTCACGAGAAAGGGAAACCGGAAAAACTAGAACCGGATCTTCTCAGGAAGTCATGAGGAAACACCTATAAATAGGAAAACAACAGAGGATTACTGGGAGTTCAACTCTTGAACAGAGCACAGAGAAATGCTCTGTTCAAGGTCAGATGAGGTCCTGGCAATCTGCTCCTTTTGAGTCCCGGAGATGATGAGCTGATGCAACACAGGTGCGCTGCAGCGTGGGCACGCATCACCATGGGGATGCCCTCTGGGGGGCAAACAGTGAAGCAGCAGGCGAACAAAAGAACCCACAAAGACCAAAAACCCCTGGCACCTAACAATTATTCATTGAAAGTAGTTGCTAAAATGTAGATTTATATCCTGAGCCTGACCCACAATTTATGGTGGATCTGGCTTCTGTGACCCAGTCAATAAACCTACAATACATAGAGAAAGACGATGCCCAATAAACTTGTGTCATTCTATAGTATAGTCAAAATAGAGGAATACATAACTTACCCTGTTAAGGAAGGAAAGAAAATGAACGAACTGCTCCACACATCGCTATCTGAGAGCTCCCAACTGTGCATTAAAGAGACATGGACAAAAGACTTTAGAGCTCGACTAGTGTAGCTGAACCGCTGCTACAGGATTATTCTACCACTGGGGGAGTGTTTGTGCAATCAGGTAGCATTCAGAGTCTTGCTGACTTCTAGTAAAATGTTACCTTTAAAAATTTTGTCAGAGAGAAAAAGTTAAATGTATTAAGTTTGATGATGCCACAATGTGAATTTTCTGTTCATTTGGTTGAGTATTAATTAAATGGAATGAAAATGAAATGCATCTACATGTAAATTTTCTTTTTAAAAAATAATGGGAAAAAATAGATTATAACATGATTTTTATTGACACTGTTCATAAAAATGACAGACAGCGAAAAAGTCTAGCACAACCTCTGCTCCAAACTGGAGACATTTTCGAATTGTGTAGTCATAGAAAGTTCTTAGTAGGGGGAAGTGGTCAACCAAGCCACAAAATCTACAATTTCCTTCTTTAAAAAGAAATAGGTTTTGCAATAGTGGAACAAACCTTTTTTTCTTGTGATTCGTTATAAGCCCTTTTTAAATTCTCCCTGTTTCTTGGGAGAGGGAGAAAATAAGAAAGTCTATTATAGAGCAGAAAACAGTGTCACTGAGTGCTTCAGGAGTGTCATTCAGAAGTACTCCACAGTACTTTGTCCGGGTGACCAAGCATACTAAATGGAATCAATTTTATTTAAGAAGAATCCCATATAGTCTTTATTGCTGCTTGACAAGCACTTTTAGGCACACATTTTCATATTGCTGTTTAACAGCAAAATTGAAAAAAGGATCTCCAAACCCTCAATCCTGTTGGTCAGAAGGTGTGATTATTTTTATTTAAATTCTATAAAGGAAACCCATAAATTCATCCTGTACAAAAACTAAATGGAAAGAGGCTGTATTTCCATAAATGTTACCTGTCATTTTATCAATCAGTGGCAGATTCTAGATGTTCTCCCTCCTTAGGTGAAGCTGTCTGTATTTTGGGCCTATCTGAAAGCCATCGGTGTACTTCTGTCCTGCATCAGTCTGCTGCTGTTCTTCACCCATCACCTGGTCTCCCTGTTCTCCAACTATTGGCTTAGCCTGTGGACCGATGACCTGGTAGTTAATGGCACTCAGCCTGACAGACTTAGGAGACTTGCTGTGTACGGTGGCTTTGGCCTGACCCAAGGTGAGTCAGAAAATAAGGCTTTGTGTTTGCATTATAGTTAAGTATTTACTGTGCCTTGTATTCATACTCTGCCAAGATTTTGTATTTTGTTGATACTTTAATATATTTTTAATGGGATTTCTTGTGGCAGAATTTAAGGGAGATATGTTTAATTTTTTTTATTTTTAAGTGTGGTTTGCATTTGTATTCAGCATTTCTAATTACTAAGTAATTATATTCCTCGAGTCTTTAAAGTTTGTAAGTGAACATTAGTGAGCATACCGCATCATAAAGACCAAAGTACATAGCAGAGTGAAGAAGTTTAAAAGGGGGTTAGGTTCTTAAACAAAATCAAGTTCATTTCTGAAATACTTTATTACTCTCAAAAGAAAAATTAAATGTAACTCATATCATTTAAGTTTCTTCAGAGTTGTGTTACAAGCTGATAACTGTGGGCAGGAAGGAACTTTTGCAGCGACTGGCATTACAATGGCTCTGAAGAAGTATTTGACTAGACACTGTTATTTTGTAGCAGTTTAATAAAGAGGATGCTCAGAGATGCCATACTGTTCTTCATAAAATGAAAGTACAACTGGAGTAATCCCCAAAGCAATCCCCAGAACAGAACCAGCCTTCATCAACTAGTTTTTTTTAATTTACTTTAGTAGCTTTGATGCTGCTACCTCAACAGATGATGGGAGAAGAAATTACATACTCCAGAGCAGACATAAAGAACATCAAAAGCATCTTGCTACAACTGCTGGGTGACCTATGCTTTCTCAAGCCATATGGTCTACTCTGTTGCTTCTTGTAGATAGATGGTTTCATTGTCTGTTGTCCAGTTGAACATTGAGGTATTTATTCTCCTCAGCCACCTCCAATTATGGAATTAGTATTTGACTTAACCCAGTTTCTCCTGAAGTCTCAAATAATCTACTTTGTTTTATTCACATTCAAGATGAGATAATTATTTTCACACCATCCCACATCTGTTAACTCACTGTTTTGTAGATCTCTTATACACTTCCGTATTTGTATTTTCCTGTACATTTTCCATATTATAATGTAATATAATACTTTAAAAAATTATTTCTGAATTAAGTCCCTATCCTCACAAGCACTTTCAGCTGCAGTAGCCTCCCAGGCACTTACTGCAAGGTTAGTGGCAAAAAGTGATGTACTATTTGACACTAATTATCAAATGGTACAGTGAACTCAATTAATTGTTCAAAGTAGTTAAAAGGAAACTTAAGGAAACCTCACAGTTTGCATTGAGTTATTGACTTGCAGCATTCACTCCTGGATGGGCAAAAAAGTTCCTTGTGTTGTGTTGTTAACTTTACAGCAATCCTTAATACCGAACATTCATGACAGTGGAGAGGAAAAACTCTGCTCTAACAGGAAGAATTCTCCAGCAGAACTAGAACCAGAATCTTGCTGAGTACAAGCGACCGACTGGACCTTTGAAAAGTCTGGGAATTATGCACAAGAAGAAACAGATTAACTGATGTAGGATTATTTTCAATGGAAAATATCAGGAGGAGAATGATTAGCTGAGATAGTAACATCATCTCAGATGATACTATCATCCAAGTTTGGGTTTAACTTATATGGAGAGAAAAACAACTAAAAAAACAAAAAGTTTAAATAACACCAAATAATACAAACTGAAAAGCATCACAGGAAAATGGATGATGGGGCTTCATCATACAGGGGCTTTAAAAATGAGAAGAAGAATCTTAAATTCTATTCTAGATTCAATAGGACACTAATAAAAGGAAGCTTTTATAGGAAAAAGATGAGCTCTCCTTTTTATTTCCTTTAGAACTATTTTCAGTATCATTTGTGTACATGATATTTCTAATTTTGGCAATTTTCTCCAGGTGAAAGAAGAAAATCCCAGAAACCTGCTTAATATGAAACTTAACATATCCTGGTTAAGAATAACATGGAGATTATTTATTATAACCGAATAGTGAATTGGATAGCAAATTTTTTGAGTAAAGCTACTTTGTTCGAAGAGTATTAAAGACTATGTTTAGGCTATCACTGTCAACATGAATGCTTTAGTTCCCCACTATATTGATATTGGTATTTATCACTGAATAAAATAAAAAATCTGAGATATGGTGTAAAGATAGAGTAAAACCCTGATGAACAATATAAAACTACAAGCAAATGTAGTTTTAGTGCTTTGCAAATCAGGAGGAAAACTAAGGAGTAGATGATCAAAAGAACAGTAGATACCAATAGGCATAGGATTAATGAGTAAATCTGAATGAAAAATATTTGCTTGGGGTTCTTTGGTGGCGCAGGGGTAAAGCACAACCCACATAGTCCTTAGTCCTTGACGTGGTCATTGCATGTTTGAGTCTCGGCCTGGTGACCCTTGCCGCATTACTTCCCTGTCTCTCTTTCCTGTCTGACCACTTTCAAATAAATGCCACTAGAGCCAATGAAAAATAAAAAAATATTTGGGTAACACTTTATTTGGTTGTGAATAAAACCGTCATGACACCGTCATAAACATGACATAACACCAGTCATGAACATGAATATTTATGACTGTTGTCAAAGTGTCATTCAGTAAATTATGACACTTAATACAAAGTTGACATTCAAAATGTCTTTATGACAACTTGATATTAACCAAGAAATCATGATCTGACATAAATTTGTTATAAAAGTATTACTGATTAAACTTTAACTTTAATAACACAAAGCTACATAATTTTTAAAGTGTAATATTCAGTCTTCATGAATATTTACAACAGTTGTCAAAGTGCCATTCACTAATGACACTTTATTACCGAATAAAGTTCCATTTTTATTCGGTAATAAAAATGTCAACCACACACCTGTGTGTTGTGTTTGACACCTGTCATAAACACATGACAAGTGTTTAAAACATCTGTCATAAATATAACAGGTGTTATGTCATGTTTATGATGGTGTCATGACAGTCTTATTCACAACCCGTCAAATAAAGTGTTACCGATATTTGCTTCTGTTCCACCTCATCCTGTACTTGAAGAAATGTGGACATTTAAATAATTTGAAGAGGTTGATTCATTTCCTCATCTTTGTCGTTGTAGTTGTTCGCCATGCCGTCAGTCTGTCCTACCTCTTGTCCATTCATTGCCTCCAGTTGCTACCAGTGTTAAGCCCTGACTTTCCGCTCAGCCGTACTGACTGGTTGTTTGGATTGTTTTCATCATTAAATCATCATTTCACTTCATCCTGGCTCCCGCCTGCTGCCTCACCACCTCACACCACAACTTCATGACAGAACAGTAGAAGAGATTGTTGAGTCTGGTCCAGAATTGAGCCAGTTGAATGCGTTTGTCTGAACTGACAGGCTGGGAATACAGAACTAATCAGAAAGAGCGCTGACAATAACTCTGGGGGAGCTGAAAATATCAATAGCTGAAGTGGGAGAATTGCTTGACAGAACAATTTATTGGTCACTCTTTACATCATGAACAAAGAGTGTCAAAAGAAAGCAAATGTTGACAGAAAGCTATACATAATCCTGTTTGTACTTTGTTTCCAACGTGGTCTCAAATTGGGACCATGCTGGAATCAAGGGGCAATGTGTGTCTTTACAAAGAACCGTGTTTAAAGTCATTCATTCAGCATTATCCAAGGTCATAATTTTTACTGTTACCTTCTAGGTGTAGCAGTCTTTGGTTATTCCCTCTCCATGTCCATTGGGGGCATCATGGCATCCCGGTACCTCCACCAGTCTTTACTACATGATGTCCTGCGCTCACCCATGTCCTTCTTTGAGAAAACTCCAAGTGGTAACCTGGTTAACCGCTTTGCCAAGGAGATGGACACCATTGATTCTGTGATCCCAAGCATTATTAAAATGTTCATGGGATCCTTGTTCAACGTGTTGGGTTCCTGTATCATTATCCTGTTTGCCACACCACTTGTGGCTATCATCATTCCTTTTCTCGGGTTGCTCTACTTTTTTGTGCAGGTTAGTTAAAAATGCATCCTGTATTTCTGCTGTGAGTGCAGTTCTGACTTGTTCTTAAATGTGATAAAAATTGTTGAACATTATATTGCTTGTTTGTGTACAGAGGTTTTATGTGGCAACTTCTCGCCAGCTGAAGCGTCTGGAGTCTGTCAGCCGTTCACCTATCTACACCCACTTTAACGAAACATTGTTGGGCACCTCTGTCATTCGAGCTTTTGGTGAGCAGGAGCGATTCATCCATGAGAGTGACCAGCGAGTAGACCACAACCAGAAGGCCTACTACCCCAGCATAGTAGCTAACAGGTTACGAGCAGTGCTCTTTTTCTCTTCTCTAATTCTTATTAAAAACAAGTGTTTTTATAGATTCTAGAAGACAATCATGATCAATAAAGTTTGCTTTTTGATCAAAATAATTGCATACAGAAAAATTTATTTATTGTGAAAGTGAAAACTGATTTTGACAAAATGTCAATTAAAACATATAACATAAAATAAATGATTGCATAAATTGTCATGTTTTGATTAGCTCGGCGAACCCACATGCGCAGAACACACTCAGGAGGGAGACGTAAATGCAGTGAAATTTATTGCAACAACAAAATGTGACAGTGAAGGTAGCAGGGAAGAACAGGCGGCGGCGTTGCAGGAGGGCGGATTAGAGAAGCGGTTCAGGAGCCACACGGAGGATCAGAGCACACGGTCTCGATGAATCTCCTGGCCAACGAGAATCCAGGTGGAACAGACTGCCAGGAGATCACGGAAAACAGGACCTGAAGGCGGATGACAGGAAAACGTTAGGAACCAGATCTGGTTGGTCTGAGGTTAACTTAGCACAGGTTCTACCATAGGCGAGCAACACTCTGACTGGAGTGTTGGCGTGATCCTCCAGAAGTACTCCTCCCGATGAAGTAAGTGGCCACAGGTGTGCAGGAGGAACCACCAGTCACGCCCCCCTGCAGTGTCACGACGCCCCCTGGAGGAGAAGCTGAAGGCGCACCTCCAGATTCACAACATAAATAGTCACTCCCTTTAAAGTGACTGACCTAATTAGACAAAGGTCCAGGCAATTAGGGCTTCTTTCATAATTGGTGAGATGGAGGTCCCCTGAGTGCAGTGACTGTCTCAAGTGTTTGTAGTATAAAGACACCACTGTCTGCAAGCTCCATTCATTGGTTAATTAGTATTAATGGCTACAATTACAGCATGAGGACAAAATAACACTTCAAGAAAATGAGAGAAATTGAGAAGTCAGGGAATTGGATACATGTGGTTCCATTACCAAAAAAAAAAGGGCGACTCAAAGACCACCATTAGCAGAGCAAGAGTTTAAAATTTGCTCATCAACCACCAGGGGTTCAGGAGAAAACCTAATATCGTGTCGGACTTAGTGTTCTTAATGTAACATCTGCTCGGTTTGCGGAGAGCAGGAAGTTGCCACGGCAATGGGAGCACTTAAATGACAGCGAGAGTGCATCATCAGGGTGCTCCTACACACATTGATGTGGTAGTTTGATGCCATCACTTGAGCCCCGCCCACTTCGAGAAGAAACTGAGGACTGTGACCCCTCTAGTTGCTCTCTATATGATAGATTAAAACCATATTCAGTGAACATTGAGAATCAAACATAATGTACTCCAAAGCCTACAGTCCTCGCCAAACATTCCCCGCAAGACAGGAAGTGACAATAACTCCTGTCTTGAAGGTCGGATGTCAGCAAATCTTAAACACTTGCTGCTGGACTCATACTGAACTGGACCATTTAGAGCCCGAATGCAGGAACACTGTGATGATGGGGGTGGCAGAACACCTGAGCAGCAAGGGCCGCCTGTTGCTGCTTTCAACTTTAACTTATAAAAGCTGCATTTTGTAGAATTCAATTTTCACTTTGACATTTGTAAAAAAAAATTGTCCAAAAAAGTAACTTTTTTTTGATGAAGATTGATTCATAAAAGCACAGAGGGGATGAAAACTTTTCATAGGAGTAGTACCTTTCGTTTCTGGAATTTTCACAAAATCGTAGTAGACCAGTAGCAATCACAGAATTATTGTAAAACTTTAACCACTAAAACCCTTTTTCTTTCTCTTGCATACTCTTTCATTCTTTTGCTGTCTGATCTTTCTGTTTTGATTTTTTGCTCTTTATGTGCTTCTTTCTTCTGAGTTCTTTCTTTCTCTAGGGATAAAGAAAGAGTTTTAACTTAAAATCCTCTAAAAATTTCAAAGTAGTTTCCAATTTTAGTAAATATTCCTTGTTTGTATTTGAACTTGTGTTTGTGTAGGTGGCTGGCAATTCGCCTGGAGTTTGTAGGAAGCTGCATTGTTTCATTTGCTGCCCTGTTTGCTGTTATAGCCAGAGATAGCCTGAGCCCAGGCATCATGGGACTTTCCATCTCCTACGCCCTGCAGGTAAAAGCACCACTTTGGTAGCCCTCAGCACCAGTGTCAGTAGAGCAATGTCTTCTTGCAAAATGTTAATAAATTTGTTTAATATGCTTTTGAACCTAATCTAACCTTTATTTGTTTACTTCCTATGCAGCTGACTGCTTCATTGACGTGGCTCGTGAGAATGTCTTCTGATGTAGAGACAAATATAATAGCTGTAGAGAAGGTGAAAGAATACTGCAACACAGGGAAAGAGGTACACTGCACAATCTTTAGAATAAAACCAACCTAATGTTTAAGAGTTGACTTTTGTGTTTTTTATTTTTCTGTGGTTATGTGGGCTTGGCTTTGATTTTGGGCTTAAACACTGCAACATTTAAACAACATTTAAATACTCCCACCAGAGTTTTATATTGTTAATTGATTAACAATATAATCAAAATAATTGATTATAGAATTATCGTCTCATTAAACAGACTTCATCTTAAAGAATCAATATTAGAAAAAAAATATCTTTTTATTTTTTATAAACTGCTATATGCATCATTCCTAATTTGATATCTACGCTTAATAATAAATTAAAACAACTTCAAGTGATATGGGCTTATAATTTCTATCAGAGATTGTATTTGGTCATATTACAAGAGTCATTGGTCACCTGAACATTTTAAAAAGTTATTTCTGTTCTCTGGTTTGAGTTAAATTCTAAAATAAGTCTTGTAATACCAGCTATTCTCACCACATTTACATTTTAATAAAAGACTTACAAGCATTCAAATACAAAGAGACCTCAAGGCAGTTCAGATTGTTCAATTGATGTAACAATAGTAGACCACCTATCTTTCCAACTCTGCGACATTTACATTTTATGACGTCATCATGCCCTGGACACATGATAGACACATACGTATCTCTCACTGTTGTTTTCAGTCATTTCAATGTTCACAGTTCATTGTACCACATGCATTTTATAATCTCTCTGTGCACTGCCCTCAGTTCCATGAGATTTTTGAAATGCTTCAGCATAACCTTATAAAATGCAGTGACATGGTTTGATTCCTGTTACTTTTAGAATTGGAGACTTGCCATCTTCAGAAGCAATAATAACAGGACTGTTGAAACTATCATTTAGTAACAAGAGCAGAATGTAAAAAGGTAGTTCTGGAAGACTTGCTGTTTTGGGGAGATTGTCTGGGTGCAGTGCAAACACTTGGAAGTCTTTATCTCAGATCTGATCAGTTCTAAAGCCCAGGGGAAAGGGAGAAATCGATGCCTTCTAAGCCAAATTGTCTATTTGAGTTTGACATTGCTTCAGGTCTTTATGCACTCCACAAAGGCAACCATACTATAAAACTATACTTGGAAAAGGTAACAAAGTGATATGAATGAACAGTCTGTCAACTGTTTAGTCATGAGAAAGGACAAATGAAAACCTAACCAAGTTAGGACTTTGGCTGAGCTTGATTGTGATTCAAAATATGATTCAAGTATTTGCATTCATGTCTATTCTCTGACCGCAGGCAGAGTGGCAACATGAGTCTCCCTCCATTCTCCCTGGCTGGCCCACTCAGGGCAGTATAGACATTCGAGGCTTTGGTCTGCGCTATCGCCATGACTTGGACCTGGCCATTCGCAATATCACCATTGCTATTAATGGAGGAGAGAAGGTAGGTCTTATTGCAGCTCTGACAAGCTCTGGAGTACTCATTGTGACTGAACACTGGAGGATTTTATCCTCCAATCCCTACCCTAACAGATAGGGATTGTGGGGAGGACTGGTGCTGGGAAGTCATCTCTAACACTGGGCCTGTTCCGGATCATTGAGGCAGCAGAGGGCCACATCTTCATTGACGGAGTGGACATTGCTAAGCTAGGCCTCCATGAGCTGCGCTCCAGAATCACAATCATCCCACAGGTGAGTAAGTATGATGCAAAGAAGCAATCTCACCTGATCAGGGCACGTGCAGCAAAGCAGCCTTTAGAGGCTAGATTTACAGTGGAGACAAACGCTGAAGCAGTCAGCGTTTGTCTCCACAAGGCACAACTGTCAGGCCTTCCAATAGCAATGAGATTCTGTCCCAGTCTGACATTTGGCCACCATAATGGTAATAATGGTGTCCTCCTTACTGAAGGAGGACACCATTGTTACTTACAAGCATACCAAATTTAATCATTCCACCTCTCTTCACAGAATCTTTTTATTTATATTTCTTAGGCCCAAGCAGGGAAAGCATTGCAGAGGTCTATTGTAGGTGTCGTGGTTCTTATCATTTTCAACACAAAAGATGTGCCAGTGGTCTTCCAGGAGCGTCCCCAAGATGGCGGTTTAAATCTTTAATCTGTCCTAATCAGAGACAAGGAAAATTCCACTAAACTCAATAAAGGTATTAAGTTCTTCTTCACAATGACTTACTCTGCATGAAGTTATATCAAAAAAGAGACCAGGGGGCACTATAAGTCACAGCAAATGCTGAAAACAAAGACAGCATGATGCAGGCCTTGGACCCAAGTGAGAAGAGCGAGCTAACAACTGCTTAGGCTATCCAGAATCTATGCAACAATATCAAAGAAATGCAAAATAATATCAAGCAGGATATGATCAGCTTTAAGAATGAAATGAACAAAAAGAAGTCAGTACGAACATTTGAAATTAAGGTGCTAGACCAGGGGTGTCAAAATCCAGTCCTCGAGGGCTGGTGTTCTGCAACTTTTAGATGTGCCTCTGCTGCACCACTGAATAGAATAATTAGGTCACTGGCAAGGCTCTGGAGATCTGATCTACACAAGGAGGAGATAATTAAGCCAGTTTATTCCAGCGTTTTGTGGATGGTCCTTGAGGACTGGACTTTGAGACCCCTGTGCTAGACTAACTGAAGCAGAACAACGGGTGACCTTTCACAGATATGGCAACAGAGAAAATCCTAAAAGCGTCAAAGAAAAAGAAGACCTTTTATGATGGTAAATTGATGCCATTTGCGCTTAATCTTCCAACAGAGATAAATAACAAGCTTAAAGAATTCAAAAACATCAAGAGGAATCTCAAAGAGGGAAAACTATGTTTCCAAACACCATACCTAACGAAGATTAGGATTCACTTTGAGACAAACCATGCCTGTACACAAATACATAAGAAGCAGCGGATGACATAAGGAAGAGGGGATACCAGGTAGATATGCTGCAATCAACCCCTGCAGACTAAGAACCAGCTGTCAACCAGGATGCGCCATGGAACAAAGGGACTAGCTCCCACTAGCGTTTGGGGCATGCATTATGCTCCAAATGCATGCGAGAAAAGCTTTGAGAATTCTGATTAGAACAAGTATAAATAGCTTTCTTGGGACTTCTGGGTGCTGTGGTGGCACACGATCAACATATGGAGTCCTAAGACCTTGTGACAGTAGTTGCATGTCTTCCCTTTCTCTCATTACCCTCTTTCCTCTCAGACAACTTTCAAATTAAGGTCACGAGAGCCAAAAAACCCCCAAAAAGGCACTTCTTTTGATATGTGCAATTCAGACATTCTTTTTCGAACATACTGAAAGAGTTTATTTCAGTCAACAAGATAATTCAATTAGCCTCTCAAACTTACTCCAAGCCTGGCATAGCCACCAAACTCCAACCTCTATTAGATATTGTTGAGAACCAAAGCAACGGCAATAGATTATGTTAGAAAAAGATGGGAAAAAGTTATGGATACACAAGATCAATGGGACAGTATGTGTGAATCCCCTGCTTCAACCTCTTTCTCAAACTTTTGGGAAGTTCAAGTAGGAAAAAATTAGGTTTTTTAGAACACCAAAGCAGCAGTCTTATAAAATTTAAAAAAACAATGCATCTTAATGTTGGAGGGGTTACGGGGACACAGAGGCAAATCATTCCGACATTTTCTGGTCCTGCAATAAGAGCAAGACTTATTGGAATTATATTTTGGGAAAGATCGAGTCAATTTTGAATCTTAGACTCCAACAACTCACTATGTTGTTGTTGTCAATCCTGAGGGACTGGACAAGTGCGTGAATTATATCTTTATTGTTACTGATAATATAACAAATGTATGAATGGTTCTTTAAACAGTGGTATCAAAGTTCTGTAGCTGATGATTTGATTCTGACATGTGAAAAAAACAAGTATTTCTTTATTTATAAAACTATCTATAACTTTGCAATATTCTCAATTTTAGCACAGTGTGTTGAAGAGTTACTATAAAATTACAACTTTATTCTTGTACAACTTTACTCATATTTACAACACAAACCAAAAAACTCAGTCTGGCCCTACGCCATCATAAGGAAGTAACTGCAGCATGTAGAAAAAGGCCAGGAAATAGGCTAAGCCTACCTTTTAACTGTTAATGCAAAGTGTTATGCATTTCTACTGACAAGTTGAAATATAAACAATATTGCTGCAAATTTTGCACAATAAATGTTAAAAACTCAATACCTTGTGAAAAACAATAAGTTTGAAAAAGGGAACAAGTAATCAATGTTTATAGTTTAAAAAAAGTTTTTAAAAATACACATCAGGTGAATCATTTGCACTTTTTCTCTTTCAAATTGAGGAGTCTTGATTAAATGTTAATGATTGGCTCAGTGGCTCAATGAACTAAACAGGGAAATTGTTTTGAGATTGAGAACAATGAAACAACTGTTTGGCATTATATGATGACACTGGTCTGTACAGATAATTTATCAAATATTGTCAGATTTGCAATAGTATTTCAATTTGGGAGAGGGAAGGACACTGGGGGGGTCGTGAAAAAATTTTATGATTTCTATGTGGGCATAATAGAAAATAATTGAGAAACACTGTTGTGCAGTAACTTGAGCAGTTTCAGATTCTTCCGCAGTGCCTAACTGCTTAATTAAAATACAAAATAATGGTGTGAAGTGAAGGAACAAGTACAACAGCTCAAGAGGAAGTCATGAATAAAACTGGAGAGGCCACATCACTCTTTTGTCCGTATTTCAGTTTTGTAAAATAAATTTAAAAAAACAATTATTGACATTGACCACAACTCTTTTTTGCGTATTAATCTGTTATCTTATAATATGGGTTTGGGTAATATTGGCCAGACCTAGATTGGACAAATTTTGTAAAACCGCATACGAACTCAAATGAAGATCATCCCAGGAGAGATTAGGTAAAGGTTAGGGCTAGGCTAACTCTGTAAAAATACACCTTTAGTATTCTGATAATACGATCTGCTCACCTTTCAGGACCCAGTGCTGTTTTCCGGATCTTTGAGAATGAATCTGGATCCCTTTGACTCCTATTCTGATGAGGAAATATGGAGGGCTTTGGAGTTTTCCCATCTCAAGAACTTTGTCTCTAGCCTACCCAACAAACTCAGCCATGAGTGTAGTGAAGGAGGAGAAAACCTTAGGTATGGAACCCTTCTTGTATTTTTTTCTAATCATTTGATGTTTTGACCTCCTGGGTGGAGTAGCTCCCATCTGACAGGTCTTGATGGGACCTGTCAGATGGCATTACAATGTGATGTGCTGTAATACTTCAGTTTATTTTATAAATATAGAAAATCTATGCATAAAATAGTGCATAAATATAACATGCACTTACTCAAAGTGCAGAATTCTTTTTTATTTACCTGTTTAACTAGGTTGCCCTGACACATTAATATGCTCTGATTTAATTAATTCCATTGTATCTCTGGTTTGTTGTTGTGCGAGTTGCTAAACCCCTCCCATTTAACTCCCTTCATTGAGAAGTTTAATTGACTGAGGTGGTAAGCCCCCTCCTAATAACTTCCTATTTTGAAAGGTTAAAACGTAACTAACAATTTACCCCTCCAGTACTTTTGCAGAGTATAACCCACCTCAGAATTGATAAGCTCTTTTTGCACTGCAGGGCTTTGCCCTATTGTACACTGGCCTGCGTCTATTAACCCTTGATAATCTTAGATGACATGTACAGAAGCCTAAAAGTAGTACTCACCAATCATTTGCCACTAAACAGGAATTGAATATAATTCCTTTGTGAAAGGTTGGGTTTTGACCTAACTTTAAAACCTTTCTTTTGGACTGTAGGCCATTTGGAAGATTTCCCAAGTGCATTGCCTAGTGGACATGTGCATAAAAAGTCTGAGAGTGTTCACGACGGCAACGGGTTGGCAGTGCCGGAAATCCTGTGGTTGCTGCAAAACCGGGTGACACTGAACTGTGAGGGCTGCTTTCAGCTTTATTTGAACTCTTGCTCTGCTTTGAATCTATACGCCCAAATCCATTTGGACAAAACCAGTCAGAATATTCAAAATAACTTTCGAACTAAAAGGAGAATGAACACATTTCCCAGGGGTCCTTTGATAGCTCTCTGTGTCTGCTTTACGCTACACATCATTGTTCTGACTATCAGTGCTACCTCGTCAGATTTTCCTACCACAGCACGGATAGTTAGCTATGTCCATCTGTCGGTGCTATGCATCCAAAACTGCTACCATCTTGTTTACAGACAGAAAACTGCAGCGGGTTGTGTTAATGTTAAATACATTGGATACCATTATTTGAGTGGCGGGACTGCAGCGGAAACTTAGGAATTATGCTTAGCATAGCTTTGGAGCAATTTATATGCACAATGAAGCGACAAAAAGATCACTTCCTTCATCAGAATAAACTACCTGTTTAAAATGAAAAGCTACACACCGTGTTCCAAATTATTACGCAAATGGGATTTACCTGTAGTGTAGTGTCGTATGATAAGATATGAAAACATTAAGATATTTAACAAAAACTGAAGCGTTGTCGTACTGTGAAGAGATTTGTGGCTGATTCAGAACAAAGAAAAGCATAATGAGGAATGGATGTTTCTGAAAATAATGAGTGGTTAAGAGAGAGCTGTTAAAATGATCTTACAAAGCAGCAAACAGTTATTTGAAGCTGGTGCCTCCGGAAGGTGGAGGATCCTCCAGTGCATTTACCTACTATTCGGCGCCCCCTAACCAGAGCTCACAAACAGAAACGGTCGCAGTGGGCCCAGCCGTACATGAAGATTCATTTTTAAACAGACTTGTTCACTGATGACTGCTGTGCAACCCTGGATGGTTCAGATGGACGCAGTAGTGGATTGACGGTGGACAGCCACCAAATCCCAACACGGCTGTGACGTCAGCAGGCAGGAGGTGGAGTCATGGTTTGGGCCCAAATCATGGGGAGAGAGAGAGAGAGCTGATTGGCCCCTTCAGAGGCTTCGAAGGTGTGACAATGACTTCAGCAAAACATATGGACTTTCTGACTGATCACTTTCTTTCGTGGTTCAAAAATAAGAGCCGTACCTTCAATAGCAAAATCATCTTTATGCATGACAATGCACCATCTCATGCTGCAAGAAATACCACTGTGTCATTGGCTGTTATGGGCATGAAAGGGGAGAAACTCATGGTGTGGTCACCATCCTCCTCTGACCTCTGTCCTCAACCCTATTGAGAACCTTTGTAGTTTCCTCAAGCAGAGGATCTGAGGGTGGAAAGCAGTTCATATCAAACAGCAGCTCGGGGAAGGTATTCTGACACCATGCAAATAAATTCAAACAGAAACTTTCCACAAACTCACAAGTTCAATGGATTCAAGAATTGTGCCGGTGATACCGAAGAAGGTCCTATGTTACCATGTAACTCGATCTGTTGAGATGTATTTGATTTAAATAGCTTTTGATTTTTGAACATGTGACCACTTAATGCTGCACATTCAAAGAATGACCGTTTGCAGTTCTTTATAATCCATAAAATGTTTAGAAAATCTGCTGTGCATCATAATTTGGAACAGTGCATTTTGAGTATTTTATTTTTGAAAAAAATACTGTTCTCATGGGGAGCTTTGTTCAGTAAAATTTGATTTATACTGTGATAGTTAATGACTTGAAAATTAAATGCACCTTGATCTCAGCATGTCACTCTGTCAGTTACCTCAGTAATCTGTTCATATCACACTGAAGTCTTTAATGTGTTTGTATATGTGCCGTTTGACACATATGTCAAAATATTAAATTTTTCTTCTGATACTTGTGAAGTTCTTAGTATTTTATCAACTTTGCCACAGTGTGTCTTCCAATAGCGATTACCTATATTCCCTTCTTTGGAATTTTTTAATATTTAAATTCATAGTAAGAAAAATATTTTAAGTCAGTAACCCTTACGGATCAAATAGAACACATTCACTTCTGCTTGTATGTGAATGTCTTCACAATCCATTTGATTGTGAAGACATTTTTTATTTGTCATTGTGGGAGGCCACTGCTCCATGTCTGGATGCAGCTTCACAGAACCTCCCAGTGATCTTCTTCCTGCTCCTGACCTGTCATCATCTTCTTCACTGTCTCCTCATCTTTTATATGCTTTATTTATTGGAATATTTTCTCATAATTCCCAGATAATTATCTGCTTGTTTCTTATTCTAATAAATAAATTTTTCTGAAAACATTTTTGTCTTTGTTTATTTTGTAAAATATGAGTTTACATGCTGATAACGATAATGAAAGAAGAAAAGGTTTGGTAGGTCTATGGTACGTATTGTAAATAAATCATCCAGTTATAAAGCCAGCTGCAGCTTGGTAAAAATTAAATATGAAATTATTCTTTTAAGTGTTCTTGCTTATGAATTCGGAGCAAAGAAATAATGAAAAGAATCAACTCAAAAGTTGTTGATCGCGCTTAGTAGAGATCAATAATTTATAAGCAATTAGTTTTATGAAGGGAACAAGCATTTAAAATTTTTCATGGACAGTTCAGCTTCACTGGTAACAGAAGTGTGAAAAGGTTTGACGTGGTAAACCATTATTTATTTAGTTAAGCTTTTTCTAATCTATGAGCCTATTATTTCAAACATTTTCTACTTGGTAGATTCATACTAGTATTTTTAGGTATTCATAGGTAAAAAATGTTCCACTTCTCAGTTATGTTCTACTTTCTCTGTCACATAAAACTATTCAAATAAATGGACGTTTGTTTTAATTTGATGAAATGTGAGAACATGTAAGGGCGTGTGGATGTTTACATGTGACTGTAACTCGGAGCCCATTATAATTGACATTGAGCTAAACCAGCTGAATTCTGTGCTTGTTTGCATGTGTGTATCCCCTTAGTGTGGGCCAGAGACAGCTGCTGTGTCTTGCCAGAGCTCTGCTTAGGAAGACTAAAGTCCTGGTGTTGGATGAGGCCACCGCTGCTGTCGACCTGGAGACAGACAACTTGATCCAATCTACTATCCGCTCACAATTTGACGACTGCACCGTTCTGACAATAGCCCATCGCCTTAACACCATCATGGACTACACAAGGTTTGATGCATACCACTTACACTATTTTAAAAGGCTTCTGTTTGATGTGTACATTTGTGTGTTCCAGCTTGTGCAATATAAGAAACTGTAGATTATACCAACCCTTAAAATAAATCCCGTAGGGTTTTTTCTGTATGATGAATTGACAGTTAGGACAGTATAAAATAGCATGTTTTACTTAAGTCACAAATTCGATGACTCAAATATATATATTTTATGAAGTAGACCCTCAAACATCCAAGATCACACAGGTCACTATCATAACATGTAACCTTACTCCACATGCCTTTAAGTAATGTAATCAATCAATCAATCAAATTTTATTTGTATAGCACATTTCAGCTACAAGGCATTTCAAAGTGCTTTACATCATAAACACAAAACACAAAGGCATGCAACATAAAATAAAATACCAATTTTTTTTTTTTTTTTTTTTCTTTTCTTCCCTCTCTTTTCCCTTTCTCCCCCCTTCCCTTTGACACGGAATTTAAGCGCCTGTTACCGCCGGACCCCGCCGTCCGTTTAACCACGGGTATTCGCCGGGCCCCGTTGCCCACAACAGGAAAAAAAAAAAGAGTTCGACACAACTCTTTGCTAGAGTTCTGCCTCCTCCTCACCGATGTTGTAACAAATGTTTAATGTATGTGAGGCTTTGAATGCTTGTTCACACTGAAAATCCCAGAGAATTCCTTAGACCACTGTGAACCTCAGATGCGTGTGCACTGTTCTTATGCCAGTGTCACACCTCTTAAAGAACCAGATCAAAAAAGTATCATGGCTTATTAAAATAATCAAAGTAGCAGTTATTTCTCCTAAGTTTCAGGATGCAATCATGCATTCATTCCAATTGACATTGGTTATCTAACAGTGTAGTGAGGTCAACTGGAAAATTTCAGAGGAAATTTAAAAGGGGCTTACCAAAGAGTGCTCGTCAGTTTGAACCCAGAATTCTGATGCTGAAAATTAGCAACAATGCTAAGGTTAACTAAAATGTAAAATGTGGTCTACAGCATGGGGAATATCATTATCATGTCGATTAACATGTACTTACTCCATTCTGCATGATAACATTACTTTATAAATTAAAATTAGGCAAAGTGCTAAGGTTAGCTCATATGCTGTCAGTAGCACATGTTGTATCACCAGGATGTTGATTTACGTTGACTTAATCCATTGAGTATGAAAAACATAGGTAATAAATCAAAACTTAGCTAAAATGTTTATTTTTGGTATAAGGATAATATTAGCTTGAGCATGCCAAGTTACTAGAATTTGAATTCAAAATACTTTATTAATCCCAAAGGGAATTAATAATTATTGTTAATTATTTACAATAATTATTTACTTACTCTTTAAGTAATTAAATCATTCGAAGAGTTTTGTTGGGGGGTTTTTGGCTCTTGTGGCCTTTATTTGAAGGTGTTTTGACAGGAAAGTAGGTAATGAGAGAGAGAAGACACGCGGTAAAGGTCCACAGGTTAGGAATTGAACCTGCGACGGCCACATTGAAGACTTAAGGCCTCCTTCTGTGGGTTGTGCTTAATCCCTGCATCATCACAGCAGCCCCTGATTCTTTAAATAATTATTGAAGATCGTGATGCCCGGCAGCAGGAAATATTTTCTGTAGCAGTCTGTACTGACGATGCTTCTGACTGAAGATGCTCTGCCTTCTCAATATAGTCTTATGAAGAGCATGGTCATTGTTATCCATAATTTTATCAATCGTTTGAAGAATCCTTCTTTGCATTGTCATCTGCAGAGGTTCCACAGACGTCCTCAGAACCAGCTTTTTTTGTCAGGCTAATGAGCCTTTTTAGGTCCCTGGTTCTAATGCTGCCCCGACAGATGATGACAGAAGCGATGACGCTCTTCAACACACTTATGGAAGATCTTTAGCATCTTCCTGCAAACCTTGAAGGATCCTACCTTCCTAAAGAAGAACAGTCTGCTCAGCTCCTTCTTATAGATGGGTTCACTGTTGTGTCTCCAGTGCAGTCTGTTGTCAGGTGAACACCGAGGTATATATATTCCTCAAGCACAACTCCACTTCTCCCATGATCCATGATGGAAACAGGGTTTGATCTAATCCTGTACTGCCTGAAATGAACAATCATCATTCACACACCATGACGCAAAGAGGCTCACCGTATTCAGCCTCTTGTCCATCTCTACTACACCTGACAACTGCAGAGTCATCTGAGTACTTCTGTAGATGACAAATAGTCATCTTATTAACAGGTAGCCTCTTTACCAGAGGTTTGTATTCAGAACAGATAAAAACATGATTATGGTTAGATTTTTTGAGAGAATCTTGGTTTAGAGACATATGCGTTCTTGACATCGGTGTGAAAAAAATCCAAAATCTTGTTTTCCCGGGTGGAGCAGCTGACAAACTAGTGAAAAGTTGGCAATGTGAAGAGAGTGGGGCATGATTAAAATCACCAGATATTCCCACAAAAATGCATTGGACTGATGTATGTCTTAGCAACAACTGAATTGATAACATCACGTGTGTAACGTCACACGACTGAAGGTGGAATGTAAACGGCTGCCAAAATAACACTGGTGAACTCTCTTGGTAAATAATATGGCCGGAAACTTACTGCCAAGAGTTCAGTATGTGGACTGCAGAGACGACACCAAAACAAGGAGGGGTGAATCATAAACTGACTGATTGGTATGGAAGCCTGTTAACGGCAGGTAAAAAAGGCTGGTTCTTTTCTGAGGATGACTGTGGAGCCTCTGGAGATGATTATGCAAAGAAGGACTCTTCATAGGAACGAGAAGCCTGGTGAAGACATCCTCTTCCCAGGCTGTCTTGGGAACGCAGAGCTTCTTCAGTTTCAGTGTAGTACAAATACAAACCGCTGTAGTGCCAACAGTCATCACCATCTTCAATAACTCTTTGAAGAACCAAAATGAATAAGTTACAACAACATTTAATTTCCCTTTGAGATTAATAAAGTATTTTTGAATTAGAATTTACTGTCAATCTATCAAACTTAGTTAGCTAATGTATCTTTTCTTTGCAAGCTAATATAGAGATGTCGTTTATGTGTTTGTTCCTGCTTGTACTTATTCTGCCAGTCACCAGAACCTTGTTATTCACATGAAGAGTTTGTACGTCCTTTTCAAATCTGTTGAAACATTGATTGTATGGGTCCACGAAGCTCATTCATGGTGTACACACTGTTTCTGTTCACCAATTATGTCATAGTATGAGATCAGAGGCAACTTCTCTGCATCGTCTCACATATTTTCCTTCTCTATCTCATATGGATCGATCTCGATTTTGTTCATGCATCTTTCTCTCGCACATTGGTCAAGAGTGTCCACACATTTTTTATTTTATTTTCATTCTAAAGATTGATACAACATTGGAAGAGAGCTAGTGTTACTTTGCAAATATGTGATTTATCTGCAATGCGGACATGGGAGTGAAATGGATATGCTCTTATTTGACTATTGGCAAAGGTATACTGTTGAAAGGATGATTGTGTGATGCTGAGGAAGTGGGAGAAGCCTCTGAATAGACCCCAGCCTCTCTTCTTGTGCACACACTACAATTAACTCTGAATGAAAAATTTATTTTCATTTGATTCTTATATCTATACTTACTTTATGAACATAAGCGCACCTCAAGTTTCATCTACTGAAAAAAAGGCTGTTGTATTTATTCCATGTATCGCACCAGAAACCAGTCTTATTAAAAATCTAGTCTTTATGAAGAAAAATGACAAACTCGACTACTTTCATCAATTAAAGAAAACCCCCAGATGGTCCGGACAGAACGTGAAAAATTGATATACCTAAGAATAACAGGACATTTAGTCACCCTAAAGTTACTGCCTTCAAAGATTGGTATTGTGGCATTAGCATAGCTAACATGTGGCAGCTTACCTCTGTAAATCTGATTCATAGTTCCTCTCAACAGTGCTTTTGGTTAAAGAAGACCACTTTTGTTTTATTCTTGATCTACTGACCATGTTAGCAGAGTTTAAAACTGACAGCTTCAGTATTAAACAAGGTCAGCCACAGCTGGGTGAACAAGAGGGTTTGAGTGTTTCTTATTGCAGCACTGACGCTGGAAGAAGTGCAAAATGTAATTGGGTCAGTTTATGTCAATTTTGACGCTGTGTCTGTTATTTTGGTTTTGAACAGTTCTATTTGAAGAATAAACCCTCACTCTTTATGCCATTCAGGGTGTTGGTGTTGGATAAAGGAGAGATGATCGAGTTTGACTCGCCGTCCAATCTCATCGCTCTCAAGGGAGCATTTTACAAGATGGCCAAAGATGCTGGACTGGTCTAAAGACAGAAGTCTTTCCATACTTCTTCTGCAGCGTCTACGAGCATCCCAGCTCCCCTGGCTCTCTCTGGAAGAATTGTTTTTCTTTCAGAACGGCAGGCTAATTAAGTAGTTGCTTGGGTTTGAAGTGATTTTGATGGTAGAAGGTTTTGTTTAATATACTTCACCATAATGTTTCATAATCAGTTATGTGGTTTAATTTCTGCCTGTTTCTCCCTTTTGGTTCATTCTGCTTGGTTTCTGACCAACTCATTTTTTTTTCTGCCATTTATATGGAGGATCATGTTACCAACAGACCTGTCATAATGACACTAGCACTGCTGAGATGAGGCTTCAGAGACCATATGTGCCAAATGCTGGCTTTATATCATTTAAAATCTAGTTTTTAAGCAGCTCCAGATGATATTTGAGAAGAATACGTGGATCTCTGTTTTGTGTTAAAACACACGCCTTACACACTGTCAATTATTCAAGTTTACGGCCACACACCTGCAGCTTTCACTGAGCCCCATATGTTTATCAGTTATGTTGGGCATTCTGGAACAATAATTCTTTTTGTCATTTTTTTTTTCATCTTTTTTTGAAAAGCTCAGACTCGAGATGAGAATTAGTACATGGCTCTGTGTTGCACTTAAGTTTCTGAAGAAAAGTCTTGAAACTTGTTGTTGCTGGGCTCCAGCATGTACGACATCCGGAGTTGTCCTTGCTGATTATAAGAAAGGTTTTATTTTCCTTCATACAAAAGTCCGCCTGTCAACATCTAACCCTACCCAGCAGTTTCTGAAGGAAAGTCTTGAAACTTGTACTAGAGTGTCTGGAGCTGTTGCTCTGGCAGAGTGTGCATATGGAAGAGTGACTTTGATTTAAAAGCTGTGGATGTCCAGGGACCATAAGCTATTAATGTTTCAAAGCAATCTATTCATATTAGCGGTCAGTTACTTGACACGATCAAACAAATTTATTTTGAAGTGAACTCTGTTCAATGGTTTTTGGCTTTTAACAGGTGTTAACTCATTTCTGCTGTTTTTGCCCACATGGGGCAAATAACCCCAACTTAACATGTTTCAAAATATCCTCACAGGAGTCCAAAAAAGCTTTATGCATGTTAAATTATTTTTCTTAAAGATGTCTGTGTGTTAGGTTAGGTCTTAGTTCAACCGTGCTGTTTTGTGTGATATCCTGTGATATTGACACAGTTGAAAGAAAATGACTTTGGCATCAGCAACGTGTTACTTAACTTGGACTTTACAGGGGAAAGTTTTGGACATCCCTGGCTCAGACTTGATAGAAGAACTCTGTTCTACATTTTTTAATCGACTCAATCTACCTTGTGGAACATGTGTGTAAAATCACACACTTGTGTGTTTTACTTCAAAAGTGATCACATAAGATTTGTCTCACATCCAGTAGAAGTGTGCTTAGTTAGCAGCTGCTTTATTCTCCAAAAGGGAAAATACTTGGCTTCAATGTGAAGAAGCCAACTCTGGTACAGATTCTCAGTCTCCTGGGAAATGTTCAAGCACAAGAAAACTGGACTTCTCTTGTTTCTTGAAGACAAAGATGAGAGGTGAAATATCTAGTTATGCTATTAGGTATATCTAAACAGCTCAGAGTAGAGAATCATAAAGTAATTCAGGATGATATCAGAATGCGGAGATATTATGATGCTCACTAATTTCCAGATGTTATCACACAATTCAAGGTCTTGAGGGTACATGCATTCACACCCTGTGAAGATTTTCCCTCTGCAGCCACAAAATTGGATGTATTTGAGTAGAATTTTATGTGACACATTTTGAAGTAAAAGGAAGGGGCCGATGATTGTCAAGTGTTCTAAAAATAAGAATGTGAAATGTAGAGTGCATTTGTGGTCTACTTTCCTGTGTCAGCACTTTGTCGAACCACACGTTCTTTGACCATGTCTTGACTGCTTTTGAACAGTTACAGACTGTCACAGGGGGAGCCTGTTACTAAGCCACTGTAAAACATACGTTTGTTGTGCCTCTTCATGTAACTTCATTATCCTGCTGGAATGTGAACCTGCACTCCAACATCAGGTCTTCTGCTGCCTATAACAAGATCCATGTCATCAAGGCTGGCCAGCTTCACTGTTGCTGCAGAAGGAAAGCATCCCCTCAGTCTGATGGTGCCATCTCTATGTTTCACAGAGGGGACAGGAGGGCTATTCATGGTGATTTGCTGTGTAAGGTTTCAATTGCATGTAGTGTTTCCATATAGGATAAAAGTATCAAATACTTATGTCCATGACAGAGGACATTAATACAATTTTATTGAATTGTTTACAGATTTTAAGATACGTTTCATTAATGACAAAAAGGTAACACAGGAACAAGTGAAGAACTGGTTTTCAGAGATTTTCCATCACTATAATGGATGATGAGATTTTTGTATTTTGATTTGTATTTATGTTAGAAAATAAGGAGCTTTTGAAACAGAAAAATGGTTTTGTTATTTCTACCATTTTTTTCATGGAACTTTCAGCTTTAACATGGATCATTTTAAAGTTATCTGAAAGCATGTCAAAAAGCTTCAAGAATACCATATAGGTGAAAACAAAATTATTTTTACCTTTACATTGGGGTCTTCTGTTTTTTGAAGACTCCAATGTATCTTCTGTTACATGTGAGCTCTGTTATCTCAGTGAACTGGGCTAAAATTACAGTACAAAAAGTCCTTATTGGTCAGACACCAGTCTAACCAATAATCTAACAATATTATTTCTCTCCCTCTCAGTCATCAGACCACTGAGAGTGCACTTTGGTTATTTATGTTGAAATCTTTTCTATTGCTTTCCTTTTCTTTGCTTGGCAAAGTAAGTTTTTGCTTTGACGGTTCTGTAGTTTTGGTGTGAAAAACATTTTGCTGTATTTTGCATAGTAAACATCTGTGGATTGAGTTGATTAATTTTTGGTCCTATTGAATTATGATTACAAAGCTCTGTATATGGAGAATTTTATTTAGGTCAGCAGTTAATAAACATATATTTCCAAGCAATAGTTGATAGTGATTTGTTTAATGTTCATTTCATACCATTAGAAAAACTAATTAATTGTCATGTACACTGAGGTACAGCAGAATGTCATGCAGATGGAAGAAAGCACATTCACACAAAAATTAGAAATAAGAGACTACCATAAGAGAAAATTTACTACATAAGAAAAATATTCTATAGTTAATAAAAGTGCAGCTGTGTATGCTGCTTTTAAGAAATATAAACATCAAGGGTGCAAGAGTACTTATTGTGTTTGTTTGGAGCAGTGACTGTTCAAAAGCATGTCTGGACTGCTTTTCAACAGCAGTTTATAACAGCTGTTATAAACAGTCAAGTGTTTTGAAACTCAACTGTTTGAAAACAGTCAAGTTTTAAATAGCTGTTATGAGGAAGAATGTGTGCTAACGCTCTTATGCATAGCAGTCTGTCATTGAAGGAGCTCTCCAGTTTTGCAATAGCTTCAAACTGTGAAGGAAGAGTGCAGATATTGTCCAACAGTGATGTTATGTTAGAAAGAGTTCCTCCATTTCACACCACCTGCACTGACTGGCTCAATAGGGTATCGAGGACAAAGCTGGCCTTCCTGAGGAGCTTTCTCTCAGCTGTAGATAAACTGTTGCTCTGTCTCTCCTGGCATAGTCAGCATGAGGTGGCTGCTTTTATAGCAAATGCAGGTTTATTTGTGCATAATTAACCATTTATTATCTTTCATGCATCATGAAAGTATGATCGAACACTGACTATAGTTGGAGAAGAAATAAATGTGCTTTTCCAAAACAGTGGCTGTGGTGAACCTCAGCATTACTATTCATCAAGGTCAATTACAGAGGGATGGAAGAATAAGAGAATAGATTGTGTGCAAACAATTTTTTTATTCATTTTTTGTGCCCCTCGACTATTTCTGAGTACAATGATAGATTCATACTGTTCAACAAAAAGGCCATGTCTTATAGTAGTAAGAAAATGTTTTCTCTGAATTTGGGGCTTAAATTTTATTGGGAAGCCAACAGGAGCGACAACCACACACGTGAAAACTCCGTTTCCCATGATTCTTTGTCGTCCGGCTTCAGGGGAAGACAGACGGCGGCGACTAACAGAGCAGGGCACCTCGGCTTTTGATACAGTAGCAATTAAAACAGATCATTTGATTGATTTAACGATTTAATGGTTCAGGTGGATGAACGACGGAGGATTCGCCGTCAGACTAAAGACTATTCGAGTCCAGGTAGCATGTTAGCACACAGCCATTCTCACTACATGGGTTTGTCAGAGTAAAGCGGCTACCCAGCTAGCTCAGTGTTTTCACATTCTGAATTGCTTTATTGGAGCTAATCAGATAATCACAAAGTCATTCTTTTCTGTGGGAATAGAGTTGTATTTTTTAGATGTATGCGACATTTAACTATGAAAAGGAATAGGCCGGCAACCAGCGGCGTCAGCAGTGATGCTAACAGCGGTGTCTATTGCTAAATGCTAGGTGTTCCCTAGCCCAATAGTAAAAGTAATGATCCCCTCACGGAGCTTGACAAACACCGTAATTAATGCAAATTAGAAGGAATATGATACAACATTCTTAAATGTTTTGCCAATAAAAAATGACACTAATTGGTGTATTTGTATAACGCCCCCGCCTCCTGAGTTCCTACTTTAAGGCAGTGTTTTCAGCTCTGGTCCTCTTGGACCACTGCCCTGCATATTTGAGCTGTTTCCCTTCTGCCACACACCAAACCTGAATAACGGGGCGATTAACAGGCATCTGTAGCACTTGATGGCATACAGAGGAGGTCGTGCAATCACTGGAATCTGGTGTTCTGGGACAGAGACGCATCTAAAATATGCAGGGTAGAGGAGGGTTGGTGGTCCCTGGGAACATCATCTTTCACTGAAAGTCCACCTGCACTTCTTTTGGGCTGCCTGTACCAGTTTTGAACGTCTGTAAAGGGAATATCTTCTGATTCCTATTTGTAAAAGCCACTCAGGTTCACTCAGCTTGGTTGGACAACATCTGAAAACATGAGCTTTAAGTCTTACTTTGAATTCTCAGTTAGATTTAGGACTTTATAATTCCTCCCTCTACTGTGGTCTAAACCCAACCCTGGTCCACAAGGCATCTTTTAGGTGTTTGTTTTTTTTTTTCTTTCTCTTTCTTTTGGCAGTTGGCAAACAGTTTAGGTGTATTGCTGCCATTTTCCAGATTGGAGTATTGTTGAAATATTTTATTAGTGCTATAGTCCTCCCAAAATACCTGCTCTTCTTCAAAAAACTAAAAATGCTGCTAGAAACTACATACTGAGATGATCTACAAAATTATTCAATTACATATAACTTAGTTTTCTTATTAAATTTTTAAATTAATACTTCTCTTTCTTAAATATACATATCACATTCCAAAGAAATATATTGTTTCTATTTGTCCACAATCATTAAAACAACCTGTACTATTTTTATGGATTATTTTAAGAGTACTGTTTAATCCTGTATGACCAAATGTTATCCTCAATATAATATCTTTTTTTAAATTCTATTACATTTTCTAAATTCTCTTTTGATAGTATGATAAAATCTATAATTTTCTTCTCTATCCCATTATTCTTGGAATTTTTTCTTAATGTACAATTTTTTACCCTTTTTGACATTCAAATCAATAATAATGTTTTTTGCATCACTTTTAACAAAACTGTCTGGCTACTCATTTTCTACTATTTCTATGCATATTAAAGCATAGAAAGAAACACCTAAAACATGCAGGGCAGCTTGCTCTGGGGACTAGGGTTAGCAAACCCTGGTCTAAACCATTCCAATGTAGGAATGGTGGGATTTTTGGAGAGTTGTCCTGGAAAGTAAACCAGGATTGTTCACTTGAGGACAAGGAAGTTAGTCATCTATGTTGACTAACCTCCTTGTCTGCTGTGAAGAAAAACATCCCCACAGCATGATCCTGCCACCAGCACCATGTATTAGAGTGAGGATGTGTGTTTTGGGTGATATGCAGTGTGAATCTTCTGGCACATACACTTAACCCCAAAATTATTTATTACCTTTGTAGTTTTAGATTTAAAATGACCTTTTTTAAAATATAAAGTTTATTTCTAATGATTCTGGCATCACTCAAAAGATAAAATTATGGACTATTCATTGTTTTAAAAAATGCTTTTTTTATCAAATTCAACTTGTCCTCTTATTAGTTGGAAAACAACAGCGCTCAAATCCTTCTTATGATTGCGTATCCGATTTTTGCACATTTCCACTGGTACTTATGTGGCTTATGAATGATATGCTGCTAGGCTTTGAGGTTGGAAGGCCTTCTTGCCATCATTCTCATCTATACCCCTAATTAATGTCAGGACTCTGGCTGGGCCACTTCAAGATATATATTACTTCCAGTATGAAGAAAAAATGTAGTTCAATTAAATGTTGACTTTAAAGCAGCTGTTTGTAACTTTTATTTGAAAAATATGTCATTGCATATTTATTGAAACTGTCAGTGTTGTGACAGTGTGATCTATGAAAACATTGAGCTTCTTCCCGTGGTTCTGTTGTCATCTGTATAAATGCACTGCTTTGTCAGAAGCAATCAGTCAGAGGCAGCAGGAGGGTCTTAGCACTGTCAACTGACTTCTGCTCAACCTCTCCCTTTCTCTCTGATATGCCACAGCTGGTTCACTACAAGTGAGGCTGCCATGAATGCTCAGTCTAGTTAGCATGGCCACCGATGACGGCGGATAAACAGTTTTCCTGGAACGGTAAGTTGCTTCTCCTCCATTGACACATTTATCAGTGAGAACATGAGTTTGATCAACAGCACTAAGATGCTGGCTCTGGAAGTGTTTGACTGGGAGAGGTACATTTCTTCAGATGGTAATAGTAGCTCAGGGAGGAAGTAGAAGAGCTTGAGCTTTTCACAGACTATCTGTCTCATACTGTCATAAAATAGTGATGGGTTTAACAAATAAGTAAATAACAGATTTTTGTGAAAGTTATACACTGTAACTTTAAATGCCAATGTGCCAGGGGTCTGAACCACTTTAGGTTGAGTACAAATATCACATTTAAAGTGTAGTTAAACTCACGTCCCAGGTAAATTTTGCACTGTTTGACTCAAGGAGGCCAGCACTGAGATGGTTTTAGGTAAAAAAAAAAAACATTTACACAAAAATCTCAAAATATGTACAGACACATTAAGGTACAACCTAAGGATTATATCTAATAGCTAACCTACTTTGAAATTTTATCTGCAAAAAACTTTAAGTCCACGCTGCCATGTAGGCAGATCTGGGTACTATTTTCCCTCTTGCACCCCTTAAATCTTCTTCACTTAGGTCCTACTCATAATGTCTTTTTACACACACACACAAACACATCTAAAATTACAATGCTCACACAACAGATCATTTAATTTTAATATGTAATCTTTTCTGTTCACAGAAACAGCTTTGGCACACTCCACTCTTATATTTAACTCAGCATTGTTCCGAGGAAATATCTTTAAGTTCTATCAGTCAAAGCAAAAAGTATTATGTCAAAGTAAAAGATGTTCCACTCTCTGGAAAATCTCAGATGACATAGTAGGAAGTCAAAATGAACACCTGCATAGGGAAGGCTAACGGTGAGAGATGAAAAAGAATCCAATGATCACCCTTAATGCCATTAAGGTTGCACACGTTTTGGAAATATCTCATTCCGATATTAGTGTGTTCAGTATTCATATTGCAAAGGACTGTTGGGAGAGCAATCATTTTCAGCAACTCAAATTATTTTAAGTGTTATGAATGCTTTTCATGCTAATATAAAAGGAAAGCCTTGCTTAAAGAACAGCATCCTCAAGGTCAAGAATAGTGGTGGAAACAATGCTTCGGGTGTGTTTGTTTTAACCAACATGATGAGCTGCTTTACAGAAAGTGGCATCATATAGAAAGATTATAATCAAGACTGCCTGCAACAACATCAAGAAATCTCCAGCGACTTGGTCTTGAACAGCATTAGTGGCTTCAGTATCACAGTGAG